TTTTGATATTAAATAAATATAATTCTGAATTATGAATTTCTATTACTTTTCTTATAATTTATTAGATATATATAATTATAAGTTATTTATATTTAAAGGAGGTATTCTAGTTTTGCTTATTTTAGACCATAATAAACGATATCTATTGAAATAATATTATATATTAAAAATGAAAGTTTGATTATATAAAAGGAATTATATTAAATGATTTATATATATGAGCAATAAAAGTATTACTACTTTCTTTCAATTGAAGAAGATATAGTATACTATTTCGTAGCGTCGTTTACCTAAGAAGTATATATAATAGTATAGTCCCGATAGAGAAGAATGAAATAGGTTTTATAACAATTATAAAGATGAATTTACACTCTTTGAATTTTTTTAAATCGTTAATTATATTATTTAAAAATATATTTATAAAAGTTCATGATTTTCGCTTATTTTATTAGCCAATTTCAATATTTAAAAGATATTTTTTTCTTAAACTTTTAACTTATTATTCTTTAATATAGAAAATCATTAAAAATAAATCATATAATTTTTAATAAATTTCATTTAACTTTTAATTTAATTATATAATTATTTATATAGTTATTTATATAAACCAGTGATTTTATAGTTTAAAAATTAGAAGTATATTCTGTAAGTTTTAATAAATTTTGATGTGATTTTAATAAGTGACTAGTAGTAATACACGGTGACTATAGAATATACTAGAGAAATATCTAATATTAAGTAATCATTATAACTTCTTATCTTTATAATTCTATTATAGAGTTAGATACTAGTTCAGAATAACTAATTAAGTATATTATATTAGTTAGCTTCTTCTATTGTTCATGACTAGAGTATATCAAGTTACGATTAATTAACTAGAATAAGTATTAAATAGACTTTCTAAGGTGTATATACAAAATGTATGAGTTAAAAGGAGTTGTATTCATCTTTCTAATCCTCTCTTCTTTCAAAGGAAGAAACTATTCTATAAGTATATTATCTAAATGAGTAATATTATTTAGAATAATATCATTACTATTATCGTCGATGAATATTACATTAGAAGTAACACTACATACGATAATAGTTTATCGTGATGTCGCATGTCACGTGTTCCAACAATAAGAAACCCAAAAATGATGACAATTCTTAAAGAACTCAATCGACCTCGCTTAGCTCATTCTAGCTTACTAACAGATTGAACTAAGATAAATGTAATATATAACGTAGTTTAACACCGAATAGGCTATATTACCAAGTAAGCCACTTTCATTTTAATTTATATTCTTTATATCCAATATATATTTTATTAATTATTTATTATAGAATTTATAAATAAAGAAGTATATTTACTTTTAGCTATCAAAGCTTTTCAAAAAAACAAAAAACTAAGTATTCGATAGATTACTCGATTATATAATATACCTTGTACAATAATTAGTTATAGAATGGATGGTTTATTTTTGTATATAAAGATTTGAGTGAATTGTTATAAGATTATAGAATTGAAAGAGAAAGTAATTATTTAGTATATTCTTGATATAAATTTGAAAGGTTTTTTATTTAAACTTAAGAATATAGAAGATATAGTAAATTATATTTTCGAATCAAGGGGTACGAAATATGTTAGAAAGCTTTAAATGTATTGATTTGTAAAACATCGAATCGAATTAAAGATATATTTTAATTATATTTATAACTTTCAAAAAACTCTTTGTAAGGATTTTAAACTTTTTAAAAAGTAGTTTCAATTAGTTATAAATATATAAGCGAAATATAGCATTTTAAATAAAGATTTCTATAATTTTAATGAAACAGGCTTTATGATAGGGATTATATATATAGTAATGGTAATAACTAGTATTAAACGAAATGGCAGAAGCAAGTCAGTACAGCCAGGCAATCGAGAATGGGCTATAGCAATAATATACGGAAATGAAGAGGGTGAAATTATTCCCTTATTTCTAGTAGTTTAAGGACAGGTTTATCTCTCTAATTAGTATACTGAAACCAATCTTCCTATGGATTAGGCTATTAAACCTACATCTAATGAGTAGACAAACAATAAGACAGGTTTAGAATGATTGAAACACTTCAACAAGTACACTAATAATTAAAGAAAGGATAAATATCGAATGTTAATACTGAATAAACATGAAAATCACAAATCAATAGCTTTTCAAATATATTATAAAAAGAATGATATTATATATTTATATTTACTATTATATTTAAATCATTTAACTCAACTATTTGATATTAACTGTTTTAGTAATTTAAAACATTCATATGGTGATCAAATTGATAAATTTATTAAGACATATATCAATTATATTTCAAAGATTAAATTCTTTATAGCTTTTAAAACTATATATAAAGAATCAATCACTTTTCAGAATATGAAATTAAGATTCTGAGAAACAAATTTAATTCTATTTAATTCTAAAGTTATACTCTCGAAATTAAATATTCGAATTCGCACATCTACCCCCCCCTCTTTCAATTTAAATCAATAAATCTTTCAAACCCTTTATAATTGTTACGGAGGTACCCGCACCGCAACATGGATTATAAGATAAACCTAAGGCCTTGGTGTTGGGACCTACGAAAACAGCACTGTAGGGACAGTTGAATTAAAGGGTAACTAAAGATAGCGGTAACCGAATAAATAAGCAGTGATTAAAAGATAGGTACCTATCTTTTATTGGCACCTACCCCACAGTAGGCACAGGTTGCACAACGGTTACAGATTAGCTAGTAAGCACAGGTTAAATAAGCGGTAGCCTTACCAGGTCACGAGGACAAGTGTCACGTGAAGGAAAGTCGATTCGACTTGTCGACTCGAGTAGTCGAGTAGACTTGACGATTCGATCAAAGTACGAAGGTCTATATAAGGGAATGGGTTTCATTACAATGTAGAGCTTCGTGCTCAAGAACAATCATTAGTTTCATTACTATAGTTACGAGAATTGCAACCAGTTACAACCTTATTGAATTCCTACTTGAAGTCTAGTCTAAACCACCTCGAGAGATCTCTAGCCACTTCCACGTGACCCTAGAGGCAGCTCCCGTAACAATAATTCAACTAAAGCTCTTTCTCAATCAATATTAATTAAATCTCGAATAACTTATTATCAATCAAGCTTCCCTATATCTATATTCGAAATTATATTAACTTTAACTAAGAATACAGAAAAATTAATTTATAAAAACATACTTTTAAATATAAAGAATTATATACTTCGAACAGCAAATAAAGTATTAAGTAAACATTAATATAAAAAAAAAACCTAATTACATTAAGGAGAAATACTCACTAAATAAAAAGCTTTTAATATATTATCTCAATAAAAGATTGATATTTAGATTCAATATAATAAGCATTAAAAAGAAGAAAATTCTAATAAAGAAGCATTTTCTAATCAATATTATAATAAATATAGAAAAACAGATTATAATACAAAAACCTATCAAAATAATATAATAAATCCTAAATTATTAGATTTTTAATAGTTTAAATCAATTAATTCAATAGTTATTGAATGATCTGTATTTGAAGGTGTAAATTAAGGTGAAAGTGGCTCACTCGGTGATATGGCCCACTCGGTATTAAACTACGTTAGTCATATATTAAATAGTTATAGTATTCATTTTAAATATCTACTTATTATATACTTTCTAATCATTTATAATGTATTGCATCTAAGAAGCTAAGCCCTATATAAGATAGAAGTTATTCTCATGTAGTATTCAATTCAAAAACTCTTATTAAAATCTAATGAAAAGACATAGAACTTAAAATCAATTCCTTAACAAATCATCATCACAACCCTCTAATCCCATCAAACTCAGCCCAATACATCTCAGATTCTCAATCTACTCCATCTATTGATCCTCAATTCCACCCTTAAAATCTTAATCTAAACCTCTCTAATAGCCTCATTCAAATAAGATTAAGAACTACTCATCTCCCTTATTCTCTGGCTATCTATTCTAATATCGATAAAATCATAAAATTACCTCTTAAGACTATCATCTCAAATACTCGCCGTTCAGGAGGATGTATCAACTAAGAGCTCCTTTCGTCTTCTACTTTCTTCTCTCCTGTAATCAAAACGAGAGAGAACTGCTACTAAATAGTATTGGTAGAAGAGAAATCACTAATTGCAAACTAGCTATAAACTAAAAACTATAGAATTCAAATCAGAAGCAATCAACTAACAACTCCTTTCTCCCTAAGATAAGAATCTCAGTGTAGTAAGACTAGACTAGAAAAGAAAAGAATTAATCGATTATAAAAACTTAGAGTAGATAGACGCTATTACCTCATTGCAACTGATTATCGTCTAGTTTCTTTGAGTCAAATAGGTTCATGTAATACTCTCTCTTGAAAGAATGACTCGGAAAAGTATATCTGAGACATAGCTTCACGTGAAACTCACGTGTTTAGTGGCAACGTGATCTATCCACGTGATTTCAATCAGGTATCACGAGTGTTGAGTGGATGTGCTGACTAACTAGAGCTCCAGACAAGAAGGTAGGAGAATGAGTTGAATAGGTATGTTAGGAGAAGCAAATACGGGTCAAACGTCCAGGGGTGAAGTACATACAGCAATAGCACACAATAGTTAGATAGAAACACTACAATCAAACAATTCAAGGATCACAACAAGCGCAAAAACAAGTCAATCAGTAAGAAACTCATCAATTGCTCTACGGCTCGGTACTCTTCCTCCGCATTGTCTTACTAGAAAGCACCAGCTTTATCTAGTATCCCTACTTTATCTCCATCTCCATCCCCATATCCAACCCTTTAGCTCGTCCCTGTCCTAGTCTTTTTATACGAGGGAGAACCAGTAAGAGCAGTCACTCACATTTCCTGATAATATCATTGGCATAACACGCCAAGTAGCTATAGTACAATGTGTGCACCACCATGCTAATCGCCAGAGATTAGCTCCAGTCGCCACCCCAAACCAACAGGAACGCACTTTGGCACACTATTCCTTCTCCATATCCTCGTCCTCACTATCACTATATAAACTGCTTTCAGGCGAGACCAAATCATCATCAGCCATATCTTGATCTTCAGTAGAGTCTGCAGCATTACCAGCAACAACTGGTACAGTAGACGAAGCAGCAGCAGCAGCAGCGAGGGCAACAATAGGGAATCTATCTGCTAAGGGCATAGCATCTGGGAAACCCTTCCTTATGGCCTTTGCTCTATCCTTCTCGAACCTTCTCTCATAGTTCTTACTCGCCCTCAACATCGCTTCTTTCATTTCTTCCGTTTTAGGGTTATCGTAGTACGCCTGTCGCTCTTCACCACCATTATCTCTGTTAGACCAAAGAAGTTGTATTTCATTAAACGTGATCTCGGCGTTTCTATAAGCTCCGGGAGGAGCATTTTTAAAGGTTTTCTTGCGGCACAAAAGAGTGCCATAACCACGACGAATGAATGCAAGTTCGACCTCGGTGATCTCTACACGGAAGATTCCGAAGCCGCTTCGAGATCTCCATGGGTACTTCGCAGTTGATTCCTTCGCGGTTGGTTTCCTCGTAGCTGATCTCTTCGCAGCTTGTTTTCTCGCAGCTGGTTTCTTCGCGATTGGCTCCTTCGCGGCTTGCTTCTTCACATTTTTTTTGATGGCTGCGAAAGTTTGCTTTTGGGTGCGAGAACGAGTAAATCGAGAGACTGGAACAGCTGGAGCAATCGGAGGAGCTGAAGCTGGAGCTACAGCCATGCGAGTAGCTGGAATGGCCGAGCTGACTGTAGCAGGAGCAGGAGCAGGAGCAGGGTTGTATGGAGGAGGATTGCCGGCAGGACCATTGTTGATGGTGGTATCGCTATTGATAGTGTAAGATCTGCGGCCATTCTCATTAATAGCGTGGTATTTGTTCATATCATATGGATCGCGCGAGCTGGGTTGACGGCCACGAAGAGAATTCACAGCTCGTGATGCTCCATGGAGAGAACGATTAGAGGCTGATCGACCATTGGCAGGTTCAGCACGATCAGATACCACCAGATTAGGCGCATCAGAACCAGAGGCTGGAGAACGATGACGAGCAACAGGATGACCGTCTCTGCCAGGAAACTCTTCCTTCTCCGGCTGGTTCGACATCGTGGTGAAGTAAGCTTTGTTCCGGCAGGGACCACTTAGAGAGACAGTTATATGATTAGATTTAGGTGTAGGTGATCGTTATCGCAGTCTTAGCGCAATGAGAAGCAAGGAACAGCGGAATCGGGTTGGAGAAGCTCGAGGATTTCGAAAGAGGTGCGAGAAGGAGAGAGTTGAAGATAGACGGAGTGCAGCTATGCTATCTTCCTGTGTACTGTTGAAATAAACAAGTCAGATAACCACGCAGTAAGTTGTACAGATAAGTGTGAAATGCTGTGATAAAGTGGTTGAGCAGGATCGAACTGCATTGAGAGATTCTGTGGGAGGAGGATTATTTAATAAGAGAAAACTAACCAATAACTCCAAACTAACAGAGACGACGTTTGCTGCTACACCTTGTAACACGATTGTTATTTAATGAACAGAAGTTCAAGTAGTGGCTCGAGACTAGATAACCGACGATGACATTCAAAATTTTCGCGAGGTATTGGTATCGTAAGAGGATGATTGCTGAACGAGGAAGAAGTTAGTTGATAGCTACAAATTAAGTGTCGAGAATGACTTGCCGCAATGTTTTATCCACGGATGGGAGGGTTTGTTGGTAGCTGCATACGAACACTCAAAGACGACGTTGACGGTTGTGGCAACGTTCTATCGAAGAAGGAGAAGGGTTGAAGAATAATTCTAAGCCAACTGATTGATAAAGACGTTAGAGGAATATCGCAAAGGTTCTCAAAAGGAAAATTATTGAACAAGCAAAAGCTTACCTAGTAGCTGCAGAAAAATTCGCAGAGACGACGTCAAGGGTTATCACGAGGAGTCGTAAAGGAAGGAAGAAGAGGAAGTTAACTGGTAGTCCCAGCTTAACAATTCGAGGACGACGTTCGATGGTTGTCGCCGTTTCTGACGAAAATGATCGTCAACGAAGAAGGAAATAGCCTGGTGATCTCAGACTAACTCCCAACTCCCAGGAACAGTGTTCAGAGGGTGGCGGATTGAACCAAGGCGCAAAGAAAGACGAATAATTGCTGCTAAAGGTAGAAAAGGCGGGGTAGATGGCAGAAGAGACAGCAAGTTGCAGAAATTAAAGTAAAAGAATTTAATCTTGAAGACCTAAACTGCGTGTAGGAGGAGTTGTTGAGAAGCAGAAGGTATATGTAAGGTAACTGTAAAGGTAGAGACCACTGCGAATAAACAAGTGACGAAAGCTTGGTGGGGTGGAGTAGAAGAATGGGAGACTGGGAGTTGCGAAGTATTAAGTATTGCTTTTTGCGACCCAAGATAATGTGCAATCAATATGGCAGTGCTCCAGTATCAAATGAGCCTTGAAAAAGTAATCAAACTAGTACTAGAAGAGAATAGCATGACACAATACAACGTAATAGAAGACAAATAAAATCTTTCATTGATCAAAACTCCATGGAATGGTGTGATTTCTCAGAAGAAAGCAGTGAATACCCGAAATCCCAGAGTGAATTTCAGGGGGACATTTCTTGTCCCAAATGTTCAGGCTCTGTCCGGATTTGTAAAACCTTACAACTTCAACTCCAACTTCAAGTATTTTTTACCCAAAACAACTTTTAGAGGGTGAATCTGGGTTCTTACATTAGCATACTAGACTTGGGACTTGGAATATCTGAAACAAAGAACTTACAATAGGTACCTTAAGTGAAAGCCTGCTTTGCAAGGACCCTAGGGCAAATCTTAGATCTGTTAGGCATATCAAGGCAAGGTAAATTTCATTAAGCCTCTCTTTTGTTTTGATTGTACCCATTCACTCCAGTGTTAAAGTCATACTCGACATACATGTGCTAATGTACTCAATTCTTTCAAGCCAGCAACCAAGGTTGATGCTCAAGTCCACCCTCCACGTGTGCAATTTCCTTCCAACTCACAGGCTAAGGTTGATTCCCAAGCCCATCCTCTTCCAGATGATCCACGTGTGCAAATACTAATGTGTGTGAGTCCGCAGAATCAATATGCCAGAGTAGTACCCCGCAGATACGTGCACTCGAATCCCAAGAGCTCTCCAGCCAACACCACTCGAGTCTTAGATCCCACCTTCAGTCGAATATTCAAATCAATTATTATAAATCGAAAAGTCGTCACTCATCAGCGCATCCGGGAAGGTTGGGTCCAACAGCGCATCCCAATTGATCTCGACCTGTCTCTCTAGTTCCGGACCATGCTGTCCATCTGCATTTTCCAAAAATCCCAAATCCCTCCTCTTTTTCGCCATACTATCTCTCAGCAAAACCTTTGCAGTGTCAAATGCTTCGTGCGCTAAATGCGTGTCTACTATCCTAACGATATTCTCAAATATATTCAAGACCCACGAGACATTGAATAGACTTTCTGAGGTATCGATGGCAAGGAGGACACAAAAGTACTGGAAGGTGGTTGAGAGGATATTCCACCAAGGATGACCATTACGGGCAAATGTATCTGCTGTTTCGGCACCTTTGTTCCCTATATCTATGATAGCTTGAATTGCTTCTTTCTCCAGTCCTTGTTTCATAAGCCTTAACCTTCTATAAAAACAAAAACATACATCTGCTTTGGAGAGTGAAAGAAATGGATGTACGTCCGGGATCTGTGCCAATTCTTTCAAGCCATTTATTAGTTCTTCTTTATGTGTTACAGAGTTGACGACCATGTTATCGCGAGGGATTAGTTGAGCAATTTTGATGTGGAAAATTGTACTGTCGCCCATAGTGTCCTTGACTGGCTTGCAAGTTATACTATTGAGAATTACTGCAGATCTTCCATATTCATACGAGATGATCGTATGAACAGACCAAGCCATCCAGAAAGTTTTTCTGGCTCTTTCTATTTCTTCTTGATCCATTCTCTTTGCTGGAGCATCTCCTTCCGTAGTCAATAGTACCGAGTGGACTTCTTGATGTAAACCTGTAGCTTCAGCCAAATGTAAGGTGACACAGCTAGCAAGCCACGCAACATGAGGTCTGGTAGTTGATCGAAGATACAGAGTCCGTAGAATCCATGCATTAATTTGATCAATTGAGGGATGTCGACTGAATGTTGGATCCTCCAGAACCGTTTTCACATGCTGAACAATTTCCAATTCCCGAGGATGACCGAGACGAAAGGCAAAAAATGATCCTAAGGCTACCACTCCACCAACAACAGCACCAAACGTCAAATCTCTTCCGTGATTAGTCCAATAATCATTACACCGTTTCACAAAATACGGCCAATCTAGAAATCCAAATGGTCCATGAACTGTTGCCACATATATGTCCGAAAACCGCTTAAATTCATGAAAAGAAACCAATTGAGTCAAATTTGTATGAGCAGACGCAGCTTCCTCAGCTCTTATCCCACAATTCCAAGCAAAAGAATGAAGAGGTGGTGGATTTGCAGATTGAAATTCCACACCAAGACTTCTGGGGAAAGCGACTGCAGAATGCTGACTCATGTATCGTGATCTCAAAGGATCAAGAATACCGCGATCAACAACATCTTGTGATGATGATGCAGATGGAGATTGAGCATTTGTTATACTCTGGCGTCTAGGTGTATGATTTGTTGTCGATGGTGAAAAATCATGCCTCATTTCGTTGTGACCTGGGAGAGTTGTCCGTATAGGTGAAAGATGGGGGTTTGGTGCATTGTGTTCATCGGAGTATCGGCAATTGTATCCATATCGGGTGCACATTGAACATGGAAATTCTACATCACATTTTCTCTTCCGTTGTCGACATGGAAGACAAGCTCTCCTCGCTCGTTGACGTCCATGAATTGGACGGTCTGGATTGCTCGGTTGCGTCGACGGTAATGGCGCCGATGATGGTATGCGTGGGGGTGGTATTGATGACCCAGCAGTTGATTCTGGCATTATTTGACAGCTGAGAAATCGGGCTTCAATTTGGCCCGCAGTGAAGTATATACAAGTTGTATTGAAGTCGACAAATTATTTGATGGATACATTTTGATTCAATATGTGATGAAGAAGGGGGAAGTTGAGGTTAGATAAAAAGTAACTTTTCCGGCCGGAGTTAGATCTTGGCTAACTGATGTGGGGTTAGTGCTACTCAATTATCAATCCGACTCCACTACCTTGGATATCATCAAAATATTGTAGGTAAATGAATATTTATGTTCTTATTATTCTTATTTCGTGAAAGAACATGATCATTTGGCTACTACTCAAGCAACAACAGCTAAAAGAAATCCTAGGGTATCTAAAAATCAATCGCTTCATAACAAATCAAGGTTCCTCTATCCGTCCCTCCTCCTTTCTATTCTTGGCTCTCTTCGTTCTCTCCGACAACGAAAACAAGATTGAACAAGCTACTCCTAGTCCGGCAAGTCCAATCCCTACATACTGAGCTCCACGATACCCCTTCAAAAGATCTTTCGAGTTCTTTCCACCGTTATTGATCTGAACTTCTACAGTTCCGGCAATCCCCAAACCGATTGAGATGGAGTAATTGACGACAGTGTTGACTAAGGAAGCGGCGAGACCTTGATGATCTTTATGCATAGAATTGCTCAGGAGAATCGTTGCTGCTGGGAATGACATATCCCTGATTTTATTAGCGTTTGTTATTCAGTAATTCGGAGAGGAAATGGTGTTCGAACTTACATTCCCCAAGGAGTTACAAGACAAGCAACGAACGTTTGTGCCCAATATGTTTGACTGATAGGAACCGTGGCCATCAGAATTGATCCGATGAGAAAACCAGTCATAGCAATCATCATCACAGTACTGGCTGGGACCTTGCTAAGAATTTTTCCCGTGGTCAATGATGCACAAAGTCCACTAATAGTCGTAGGCGAGACCATTGCTGATGCGAGAAGTGGACTGATTCCCCTAATCTCCTCTAATAATTGCCAAAAGTAGAAGATCCAGATTCCAAAACTAGCCCATCCACCTGCAATACATGCAAGTGTATAACCAGTGTGGGAATTGAACGCGCCAAATGGTACCAACGGGTAGGGCGCACGAGATTCGATGAATGCGAAAAGTCCGAGCACAAGAACTCCAACAATGAGAATCACGTAAACATAAACGGTAGTCCAACCAATTACTGGTCCTTGATTCCATGAAAAATTAACCAGAACCAATCCTGCAACTCCGGTCAAGGCTCCAAGACCATCAGCTCGCTTGAACATACTAACTGAACGATCGAATTGTGGAGGTGGTGTGTGAGGAATGACCATAATTCCTACTACAGCGAGTAGAACGCAAACCATAGCCGTGACCCAGTAAGCCCAAGGCCACCAAACAAATTCCGCAAATATGCTCGAGAAAGTTGCACCGAGAGTAAAGCCTGTTGGAGCTGTGGCACCAAAAATACTAAAAATCATCTCCTTCTTTCTTCCTGGCTCATAGATACGAGCAAGGATAGCTAGAGCATTCGGTAAAAGAAAAGCTGGTCCAATTCCTTGAAATGCACGAGCAACATCGAAAAAGATTGCATCCGAGTAACCACTGAAACCAGCTAGAAGTGACCAAAGTGCGAACCAAAGGAATCCACTTATAAAGAGCACCTTGTGGCCACAGAGATCTCCCAGGCGTCCCGCAATAAGAATGAATGTACCGACCGTCAGTGAGTATGCGGCAGCAAACCAACCTTCACCACGAAATGTTAGTTACGATTTTTATATCACACAGAACATGGAAAGCATACTCAACTGTCCAGGATTTGTAACTCCAAAACTAGATCCGATGATATGTAGCGGAGCAATAGCTTGACCCAATGCGGCTTGCGTCATAAGTTGAGCCATACATATTATTGCGATGAAAGTATACTCTCGAGGGCGCGAACTGAAATGTTCGATTTTGCTTTGGACAGGAACGAGAGTATTCGGATGGGCGTACTCGGGTCTAGACTTTGTCTTCTCGATATTGAGAGACTCGTGACCTGCCATCATCTCGGAAGAGGAAGACGGTGATAAGGGAGTTTCCATGTCAAAGGTGTCCAGGTAGCTAGCTATAAGAGTAGCAAGAATATTAATTCCGGAAAATATCTTTTGATCCGAATCAGAAGATTTCTTAAAAATTCGAACTTCGGCCGCCCTTTCCTTTTTGTTCACACGGTAGATGAAGAAGTCCAAAGTTATCAAGAAGTCGTACGTCCCGGTTATCTATATCCCGTCCGTTATGTGACGCAACCCGAGCAATAAGCAAACAGGATCGGGATAACAGCGGAATGAGAACTTTTCTGCAGCGGAGATAGTCATTTAACCGCAATTAGATGCTTAGATTTGGACTTTGCATATGTACATGTATGCTTACGAATGCAGACATATCGAGATACAGTACCGAGACATGTTGAACCTAACTCCGATTGGAAACTCTTCGAATAATTCTAGAGCAATTGAACTAGAAGGGATTGATCAGATAAAGAATGAATTGTCAGTTTATCATAGTTAATCAAAAATCAGCAATTATCAAAGTGCGGCTCCCATTGAAGTGGATCGAATGAGGATTATTTATGGGGATTAAGTGGTTTCGCCAATTAGATTTTTTGATCTTGTTGCGTAAGGATAAATGGTTTAAGGGTAGTATTCCGCAACATCCGATCCGCATGAAATGTTAGTATCCCGCAATACCTCCGTCTGTATGGAAGGAGTTCAGTTAGAAGAGGAGGGAAGGAAGCGGTGCGGTATAGATCTGAAAGAAATCGTGAATGCCTACAAAAGGTTGGGGGTGAATATTTTGCAAATTTGAAAACTTTATTGAATGAAGGAAATGAAATTATTATACATCGACTCACTCTAGGAGTACTTGGAAAGAATGTTAGAATAGAAAATTGATTGATGTGTGATGGGGACCTTGATAATAAAGATATTTCTCCATATATTATGGATCAAAAGGGGTTTGATTTTGGCGAGATTGATGTTTCGATTCTTTCGTTCTGATAGAGGGGAGAGACAAATCTCGCATGTGGTATATTTTAACTTCTCCTCCTTTGCTCTCCTCCAGATAATATGTTTCTCACCTGGCCCACCTACTCATTCTCCTTTTAATTCTCACCTCAATCACCATCCTCATTCTCATTCTCATCACCCATCAACTCTTCAAGTTCGTCAAATGAATCACGTGCAACACACTCACCAACTTTTTCCATCCCTTGTTCAGATTCGCTCACATTTGGGCTCACACAATGATGGGTGTGAAAATATGAATATTCAGCTTGATTTTAAACGGACAGTAAATTAACAAGATTGACCAAGAGAAAAAGACTTGTTGATCTTCATAAAGCTCCCCACAACCGATCAGATATATTTAAACCAAGACTACGAAGCTGTAACGAAAGTATGTGACTATGAAATCAATTTACTTCTAACAAACCACAATACAGATTCTGAAAATTCCCATCAAAATAAACGGCAAATTACTCTCATGCCCTCCAAAACTCATTCAATTGCTCATACCCTAAATTCATAAAAGTTTTACTCTTATGCCTCTTAGATTTTACAATAGAATCTACATAACATCTATATAGAATCTACCTTAAATGTATGAATTCTAGTTTATCAATAATAATGATAAATAATAAAAACTTTAAAGGAAAAGAAGTAATATATTTATAGAATCTACCCCTCACATAGAATCTAGCCTAAAATAGTTAGAATCTACTCTCCTATTATAGAATCTGCCCTTTCTTACAGAATCTACTCTTTCGCTATAGAATATATACCTTATTTCATTATAGAATCTATCCTAAATGGATAGAATCTAGCCACTTTAAGCTAGATTCTATATGGATTCTATGGGGTATGAGAGTAAATCACCCCTCAATTTTAGGGCATGAGAGTAATTTGCCGCAAAATAAATCATGTCATCCTCTCAACACAGCTCAATCAGCCTTCTCTCCAATTGGCGTAACTCTCACCCTCATTTCTTCCTTGATCACTCATAAGCCTTCGTGAAATTTACATTGATGCGTACCTGACGTAAAACTAAAGTACCCCATCCTAATTAGCCATACCCGGCGAACTAGAAAAGTAAATATCATTCCACCACGAAATGCCAGAAGACCAGTTTCCATTCGCGTCGCACTCTTTGAAATTGATCAGAAAATAAGTTCCCGAGATTCAACTCACAATCATGTTACCAGCTGATGTAAATCCTGCCGAAGGAGCAGACTCCACTTTAGCTTCAAGATCCTAGAAACCACCCCACGAACTACCATTATACCTAGAGACGCAAAGTGTACCGCGGTCGTGATTGCATACTAAACAGTGGACACTTCCGTTGTATACCCCTATGGCTGGTGATTTGTTTGTTTTCATGGAGGAAGAGACTAGTGCTGCAGTTGTCCAAGTAGTCCCGTCAGTTGACCAATTATAAAACAAACGATCATCCCCTCCTCGATGGACGCCAATCAGTCGGCGGTTGTACGCACAGAGAGCCGGGCCATCGTTCGTGAACCCTCCATTTCCTCCTGCATAAACGGCACTGGTCCAACTGCTTCCATTGCTAGTAGATATGCAATATAGTCCATTGTTCTCGTGATGGCGATATAAGCAATATAACCGATTGTTATAAGTTGTAACTGCAGGCCGAGAACCCGATCGAATTACTATGTGAAATAGTGAAAGGCGTCGACCTTTTTCGTTCCGACTGTCGTACTTAGTCCAGTAAAACACATCATTCAATCCCCAGAAAACACCGCACGATTAATTGTTGAAGTTCAACAGCGAAATGCCGTCTCAACCTCCACCGGCAACTACTGGTGCCGTGGATCGAGTCTCACCAGCAATTTTTCATCCGCTGAAAAAGCCAGCTAGGCGAGGAATTTGTACACACTTGATCCATAATTCATGCTTTCCTGGGTCACCCCCATCGAACGTGAATGACAACTCGCCGTTGGTTCGTCTACTTCAAGCAGCCAATGCTGGCTCTGTGAACGCGAATACACGTCGAAAGACTAAGTCGTCGTCATTTGTCAACCACTCAAGGAGAGCTGCAACAAGCCTCCCACAGGTTCCAATTAACGCAAGAATCGCCGCGCCCTTTCCTGTCGATCCACATTCATCTCCCCAATCGTCAGCAGCAGTTGCATTAACAGCGGCCTCGATGGAAAAGTCTAGAATGTCTTTCAAAGTCTGCACCATTCTGTTATAGAAGCTATCACCACTATCATCCGCCTCCCAACACTCAATATGCCCTGCGAAATGCTCTTCAACAGCGCCTTCAAAGTAAGTCAGGCCCATTTGTCGTACATTCCCACTTTCAACGGCGCCATATTCGCCGGTTTTGAAATTTTGCTTATATCGAACATCGGATCCAGACGCCAGAGCCCAATAGATCTCATTCCTGGTGCTGGCAAATCCATCATGCTGCTCACGGTGACATTTGAACCGCTCTAAGACCAGTCTGTAGTCGCTTACGGTATTTGCGACAGCATCAGAATTAGGACTAATTGAAGTTGTGCTACTTTGGCCCTCCTCATCATCTTGCATTGGCTTTTTCTCCTCCTCTTCGAGCTTAGGCGCAACTAACACAGTTATTCCACTTCCTGCTCCAGTAAGTGCCTCCATATACTCGGGATTGTCAGCGCATTCTGCATCAATTGTTGTGATGTCTATAATTTTGTTTTCGGGCATGGTGAGGAAATCGCCCGTCATGGCTTTCGCATCAGCAACCATATCGACCTTGTTATATGGTGTATCCTCATCCATATTGAGTGAAACACCAGAGAAAATAGTGCCACTCAGAGTCCCTTTGCCAGCTTGAGCTTTGTTCTTAGTGTACATGTTCCCGTACTCAGCAACTTCCTCGTCAGTTGCGAAAATCTTGAGCATTCGAACCAAGCGAGCTTCTATTGGGGAGAGTTCTGCTCCCCTTGCATCACGGGGAGCAGCATGAAGCGCTGCAGTAAACATTGGATTGGAGAGAGTAGAGTTTTGACGAGTAGTTCTTCTGGAACTTCGGTTAAAAGCTTGACCAGAGAGTCGAGCCCGCAACTCCTCGGCACGCTCTGCCGGTGTTGTCAATGTACCCATGGTGGCTTATCGCGATTATCTGTTGTTTTTCACCAATAGTATTGGTAATGAGAATAAGTTTGGAAGATTCAGCGATAGTATCGGATAGACTGAAAAGCCAAAAAGTAAACAAGAAATGTTGTACGTTTTTGAGGTTCAATGTTGAGAATGGCAGAAGTAGAACGAAAATATCTAGATATCAGCTTCTGTATTTATAGACTTTCTCCAAAAGTGCTATGATGAGTGATCCGCAGGAATTAACTAGATTCAATCTTTGTGTGATCATAGCTGAGTTGTGCTGAAATGGCCATCATCCAATCTCATCTTTAGGGTAGGCTTTGATTCACGTCGTTGAATTCTAAAGAGCCTAAATAACACAGCATTCAATTCGAAATCCCTCACCACGCACTTGAGTAGCACACTTGATGTGACATGTATTTTTAGGTATTCCCGAGTAAGTGAACGCCTATACTGTTATGCCCATTGGTTAATATGCATATCTAAGTTATGCAGACTCGTTTAAACAATCTACCATCTCTCGACGATTACGCCACACACAAAAGCTAACAGCTGAACTTGTTCCAATATGACATCATAATTACTCTGTGATACTGCGACACTTTTTCTGTCCTGTCGGTTGTATCACCCCACACGGAAACACAATGATAGAATCGGGATAATGTTGCAGGTATCGTCATTACGCAGGTCAAGTTAGTCGAATTTTGATAACTGTTCATAAAGTTTCTGATAACTTGTGGGTATTAGATTTAGGAGAAATATGTTTGTTCAAGTCGCTAGAATCGTACAACTGAATTATGTGGAGTTATTCTCGATACACAACTACTCAGGTTGAAAGGATACGTAATGTAGAACGCATCAGATGTCTTTTTATCAAAACAAGAGAGACGTTGCAGCCCATATGAGATCACAAGATCTCCGGTATGTTTGCACAACGCCCCATGTGTTTCTGCTTCGTAGGCGAGGATGATACTCGTAGGAGGGTATCAATGGCAGGCATGAGCAGTGATCTAAGTTGAAATAATCATTCTTGAAATTTAAGAGTTACCTGACCAGACGCTTAATGCATATCTTCGGTGCTTAGGATATCGACATGCAGCATCAATCAATGCCTATGCTCCCCATCCTACTCTGTTAGAACAATCGACACTTATCGTTGTTGCGTAGACAATGGATCCACTTGGAGATTCGCCATCACACTGATACAGCGGGTACTACACCCGGTATCTAAATACCAGAATAACACTTGTACTTGCTTATCTTATTTTTTACCGCTAGCCTTTGAAGATGTAGCGCAATCTCACATCAGTATTCTATACATACCTCGCTCTTCTCCAGATCAGCTACTCTCACGTGCTAACAAACAATCCCGGCAGCGACCAAACCAAACGCGTGCGCAAACTTAAGACCACACATATATATATATACGTCCCCTTTTCCCATCTCACCATAGAGCCTTCCAGAAGATCATGGCCAGCACCCGACGCATCCTTTACAAAACGTGCACTTTTCATTTCAATGCAAATAGGTTCGAACCATCTCCGTTGTGCCTCTTCACACAAGGCCACACAGCCTATAACAGCCATCAGGATCTGAACGAATGATTGTTGTGACCAAAATTCCCACCTGGAATCCAGTATTATAGAAAACTTCCTAATTGTACGCATATCAGGGTGTCAGCAGTACAATGATTGAGTGATACAAGAATGAGGAGAGGATAGAATAAGATCAGATGAAGTGGCTTTCACAGATCACATGATCATCAGCTGCGCCACGTCGGACTTAATCCCTGACACTATCCGTATTTGGACACGGTCAAAGCCAAGGCAACCTCGGAGTAACATGGTACAGAAATATGGGATGAAGGGGAAGAAGGTCTACGAGTAAGATTCTGGGATTTCCTCGTTTTGTTTTATTTCTCTCACTCCACAACCGTTTGGATGATCTCTACCAGTAGTTTGTCTCATTGATCTGATCTCAGTCGCTGCCACTGGATTGTTTCGCTTTGTCCAAGTATTTCTACATCAACTTTCCTTGACCGCCAGTTCCCTAGGTAAGTACACTTTCCATCGCTACTGGTAGTGATAGCGTCAGTACTGGACGTACCTGCATCAGCCGTGTACAGTGGATTCTCAAATTGAATCCCTCGGTACGATCTACGGCATTTGCATTGAGATGCACCCCGGATTATGGACTCCTTCTTGTCCCATGAGCAAGGGAGCAATCAAGCTCAGAGGGAATCTTCACACTTTGATCTACCTCAGTATGTAATAAGTTATAATGATGATCATACCTTGCGATGGGATCCTCCAGCTGGGTCCAAAGAATTATCTATCGCCTTAAGTTATCATTTTCCACTGGAGAAGGACCTTGGAAGCAAAATGCAAGCTGCCACTAGGAAGTTTCTTCGAAATGAACGACAAAAGACAACATCGGGGGACTCCAAGACTAATGGAGTCTCTGAGAGTATGGATCTTGATGGTTTGCCATTACATATGAATACAGAAGATCAGGTCACGCGACCAAACGTGAAAGTACCAGAATCGTCATCACATGTCAAATCTAGATCCATGGCGTCTCATCGTATCTCTATGCCGGAAAGCAGAACCATTCAATTTTTAACATGGGATGCCGATATGAAAGAATTCAGTCCTAAAATAAAGAAGAGACGATACGATAAGGAAGAGCGAGTGAAAGTTGCCGCTAATAGAGGATTTGCATGTGCTAGGCATAGAAGACAGAAGATGAAGGTAATCGAACATCAGTTTCAGTTGTCAGACGCCTCACTAACAACTGCTAGTGTGATCCCGAACGATGTTCAAGAAACAAACAACGATTGAGTAGTTTAGAGTATATGGCTGCCAAAGTAGAGGCCCAATCGATTCTAGAGAAACGACATTCTTCTTTCATTCCAGACCCCGAGACTGCCAGTCAAATAAACTCCACGATAGACCCTGAGATACTCACTGTCAACTCATCGCCTTCTTTAGATCCATCGCCAAGGTGGACCACCTCTTCTTTTGTGGATCCCACGACGCTCTACAAACTAGAGGGTTTCCACACTAGCGCTCAGTCATTGGATTTTCCTACACCTTCCTTCGAATATAGTTCGAGATCACATGACTCCATCGGCTCAGTACTATCTACAAGTTCAGATGTGAACTTTCTCGCCGGCTATGATGAGATGAACTTTGATATTCCTCATTACGGGACTTATCATTGGTGGCCACGAAATGAGCAGTTTGACCCCGTTGGCCATACATTCAATGATCTCATGCCAATTGACCAACCCATCACAATGTCGAATACTTTACAAATGGAGACATTCCAACTCGAAGATAAACAGTTTTCCCCATTCAATCAGCCTTCAATAGAATCTTCAGACCAGCAGCTAGATTGGTCTCACAATGTGATTGTTCCAGAACAGAATTATATTATAGAGCCCTCCTCTACCCCACTCCGCCCATCCTCAAGTCCAATGGAAAATACAACAACTTCAGCAGAGGGAAATGGTCACTGTCAACAAGACTTAATGGAATGGGAATCAGTTCGTCCATCAAGCGTCACTCAAGGTTATTTCACCAACAACCAAGTGAAACCATTGACAGACGAAGAAAAGAGAACACTCATCAAATGGTGGGGTAGGGATAGATCTTCCGAGCAACCGGAGAGTATTCGTGGTAGGCAGAGCTCATATGAAAGTCAACCGTCTAATGGTGATTTTGCTGGAGTTGAAATTCAGTCCAATATGGGTGTGGGGAAGAAAGCGAGTCTTAGGGAGAAGGTCAAGACTGCTACAGTTCATGTACCGCCGTTTCCGAGGGGGTTGTTTAGAAGTCGATCCGCAAGAAAAGATAAGAAGCCGTAAATTTTTCTTGATAGTTGTCCGATATTATACACTCTGTCAAAGAGAGTCAGGTGTTTGTATTTAGGGGTTATTGGATTTGGGGAAAAGTTATGGTGCTGTGGTGCTACGCGGATATCCTGTCTTTTCCAGATTTAAATTATTATTGGAAGCTTCTTGGATCTATATATAGGGCGTTGATATCAAAGCGTCTGTTCGTACATTCATTTCCAGAGAGTACTACTGTTTTGCATCGTTATTGCTCACAATTTCGACAGCGGAATTCGAGTTCCGTGCGTTTAACAGTTATGGAATGTGTTTTTTTCTGCATGATTTGATTTTTGCCTTCATCACGTCTTCTCTGTATGTGTTTGATTTTCATTTTACTCTCGGAGGTACTATGCATTTGAGGTAATACAATAAGCATAACGTCGCTAGCTAGTCTACAAAGACGTTCTGATCACAAGTGATCACCTCCCTATTAAGAGTATCCTGGTTGAATGTATCAAACTCCAATCTTTGATGGTGAGGGTATCTTGAGTTCACCTTTTTGATGCGACTTCCATAATGTGCTGTTTCACCATTTCTTGGTCTTCATCTCTGAAATTTTGACAGTACGAACGGACCGGACAAGATACAGTAGAATGTTCTTGATTGATCCTCTGTAAAAAAATCTCTTCTTCCTTCTCTCGAATCTCAGAACGAAACAGGAATAATGGATTAGTAAGTACCAAGTAACAACACCGAGTCACAGTGAGCCGTAACAGGATTTCACTAGAATCGCACAGCTGTAGTAGACATATCGAGTCTAAACGACTCGGGGACTCAAATGGTGGTACGGTTGTTGAGATGTTTTCAGCACATCGCTTATTCATTGCTGTACAGTTTTCATTCAAGATCTATATATTCAGCACTCTACTCAGTCATTGTTCGATATTATATGCATTAATACTTCCTTCTCTCTATCACATAATATTCACGAACAATTCTCGAGTCTAAAGATATTCAAATATGGCAAACGCAGCCCTTCCCCTCATAGGGATCAAAAATGGGTCAAAGAACTCATTCCCACCCAAGTCCGTGGAAGACACCAGAAAAATGATCGAACAACTTTGTATCGATATCAATTTCGGCCACAAGGTCAAAAAAATGGATATATTTGTCGGTGGAAACAATACCGCCATTTTGTTTACTTGTCTTCCTCTCAAAGCAACGACTGAAGACCAACGAGTCGCCTGCGTATTACGTACTTCTCTGAAAAATCATTTCAGAGGCAACCCCCCGGTCGATTACTGCATGAAGTCGGAAGTATCTCTCACTGATTACTTCCGCCAGAAAAAGAATCTGCCAATTCCAATCGTTCTAGCATGGGATTGTACCTATACGAATACCATCAAATGTCCATATTCTCTTTTGGAACAAGTCAAAGGGGAAACATTGGAGTTCGAGTATTATAACCTGAATCAAGGTTTGCTTTATAAGTCTCCACGGAATGCCCGAGTAGAACGTCGTTGCTTATACACGAGATGCATTGCCGTCTTTGTGGCTGCCATGGACAAGACTGAACTTCCTGGGTACGGATTTTTCGTCGCTGCGGCCAGTATGCCAAACAAGGGTACCAAAGTAGAAGTAGACTTCCAGCTAAGTCGAGATACCATCGACGGGGTTAAGATTCCCTCGGAGCCGAATTTTCTTAATTGGGTCAACAATATTCTGAATGCGCAAATGCAGAGAGCTTCTGATATTTTTCTTAAGGTGTCGCCCGTTGAAACTTGGAAGATTCAGAAGCTTAGAACGATAGGCTCGCAGATGGCAGAGAAAGGGTTATTGACAGATGAACCGGCCGTATTATGGCATGCAGACTTCTACCCGAGGAATATCATGGTCGAGAGTCCTAGGAACCGTGCGATACTCACCGGAGTCATTGATTGGGACGAAGCTAGGGCAGTAAGTCATTATCTCCACTCACATATATTCTGATCTCTTTGTGAGATTTTAAACTAACATCTTCATAGTTTCCTCGACTTGTATCCAGAAAACCTTCCAGCTGGCTCTGGTCCATGGCAGAGAGCCCATTGTTACCAGAAGAAAGCGACACAATTGCAGCTGCTTTCTACGATCAGATGGAGATGCTGCGTCCAGGATATAAAGATGACGCGTGTCTGCCAAGCAGAAAAGCAGTGAGAGCTCTCTGCATGTATGCAGTCTTTGGGGTAAATTTTCAGCATCACCTTGAGGTGTCCTTTGATAATCTGGTGGGGTATTGGGAGGATGTCATGAGGAAAGGTTAGAAAATTGGAGAGATCGTGGATTTGTTGCGATCGGTCCGTGGATGGCGTTCGCAACAAGGATTGGATTTGGTGGGGAGCAGACAATTATCTCGGATAAAAAATGAGCGATGGAGTTGCAGCGGTTTTAATATACCCCTCATACAGATGTGAACTAGCGTTCTTTTTCTTGTTAAATAGGTCATTGAGTAGAATAATTCGCTAATATTCTAGATCAAGTTAAAGCTTTTCTTTAAAAAAACATGTTATTTAAGTGGTACCTGAGAGCAAACGCATCTATCCCCAACACAGCCTTAAACTTTCGTCTTCACCATCCTCTCAGTATCCCAAGCTTGGTGATATTGATGACAGTTGTCAGTTCCGTACAATACGTACCCAATTAAGCTTATGACTCCTTAACCTGAGAGCACTTCCCCCGTCCAATCGCACAACAACTCAATCAAGCAGTAATGCACCATTGGACCTTCCACTTATACTCTACAACATAATACATAATCTACGGTGGTCGTTGATTCCAACTTCAACCTTCCTGAACATTCCTGAACCTCAATATTTTATGAATTATCTTGCAAACTTGGAGATCAAACACCCTTTATTCTTACAGCTACATTAACGAAGTGTTTGAATGTACATTGCCTCAGATATATAAGCTTTCCGAAATATCTTGTAAGATTACCTCATTTTCCCATACAATATTCTTGAATAGTACCAACACCAAAGTTCTAGATTTCTTTTAGATTTATACTAACGTAGCCTCCATGGATATAGGATCCCAGCGTTTAGAAATTTTCAAGATGAGCAGCGCACTTGCCCGCAATCCACACGTCGAGTTGTTTCCCCTGATAAACGCACCAGGTCATGACAGATTCGGGGAACACTCATCACCCGAACAGATAGTCAGAATGATTCCATTTCCGTCTCAACTGAGTTCCTCCGATTGTGAAAGATTGCTCAATGGGCTACTCTCGGAACATGGACACCCAGAAACCGCTACCTATTGCGGTTTCAAAGAGGGCAGAAATAATAGCCTTGTGGTATTCACATGCCAAGCAACTCCATTTTATGCACTCCTCAAGTACTGCATACGGACCCCTCGATATATTTCTTTTTCACAGAAACGCCAATATCCAATTTATCAGCCCGTCAAATTCCTTGTAGCATTGACACGTCATTTTGGAGTTCAAGGAGTGGGTTTACCTATCCCTAATATCCTTTTTTATGACTCCGGTTTTGAGAACGCTATTTCTTGTCCATATGTTGTCATGCAAATGATATCTGGGACCACACTAGAAAAGCTATACCAAACCATCCAACGATCACCGGATTTTTTCCCCTTTGTATTGCAATACTGCCAACTTGCGCGTGAAATAGCATATTTCGTTGCTAAGAAGGAAAGTGTTAAAATTCCAGGCTACGGCGTCCTTAGAAATGTAACAGATACGGAAATATGGAACAGAGAAGACCCAAATGCTCGCTACGACCTTGCTGTGGACGAACTCAACATAGCGGGTGCCGAAATGCCAAAATTCGGCTTTCGCAGCTTCATCAGTAGGTTGGTGGGAAAAGAGTTGCAAAGACATTTTGATCTGCAGGCAATGGGGCAGAGATATCAAGGCATAAAACTCGGAATTGTATGGATGGAAATGTTTGTAAAACATATGTTCAGCGATCAAGACTCGACACTTTGGCATCCAGACTTTCATCCAAGAAATATCTTGATTGTTCGACATGGGAATCATGTTCGTCTGTCAGGTGTTATCGATTGGGACAATGCTTTGGCTGTAAGTGAATCTCCGTTCTCTCACCACAATAACTGGGGAACTAATCCGCAGTAAGCTACCGCGTATCATGACAAGAGAACCTCCTTCTTTTCTCTGGAACCAGCCCGGCGTTCTTACACAGCAAGAGGCTGATGCGGTTAAACAAGCATTTGATGAGACGATAGAGCAATTGGTTCCTGGATATACAGAAGATGCATACTCGAGACCTCGAGTTCTCACTCGAGCTTTGGGCATGTATTTGTTATATGGCCCCCAATGGAAGCATTATGGAGAAATCTCCTTTGACGAATTCCTACTGGAATGTGAAAGATTTTTTGGCCCTGATTTGCAATTCCCTATTATATAATCGATTTTCATTTCTTTGTAAGAAAGCCAGCACCGATCTGAAGTTTTGGTCATTACAGCAGAAATTATGATAATGAAGGATTAGAAATTACCAGCGAAACACACTTCATATAACAGTGCCTTGATTCATTGAGAAATCTCGTCATTTGTAGAGAATGAATCGTGTTTTAAATTGTAGACTCACATCTATGCTATTTTGTTATCAAAATTTATCTATTAATCTAGGCAAGTGAAGAATAATGGTTCAAAAAAACTGGACCACAATTATATATCTACCTTTAGATTTACAATATTTAATCACTAGATATAATACACACTACCGAATCGCCTTTTCGTTTATCTGACCAATGATAACTGTTGATTTAGTAAGTGCTACATAATTCACCACTACCACGATTTAAGATTTGTTCTAAAACACTGCCAAAAAAATCTCCAGGCTAGCATGATAATATGAAAGCCAGTTCCGTCAACATACTGTTTGTTGGGATTATTGTAAAGTTTGGATTATGAAGAGTGAATTAAAGTGAGAGAAAAGTGGATTGGATTGCTTTACTAATTCTGGATGGAAGTGATTTTTATATTTGAGAGAAACAATGTACAATGGTTCTGGTAGTCTCTCCGAGGGTCATCTTACATGTTATCGAAGAATTGATATAAATTCATTGAGCTTCAATCAATCATTCCTAGGTCACAAGTCTGTTTCACAAGAATCGTATTGTATATCAAAATCTCTCCTCATGTAGAACTAGAACATGGTTTGATATTACTACACTCCATCATAACTGAATTGCCCATTTCAATTGTTTCAATGAATCTTTCAAAAAAGAAATTGTAAAATATTTTCTATACAACCCTGTCTCTTGAAGTCTACTTGATTGATAGTTTTTCTTGTGTAGATCCACTTTGGCACTAGTCTCATAGCTAGCTTCACTTAATACGATTGTGTTCTTCTTACACTGCAGCATCATGATTATATAAAGGAATTAATCTATTACACACTATCAATTCCTTTCAACCTGGAAACCTTCAACATATACCTTCAACATACATCTTTCACAACAGCCATTAACACAACAATGGCATCTCAATTTCCCCCTCCTATACCCAATGCCTTTCCGCCAAAAGATATCTCAGCAATCAAAGTAATGGTAACTCATCTCTGCCACGAAAACGGATTTCCCCCCGGTATCATCCGAATTTCCGAAATCAAAAGCGGTAGCAAACACAATATCATACTATTCACATGGATTTTAACCAATCTTGCTCCCGGTAGTTGCAAGGCTCCTTGCAAGCACTATGTCCTGCGAACCCCCAAAATGCAAAGAGGGATCCCCGATCTCTGGATCCAGAGAACCGCCGCCTTCGATTTTATGTCACTCAAACACTTTGAAGTTCCAAAACTATACGCTTATGATGCTAGGTGCGGGAATGCCATTAGATCTCCGTATATCATACAGCAGCAAGTGGAAGGTTGTACTTTGCTAGAAAAATATCGTATACTATATCACAATTTTCTCACACTCGGTCATTACAAGCCAGGTTGTGAGTACGGAGAGGCTGCTTCTATGATATCTATGTATATCGAAAGACAAGAATTAGCATATCAATTTGAATGTTATGGTACTTTTCAACCCGTTCAAGGAATGGCACTCCAGAGTTTCGTTCCTGACAGAGTCAAAGATCGAATTGGATTGGTCGTGAAACCATTCACGAATACTTTGTCTATGAGAGCTAATTCGAAGGCCATCGATTTTATCCTCGAACTACTCTTCGTATCGGAGTCGCAGACGCGGAGTCCGGATCAGGAAGTTAAGTATCGGAAGATTCGTCATATAGCTTTATGTATCAAGGTTTCGGACCATAATGATATTTATCGTGCTGCACATAAACCCGAACCCTCTGTTCTTTGGCATCCGAATTTTCAGCCGAGCAAAATCATGATGACTGCATCGCCTCAATACGCAGAATCGAAGGACGACCCCAATCGAATAGAATCCTACAAACTGGAAGCGGTACTAGGATGGGAAGGCGCAATGGCACTCCCTCGTATCATGACTCGATGTCCTCCTTATTTTCTGTGGGGAGAAGGTCCTCAAGTACATGAGTTAGATAAGTGTACGTGGAAGTATGCTAGCGTTGATGAGATGATAGAAGAGGGACTGCCGGGATGGTACGAAGATGCTTATGGAGAGATGTCGAGGATTGTTAGGGCGTTGGGGTTTTATGCATTGTTTGGGGTGGATTTTGATTGGAATGAACTTCCATTCGAGGTTTTGATTGATGCGTGGACGCGGATTGAGCCTGAAACGAGGAATTTAGAGTATGCGACGAGATAGGGATGTGTGTTTCTGTAGGAAGGGCGGTGATGTCTCTTTTTATGGATCGGCAGATGGGTGGGTAGATTGAGGTTGTGAGATGACTATGAGGTCCTATTGCACTGGTGGATTATCTCGGCTAATGGGTATATCAAAGATAATAGTGCACCTCCTTTTGCATTACATTATTAGTCTTATCCAAAGCTCAAGTTCTGAGTGAGATCTTTGGTTATATGATAGCACAATTATATTATATTCAATTTGACCTTGGGTAGTTGGCTTTATCAGACAAGTCGAAGTCATGTCTTTAATTGGGACAATATTATGGAAACTCTAAAATTTGATGAGATAAATCCGGGTGAATGTAGAGGAATTATATAATGCCAAGCTATGTGGAAGTAAACAACATAACATATCTAGCATAATTTTCACGCCAACCTGATCACAACACCACCTTCATTGTATAAATAGTGATCATCGTTCACAGGTTTCTGTTATGCCTGCATAAGAGAGCCCTTACTTAAATTCATACGACTGTAGCAACAAGTGTGGGCCAACGAAACCGTACACAGCAATATATAGTTTAATACGACATCTTTGTATGATTAAGCACTACGGTCTTCTACAGTATGAGCTAAACTTCGGCATATCAAGTTCCAGTACAGTATTCATGTATTCATTGATCTAGAATGGTTCCTATGAATCAACTAATCAATTTCCCATTCCAAGAGTATCATAGACGAAACTCTATGGGGAATGTTCATTGACTTCCTAGTTACCTAGTTCGTCTAACACCGTAAGCGAGAAAGATGTAAATCTATACGCCATCTCAGTATACACCATTTTCAACCCGTGATGAGCAACTATTGAAATTATCTCAGAGATCACAAGAACCGTACGTGCATAGCAAAAGATCCCACTACCGTGAACTCCATTTCCACCTGTCTAAAAGCTCAAAACATTCGCTTCGCCTGAGAACCGTATCCACTAATTATTACGGCGATGATGATTGCTAGGTAGATAGATACTGTCTATCAACATGGCATTGAAAACCGTATGAAGCGTATCCTGTAAGCACAATTTATATATATGACCCATTATCTTCTAGAGAAATTCCCTTCATCACATCTTGACTTGCTTCTTGCCAACCAAGAACCTTACTTTATCAACCACAAAGTTCCTAACTTCAACAACTAAACAACATCATTCTACCACTCTCCTTTGACCTACTCTTTCAATCACAGCTAGATCAAAGAAAATGGCTTCTCAATATCCCCACCCATTAGTCTTGACTAATAATTCCTTCCCTCCACCCGGAGCCACCAATTCCACAATCACAGAAATCCTCAATAGATTCTGTAGCTCCATCAACTTCCCCATCCGCATCTTAGGATGTTCTGTAAAAGAAGGCGGAAACAACGTCATAATCCTCTGCTACGCAGTATTCACCAGTCCTGTACGAGACACGCTACCCTCACCAATATCCTGCATTCTCCGAATCGGCAAATTACGCTGGAACCTCCACGACTACGTCGATCCCGGAATTCTCGAAATGGCCGCCTTCCACCACGTCATGGGGAACACATCCCCACTCATCCCATCCATCTACGCCTGGGACGCCACATGTGTGAATCTCCTCGGATGTCCCTATGTCATCCAACCACTGATCGCTGGTCACGATTTGCAGACGCTCTACACACCACTTAGCGGCTGGCGCCATCCCATCGAAACGCGCATCAGATTCGCCCACGAAATCGCTAGATGTATTGCGCACATTGAAAGTTTTCGATTCGAGAACTACGGCACCTTTGCCGTTTCCGCGCGCATGCCAGAGAAGTGTTCGGATCCGAGTTCTCCCAGTATTTCAGAGCTGATTGGGTTTTCGCCGATCCCCTGGACTGCGAATCTTTTCATGAGGAAGGATACCAAGATCGGACATTTCCTGATTGATATCTTAACCTCGCAGTTGAATGATGCGAGAAGTCCAGCGGCAGAGGAGAGGCATGGTATTCTCGTTCCTATGGCCTGTGAATTGAATGAGCTTGAACACACTCATTCGTTAACACAAAATGGCGAACCAGCTGTTCTTTGGCATCCTGATTTTTGGCCACGAAATATTATGATGGAGAAAAATGAGCAGGATGTGAAGATCACGGGGGTTATCGATTGGGATGGAGTAATGATTGTTCCGAGGATCATGACTCGTCGAGCTCCGGTGTTTTTGTGGGATGAAGGGGATGAGTTGTCGGTATTTGAGAGGAATATTATCAAGTACCGATTCGATCAGAGGATTGAACAGTTGTTGCCCGGGTATTGTTCGGATGCATATTCTGACTGGGGGAATATGACGAGGGCGATAGCAACGCATGCGTTGAAGGGCGTGGACTGGAATTACTGCGAGCTTTCTTTTGGGGCGTTGATGGAGCTGTGGAATGATTTTGTGGGGAATGCATGAAGTGCAGTTGTTGAAGGGATGAGATAAGAAGGCACAGTAGATGATATCTAACCTGAGTCAAGGGAGATAGTCGAGGGTCTCGAATAACGATGATGGTGGGTTGAGATAAAGAAATTAAGTGGTATCTAGAACGGGTGGGAGAGGGACAAGAAAAGTGGAAGAGAAGGGGAGAGACAGAAACAACTATCAAGAATAGTAGGGGTTAGGAGGAAGCAAAAAGTTATTATTCGAGGAGGGCGACGGGGAGAGTAATACTGACGGTCCTGGTACAGGGAAGCTAGGCGCGCAGTTGAGGTTGCTAAGAGGTATCTAGTCTTTAGAATTTAGGATTCCGGATTTGAGACGATCTAATTTTCGCTTAATCTGTATAGAAATGAAGTATCAAAATATCTAAAGAGCCTCTTTCAATATCGGAAAGTTAAGTCTTGATAGACTCCATTGATCATTCATGTCTATTCAAAGTTTTTCAAAAAGTTTTTCTTGTTATGATCCTGTCTTTACTCGGATCATGGCAAGTAAACAAATAGCAGCCAAAACTCATCACCAGGCCGATGAGCTTTGAGCAAATTTCAAGACACACAAATTTCTTCTGTATGGTAATTGACAGAACCAAAATACACACAGAAAGATTCTCCACCTTGCAACAATCAATTTGAACCTCGATTTAATTGCACAATTGTTTATTTTTTTAAAAAATACTTTGACAGCTCTTTGTTCTGTGATCGAAGTAACATTTCGAACAATCCAACGAAATGTCGAATCCTACCATCACGAAAATGAATCCCTTCCCACCAACTTCAGATGGAACTGTTAATCTTCCCGCTGTCATTGAAGTGTTCTCTATAGACATTGGACTTGGCTATGATATCCAAGACTGCGAGATTAGACAGGGTGGAAACAACAACGTGGTCATGTTCTCTTACATGCCCTTCACAACCTCTGATCCAACCCAACCTCCACCATCCAATTCTCGTCGATTCTGTATCTTGCGTACCAGGAAGAAGATACTTATCAATTCTTTAAACATGAGATGCAAAGCTATAAAAACAATTGTGGCGGTAATGCACAGCTTCGGAGAAGGAAGCGCACATCCATCTCACCTTCCTATACCTGCAATTCTCGCCTATGATGAGACGTACGATAATGCGATCAAGTGCCCCTATATCATACAGCGAAGAGCAGCAGGAGACGATTTGAAGGAATGGTATAAAGTTCTCGATTCGCAAGTTCCGGCGACTGGCCCGTATGATTTGACGGATAGATTGAGAATTGCCGAGGAAATCGCAAAGTTTCTTGCGCGCACGGAAAATGGTAGCCAGCTTCAGGTGTATGGAACTTTAATTAATGGATTGGGTATGTTAGCGAAGGATATAGAATTTTCGGGAGAGAAAATGGAGGTAAGAATTAGAGGGCCATCTGTTGGTACTGTGCAGATTCCGAGTTTATTACATCATATTGATATGATTGAGCGTCTAATCGAAGCTTGGATCAAGATTTTGAGTCCAGGAGCGGGTGCTGCTCAAGCTGAGTATCAGAATGTGGTGGAATTGAAAGGAATCTTTCAGCAGATGAAACAAGAGGGACGTTTGGATCGGGTCAGTTCTGCGGCTACGCTCTGGCATCAGGATCTCTATCCACGAAATATCATGTTTAATCGTGCTGGAGTGGCTAGAGAGCTGAAGTTGACGGCAGTGATTGATTGGGATGGTGCGATGGTGGTGAGTTATCTGTGAATTGTCACTCAGAAAACTCAAATGAGAGCTTTAGAATGTACCCAGCTAACCTGCGTCTATCTATCCAGCTTCCTCGAATCATGACACGAAGACCCCCCCATTGGCTCTGGAAATATAACGAACTTCACGAAAACCATCGCAAAATCATTAAAAACCATTTTTATACCTATATGGAGCGATTAGTCCCGGGATATAGAGAGGATGCGGAGGGAAGAGAGGCGAGAGTTGTGAGGGCACTTTATGTGTATGCGTTTTGGGGACCAGAGTATGGATACCATACTGAGCTTTCGTTTAAGGAATTGCTAAAGGAATGGGAAAAGATGGGGGTGGAGGAAATGTTTTGAGAGGGAATGGGTGGAGTGGGTGGAGTAGAATGGATTGTTGGGGATGGAAGGGTGGATGAGTGGGCTAGTCTTAACTCAATCTAATCGTGAAGGCAAGGAAGGTGTTCTAAAATGGAATAGTAGTTACATCGTGTAGTAATTTGAGGATAGTTATTCTCATATTTCAATTCTTTTGACACAGACGATAAGAGATATCAATGGATTTTCAGATTTTACTACTATATTGAGACTTGAGTATCTACTGGAGTATCTACAGGCTATTCTTCGAGTTGGATGCGAAGATATGGGTTCATAACGAGATGAGCATAGTACGCTTCAAACACAATTGATAGATAATTTGAGAGTAATGTGTAGTATTTATTAGTCTCTGTAATGTATAGCTCTTAGTACTGTGCCAGGAAGCTTCAATCTATTCTCCTAGTCCAACGATCCAAATAAACTGAAATATGCCCTTTAGAGTTAAAGATTATGGAATAAGTAGTGCTTAAACAATAGATTCAGCTAATCTCCACGTGCAAACCCGTACTCACTTTATAGTCTCTATATACAAAATCTTGGCTAAAATAAACTTACCTAAATACTTGATACATTAAACCAGTATCACTATTACCTGAAGATACAAAAAACTTGCAACTTCTGAGATATCCAAACAATCCAAGCTACTAGCTATCCTCGCGATCGAAAGACCAAACTCGATCCCTACTCACGAAGCTGAATACTCTGAAACTATTCTCAGACGCAGGTATAAAACACATATACATGTTGATGCGAGGAATTATCTCAGCAAAGCCTACGATTAGACAATCGACTGTCGATGGCTTTGTAACTTGCTTCGATACTTCGTTAGACTGGGAAGATTTGTGTTGATATATAAATATGCTTTGACAGTTCATTGCGTGAAACTCCAATCCGTTGTTCCCAGCTCTCCCATCTCTACACAAAAGACCCAATAGGCAATGATCCAATCCTACTCTCCTACTTTCCTCTTCTCCGTCTCTCCCTCTCTCCCTCTCTCCCTCTCTCCCTCTCTCCCTCTCTCCCTCTCTCCCTCTCTCCCTCTCTCCCTCTCTCCGTCTCTCCCTCTCTCCCTCTCTCCCTCTCTCCCTCTCTCCCTCTCTCCCTCTCCCTCTTTAATCCCCAATCCCCAATCCCTCCCCCATCAAACCCCATCAAACCTCCACCTTAGACATTACACTGGATCTAACAATCCAACCATCATAGCTCCCATCCATCCCTTCCACGCAGTAATTCTTCCCCTTGGAATTGACAATAACCCATCAAATTATGAGATACTTCACTATCCATCCACCCATCTGCCATCCAGTTTTCAAACCTTATCCCTTCATCATCAAATACTAAATATCGAACATCAAACATCATACTGCCAAACATTATTTCTACATTTATCCCTCATACTTACAACAGCTCGACATCTGCATCTTCATCCCACAAATCTAATCCTCATTCCAATAGAAAGAAGAAAAAACCTTCAAAACTTCATTTCACTTCGCTATCGTATCAATTCGTCTATATACAAGTCAACAAGCAGCCCCATCTTATTGCTACCCACCCCCATCCAAATCCACCTTAGTCAGTACTTCTAACCCACCATCCACTCTACTCTACCCCACTCCACCCCTCGTCTATACAAAATGCCTCCCCCATTCTCCAATACATTTGCCATAGACACTGCAACCGCAAACAAACAACAAGGCATTCCCCAAAACACGCTACGCTTCGCTCCAATACGCATCACAACATCCATTAATAACACCACCAACTACCCTAGAAGCATTAAACCAAATTCCATAATTGTAAACTAGTAAACCAACTCTTCATGTTTTATGCATGCATGTATTCAAAGAACGCCCCTAATCAATCCAATCCAATCGCATTGTGCAAAGGTTGGTACTAAGCAATGTAACCTCTCCCAAAATCAAATTTCTTCCCCTTCTCATCCCCGTCAATACCGAGTTGATCTTCTATCACGTCCTTGTTGAGGTGCAGGATGTGGATTATCTCCATCAAAAAGATCTTGCAAATAAGCACTCGGCGCTCTAACATTTCCATCATTATTTCTTGATTCCAATGTACTCGATTCAGAATGAGTACCATGACCAGGACTACCAGGTGGAGATTGATTCCCTCTTGCATATCCTTGTGGTGTGAGATTTGACATATTGATACTTTGTCTATCACCTGGATATGCTCCTGGGAGTGCATTCCCTGCTGCATAATAACCTGCCGGAAGATAACTTGAAGCACGATTTCCTGGAGTATTGCCACCAGCGAGAGCTGTAGGACTGAAGAATAAAGATGTTTGAGATGGTGGTGCGTTGGCAGTGGTTGGTCTCTTCTTTCCACTTTTTCCACCCAATCCACCTCCTCCAAGTGAAAGAGTTGAATCTTTATCGGCATATTTGTAAAATGGTGCTGGTGGAGCTTGAAACAATTGCTTTTTATCCACATGGCTCGGTTGTCTAGCTGCGCGTTTGACTGATCTATGTAACGCCCAAGCAACCATCATACGCCAAGCCAAAACCGACAAGGCCATAAATCCCAGAACTGCACCTACAGCAATAAAAACCGTACCTTCGGGATAACTTGATTGTTTCATGAATGGCGCATTTGAGGTTGGAGGGACAGCAGCCGTTGGAATTGAGTATGCTCCGGCCAATGTTGGTAAAGCGGAGGATGAAGTACCTTTACCCGTTGATGTAGATCCACCTGTAATTACGGCAATCGATTGCGCCGTTGTCGAGGCTGTGTCACTTGAGGTTGTGGTTATCGTTGAGGCTGCAGCGGCTGAAGATTCCGAAGCTGCCACACTGGAAAGGTTGGGTAAATCTGAAGTCGCTGTTGTAGCCGCTGTTGTGGTAGTTGCTGCCATGATTGGCACAACAAATAATGAAAGTGCACAAGCAGCAGATGCTACTGATTTATTGAATCGCATTTTTGGGTATATTGTAGTTCGTATTCGAGACAGAATCGTTGGTACTCGTGATAGAAAAGTTGGGGTTATCGACTCCAACTGAATCGAATGTTGTCGCAGCGACCGACCGATTGAAGAATCGCGTTCCTACGGGAAATGAATTGAAAAATCGAGTTGTGTTTGTTTCGAATCCTCCCCTCTAAAGTCGAATCTTGATCCCGTTCCCAGTTCTAGAATTGTTCTCTGGTCGCAAAGATGCTTCTAAACTTGATCGATCACGACGTGAAGTTTTGTCGTTGTGCAGCAGAAAACTGATGGTTGAGAATGAATCCTCGATTTCCGTAGTGGAACAGACAGTAATTAATGTTAACAAGGGTATCCAACATCCAAATCTATGGGGTACGTTTGATGTTATGCAAAGAAGGATGAGCAGTAAGGAATTAATGAAGCGGGTATCAAAACAGCGACCGATATAATAGCGATGAGAATGCAATAACGAATGGGAAGAAAAGTAATAAGGAATATGGAATCAATGAAGAGGTTATTCAAAGATTTGTTGAGTGTGTGGCTGTCATTGTAGATGTATACACCTTCGAGTACTCATACGAGTAGACAAGAAGAAAGAAGAAATGCCAATCAATGGTCTTGTTGTGATTATGTAATTCTCGTATTTTCTTTCTTTCACTCCTCTCTCCCTCTTGCCTCTGTCCTCTCTTCGTGTTCCTGCATTCCCCAGTCATACACAGTACTTCGTAGATATATACATGACACATGACACATGACATGATTTAGACCGAACTTAATTCACATTCCTGAGAGAGGATTAGTCAACCATCCAATTATGGATAAAATGTAAACTAACCACTTGATCTACGAAGTACTTGATCTATCTACTTGATCTACTCGATCACCTATTAATAGTGATTAGGAGTTATGGATGGGCAAAAGAGTACAAGCAAGCACGTGTTGAAGCTAAAATGAATCAGATAGACCACGAAGTACAGAGTAGGTAGTAGCTCAGCATTCTTCAAGGCGGTGAAAAGTTCATTCCGGCACAAAATTATCGAAATTTATCATTTTTTGCTCGATTGAATGATGGTCGTAGATACTTTTATAATTATTTTACATCGAGAATATACCTCCTTCGACTGGTCCGAAAATTCCATCTTGTCGCAACCTACACATCCATATATTAATTCATCGCGCATATCTTCAAATCTTCTAAATAATGGGCAAAGCAGCTAAAACCCGCAAATTTGGTGCGGTAAGTATTCTTCTGCCATTACACATCCCTCTTATCGATTGTCCCGTCTTACTTACATTTCCCCTCCTCCCTTCAGGTCAAACGAGTAATCGGTCAACGAGATGCGCGTCTAAAGGAAAACAAAGATAAAGGAGAAGAAGGGGCCAATAAACCCAAGGAACTTGTTCGAGAAGCGTATGTCATTCAATCCACGTTCGCATAACTCATTAGCTAATGACGCATGATCTCTAGTCCTCAAGTCTCGTCCGCTCTCTTCTTTCAATACAACGAAGCTCTCGTCCCTCCATATTCTATCCTCATTGATACCAATTTCCTCTCTCATACTGTTCAACGCAAACTTCCTCTTCTGGAATCCCTCATGGATTGTCTCTACGCCAAATGTATTCCTATCATTACTTCCTGCGTCATGGCCGAGTTGGAAAAACTTGGTCCAAGATATCGAATTGCTCTTCGAATCGCTCGTGATGAGAGATGGCAAAGATTACAATGTGATCATAAGGGTGTTTATGCAGATGATTGTATCGTGGACAGAGTACAAAAGCATAAGATTTACATTGTGGCAACGAATGATAGGGAATTGAAGAGAAGAGTTAGAAAGGTTCCTGGTGTGCCCATCATGAGTGTGGCTAGAGGAAAATATGTTATTGAAAGATTACCAGATGCTCCAGAGAAGTAGAGTTTCTATCAAGATAAATGGATCATGGTGGCTTGGGTAATGTATATCCGGAAGTCTGGCGTTCAGGAAAAGGGAATCGAAATTCTTCAAAGATATTGGGAATGGATTGGAGAAATAGTATGGAACCTCATAAACTTGAGTGTTCTGAATTTTATGTATTTCAAATGTATAGTTCTATGAGATACTATTCAATATTGAGAGCACGTGCTGTACCATGCGTTCGACGGCTGATATCAAAATACCTAGAGATCGTGTCACCATTATATGGGTAGGTTTATCAGAGAAATATCACATTTCGTCTTGTCTCAGGCACGCAAGCGAATGTCATCATTATTACCAGAGTCACCAGATCGCTAGAAATCATAACACGAATACCACTCTGCTTGACATCTATTCCCCTGCTTATGAGAAAAGTAAGTTAGGCTTAATATATCTCCCAGTATCTATACATTTCACCTTCTTAAAACCAAAGATTCAAACAACTGCCTCCAGCCTGAGGAGTTTATCGTATCTTACCTAGTACTATTTCCAATGCCCTTTCACCTCACTACATTGAACTCAAGACCCATCACACTCATTATATCCACAAGTTAATTTCTCTCCCTCTCTTCCCTCTCTTTCCTCTCTTCCTCGCCCTTTACATCACCATAATGCAATACAACACAAACAGCTACCATTGCCTACCCTTCCTCTCCCCAGTCCAACAAACCCCACCATCAAAGATTACACCTTCATCCTCTCTTCAAGACATGATTTCTATATTTGTGTATGTGTATGTTTGTGTGTGTATATCATTCCTACCATCAAATCAAAAAGATCACCCGCCGAATTCTCTCTATAACTATGGTTGTGTCTGTGTCTAGCTTTAGGTTCGCTCGGCGCAGATTTGTTTACTTTAGCATTCGCATCTTCATCTATCAGCTCTGCCAGATATTCATCTCCGTCTTTATTCCCCAAGTCATATTGATATCACTTGAACCGAGATCCATGGCTTCTGATGAATTTCATACATACAATTTATATAGGTATTTGCTCTACAAAATTTATAACCATCCATCCACCTCCCCACCCATAGATTACACCATCCTGGATCTCTGCATCGCTTCGACCCTCACCCCCTTTTCCCCCTTTCCCTTCCTATCTCTTCCGCTTGTTTCTTCTTCTCCTCTTTCCCGCGCATCCTAACGAACGCTAAACGAAACCATCTCATCCCTATCTCGACAGGCTCGCCCCAGGACTCACATAAAACTCATCAATCAATCAACCAACCAAAACCTGTCCTTCATCTAATTCCAATTGTGTATGCACAGCTCCCACCTATTTCACCACATGCAAGTAACTCCATCCCATCCCATCCCATCCCATCCCATCCCTCAATTCATCTTCACAGATGAACCTCCAAACCCCAACCTCGAAACATTTCTACACTCCAAAACACAAGATCAGCCCTTCCCTCCTCGTCCCCCCTCGTCCCGTCCTCCCCATTCTTCCCATCTCCCCGCATCCTTTTCCACAAGAAATACAAGCCGAACCAACAATCTACCAAGATACGAAGAAGAAGAAGAAGAAGGTATGCCTAAGTATCGACATTGATTGAGAAGAGCGAGGTATAGGATTGTTAGGATATATATACTACTAGGGAGAGAATTCTTGAGATACTTTACCCATGCATATGTGGCTGATTCTCAAAGAGTTTCACAACTCACAACTTTGTACGAGTACTTTAGAAGAGAAGACACTGGGAATATCCATTTCTGTACATCAAAAGGGAAGGCGGAAAAAAAAATCCTTTAAATTCTCCATGTATATCTCACTCCACATGTATCACAAGAAAAACGAGAAGACAAATTCAAAAATCCCATACCATTTATTGAGTACCCATGCATACTTTATACATACAAAATCATACATACACTAGCTTTACTTCGCAAAAACTCCAATTCCAATTCCAATTCATCCTTCCCTTGCCTTTCCACAATCAATCTTTCATCTCCTTCCTAGCGTCTCCACCCATAAATTACTGCTGTTTCTTTTGCGCAGATGGTCCCATCTCCTTATCAAATGCTCCATATGAAACCTGGAGACTGGATACTGCACTCAATCCCACATACAAGATACTAAGAAGGAGGATACCAACCACCAAACCCATGAAAATACCTGGAGTGAAATATTGATATTTCTCGAAGAGTGGTCTACGATCTGGTTCCGTGGTTGAATTGTCTGCTCTGATTCTGAAATCTCGCTTTAAATCAATATGGGAAGTTGAATCGAACTCTGCATTATAGACTGGCAATTCGGAATTGTGTTGTTCGAGGACAGAGCCGACAGGTGTGGTGGTAAAAATGACGGTGTATTCTGGACCACTGGGGAGATGTTGGTAGTAAACATTGTTGAGCATGTAATCTACACATGCATTAGTTGTGAATCTTTTCTGATGATTCAAACGAGCACAAACCTTGGTCATTGAATTCCTCAGCTCTTGCTACTTTCTCAGTCGACAACGCCTCTAAATGTGATACAATGACACCATTTCCAGTTGCATCAGTAGACTCCGAGCCAACAATTCCACGTCGTTCGACTTTCTGGCCGCATGTCTTCTCAATATATTCTGCCAATTCGGCAGCCAGATTTCCATCTTCGTGTATGACATCCATAACGCTATAAGTAGCCCGAACTCTCGAATCCGCAACAGCGGCTTTCATGTGAGGAACGGATTCTGGAGCCGAGAAATCAGAGGCGGCGAGAGCATCTTGTTGGATGATGATGTAGACATCAGAGGGGCAAGTCGAAAGAAAGCTCTTGGCATTTTGAAGGACTGATGAAGTAGTATCTAATTCTTGACTCTCAATTTGCATCGAAGCAGGTAATCTGCCATTCTCGTGTTAGTAACTACGAGGCGATGAACCGGGTAGTTGGAAGTATAACTCACTCTGACGATGAGAATAAAAGGAAAGGTGATGTATCTTTAAATGCTTGCACTGCAGCAGCGCAGCATAATAGCGATCCAGCAATCGAATACCGCATCTTGACTTTTGTGGTTGGAAAGTGGTGATGCGTGCGAGATGATCTTGTTGATGAAGCTGTTTCAATAAGTGCAACCTTGAGCTCTCAGTATGATTATGTAAGCAGATTGATATCTATCACCATTTCATGATTTAGGTTCAGTTGGATATTTTCGATTCTCAAGTCCTTCTATATTTCAAGATCTAAATCTCGAGTTCCCTTTCTAACATTAGAAAAGTAATTTTCTATTAGGAAGTATTTTGAATTCCAATTAAGAAAAAACAACCATCACTACTACCATCAATTCACAACATTCTCATACTCCACTGACTAATAAGCCAAGGCGGTAAGATCTTACTGCCCAAATTATTCCTTCCAAGGATTATATTAAATTCATCACGAAAAGACATCCAATTCCAAGTGCGCCGCAAGTCATCCTCCTCACAAATCAATCACCATGGAATCCTCATTCATAGTCAAGCCTCGTCCCAAGCGATCAGTCCTACCAGCGCATAGAAAGAAGAGAAAGTTCGACCATAAGATTGAAGAAATCAATTTCGATTTAAGTGCTCGTGAAGATTATTTAACTGGATTTCACAAACGAAAGGTTCAGAGAGCGAAGAGGGCTCAAGAGGAGGCAGAGAAGAAGGCTAGAGAGGAGAGAATTGTTATGAGGAAACAGGTTTGTTGTTTGATGCTTTTGGGAGGATCATTGGTTAATCTTTCGATGTTTAGTTACGAGAGGAAAGGAGAGCAGAATTAAATGAGCACGTTAAAGCCGTAAATGCGCTATTGGAGGATGTGGAGGAAAGATTCGATGGCGGAAATGGGGATGAATGGGGAGGTATAGAGGAAGAGGAAGCCGAGGAGGAAGCACCAGAATTGGTAGATCACGAAGAGGAATATATCGATGAAGACAAATACACAACAGTCACAGTCGAAGGCATAGAGATATCAAAGGAAGGAATTAAGAGGACTGCGGATGAAGAGGATAGTGATGATGGTATACACGAGGCAAAAGGGAAGGTCATAAAAGAAGAAGAAAAGGTCAAGAAAGTTTGGCCCAAGAAACCACGAAAGAAGAAGTTCACATATGAGACCAAGGCGGAAAGGAAAATGACGAGACAAAAACAAAAGTCGGGGAGTAGAGCAGCTGCAGATGCGCGACGAGGTAATAATTAAAACGAAATCTATTAACAACTTCACAATCAGAACCTGCAGTAATATTTGGTATGTGACTTCGATATCAATCGAGAAGCAAATCATGTAAAAACAGCGTACCACCGCCAGCGCATACGAGGCTTAACTGTAATTATTCCGCAACCCATGCACCTAAAAAGCTCTAGAACAGAATGTCGACTGTGACATAAAAACCAATTTAAATGTTGCCAATCTCTGCTTGGAAGTCCTCCAATTCCTTTTGCACGGTAGCATACTTCTTGGCCATCTCTTCGAACTTTGCCTCCCACTGATCACGATCTTGCTCGAGAGCCTGGACCTTACGTTCGAAGTGACCGGCCTTAACATCGGTTTGACGGAGTCTAAGACACATTCAAGTCAGCTTGTATTACTGTGGATATCAAGATGTGCACATGTGCAAAACTTATGAAGCAAACCCCTATTTTCGTAGGAATTCCGAAATTTCCATCACTTACTTATCATTTGTCTCGCGGAGGTTCTTGTCAGCTTCCTCAGCCTCCTCCTCCAAAAGTTGTAATCTTCGTTGAAGAGTCTCGTTCTGTGTACCGTGTTGACTGCCTTCCTCTGCCACAGCCTTGGCTTCCTTAATCCCGCTTTCTAACTTCTCAACTTCGGTTTCCAACAAGTTGTTCTTGTGTGTAAGGGATGTGATTTCTTGCTCCTTTTGGAGGTTCTCTTGCTCAAGAACCTTGACCTTTTCTTGAAGCTCTTGAACCTTTGCGGTAGCTTCATCGGCCTCGATACGGAGGGTGTTCATTTTCTGTGAAGATGAAAATCAGCGTCTTTCCTTGAGAATCATTCGAAAGCAGTGTCGGCGATCGTATCCGGATGGAAAGGAGGATTTCGTAGGCTGGAGGGACAAATGGCGGGGTTAGTTTCGTTGATCTTACTTACTTCCTTGATGCGATCCATTTTGGAGGTTTATTTGTTGGTTAACACGATTTGGTGAGGTTGAATTTAAAAAGATTTGATATCACAAAGAATATCTTTACGGTTTGATGTTGATGGTATGAAAGAAGTTGAAGAAGTTGCGACTGTTTGAGATGTTGCAGATGGTAAAGGGTGAGAGACCAAAGAGAGTATTATTGCCAACCGAACATCAACAGGGGTGAATGGTTGGTCTGTGAGCAAGGGGCTGACGGGGCTGTATAATCAAAAATGGAAGAGCTCTGGGTTTGACAGAGTTGCCGTAGAAACAAATCAAAATAAATGTCAAGCACGGAAACTTTGAGCTGTACTCTATAACAAAATTTCAATATAGGTCGATAAACACCACAACAACTTCATCATTCATTCTAATGTGATACACATTCTCAAGATAAATCACATTGACCATCATTGCACAGGATAATTAGTCAATATGTTTGCAGCTAGGGACCAAGAGAATTTGATTCATGGTCATCAACAAGTCGCTGCGGCAAAACCCCTCAATCAAGGTACCAGAAGTTTACAACCAAAGACGCCAGGAAATAAGTTCCCAAAGACGCCATTGAAGGTTCCGTTGAATGATGAGAATGCGCCGGGAGGATTTGGTGGGAAAGGATCTGTTCTTGGTACGAAAGGCAAGGGTTTAGGAGGAAAAGATGCGACCTTTGATAAGAATGCTTTTGTTACACCCGTGGGTAAGAATTTTCCATCGCATAATAGCAGGATCAATAACCAACTTGTAATAGGTCCTCGCAATCGAGCTCCCCTTGGTATGAAAACTACGAATGCGAAAACCAAAGTATTCCAAACTCCCGTTGGTCCCGCACCTGAGAAGGATCTCGATAAGATTGTATCGAAACAAACGAGTGCTCGCAGACCGAAGCATAAGGTCTCGGAGAAGATCAAGATCGATGTACATGGAGATGAGAATCCTCTAGATGATGTTGAAGTCGAATATATGCCACCAAGATCCAAGGATCTACCATATGATTCAGATACCTTCCCTACTGGTTGTCTCAACTACGATATGCTCAAGCCAGAAAATCTCACCAAAGGAGCGCTCGGCGAATTTTATAACACCAATGATAAGAGTGGAAGATCAAAACTTGAGCGGGATTTGGAGAAGTCTTCGATTGAGCGCGCGAAGAAGATGGATGCGCAGATTTTGGCGTCAATGGAAGAGGATTGGACTGTTGGTGATGTCCCTGAAACATTGAAAAATTTGAAAAGGAAAGCATCATCAAAGCAAACCAAGGTGACAGTGTCCACAGAGCAGAAACCGAAGGCTCCGATCTCAAGCAGAGGTCCTTCAGCAATCGCGTCTCGCCGAGCAGCATCCGCTTTGTCAACTCTCCCAAGATCTGGAATGGAGCCGTACAAGAGACCATCAACAGCAATTCCAAGGCCAACTTCATCATTTTTGAGAGGTAGAAAGACACCAACTTTTGCTCCTGTCACAAATAACACTATGCGTGCCACGGCTGCTACAGCCACATCTAGAAGTACCATTGGTTATACCAAAGGTAGATCAGCTTCTAACGTTCTTCAAAAGAAGGATGCTCCACCTCTCACACTGAAGAGAACAAATACTTTACCTCGCTCGACCAGCAATCTTTCTCATGACTCAGATAGTACCATTACTCCCGCCCGTTTTGCTCAGAAAGAAAATGTGTCGAATCCAGAGTACAAGAAATTGGATTTCTTGAGTGCCTTTGAGGTTGATGATGAGGACTTGGAACCAGCTTTTAAGTGTGGTTTGCCAGAGTGTTTGATCAAATTCGTTGAGGATGAAGAGGATTTCGTTTTGACAATTGGAGGTACGGAATAGGGTTCTTTTCATTTGTATTGAAAAGATCGGTTCTGGTTTTGGTTGTATCATGATGATTATGGTGTTATGAAGGGTGTGAAAATGGAGTACGGATGGACAAGAAGATACCACAGCTTGTATACCTTTACCTAGGTGTTGCATGGTATACAATATTTTTCTCTTATGTTATTTGGTGCGATTCGGTGCAATCACTATATTTGTATGATATGATACAATGAGGAGGTTATTCTTTTAGCTATAAGTTAGAGAGTAGTAATTAGGACTTGTATATGATTTTTCAATCATTCCTCCGTCTTTATATGTCTAAGTGCCTTGCGTGTTCATTTTGACTTTGCGATTATGGCTAGCTCACTTCTTTACATGCATTTAAGGTTGATTTGACATGGCACTGTATGTATGGACAGGTTTTCATCATTTACATGTATAAGATATGATGAAATATACCTCTCGTGTTCTTCCCCCGACCCCAAAACCCTTACCTGGCATCGGTCGGCCAACAGCAGGTTCGTGAAACCAAAACTGCGTGATGGTACAGTGGGACAGACACTGCATATCTATCTGCCTATCAAAATCTTGGTATATTCCATATTCCTTATGTGAAGTGTGATGGTAAGGTAATGCGATGAAAGATATTGCATGAACGAGTGGGCGTGGAGATTATATGATGCAGCTGATCGCATTACGAGTCCCTGGGCATGACTTTTATTTGATATCACTCCATAGTATGATCTTAATGATAGCTTTGAATTGAGGATGAAAGTAAAATGTACATTGTCAATGGCTCATCATTCATACATACCTGAGTGTAATACAATCCCTCACTGAAGTAAAAGCACGTGCAATTGTGTAAGGTTAACGAGGGGGTAAAGAAATGTAACGAAAAGTAATAAGGGGTTCGTGTCGTATCAGCCATCTGACCTACCACATTACCAAGATATATATATCTTCTCGAATCTCATACGTGTTAGAAAGAGATGGGGATTTCTTGGAATTTGGGGGCTGTCGAAATAGTTGGTACATGATTGGATGTGGCTTTGCTGGCTCTTTGATTAGTGTACAAAGTAGGTGTATGGTGATATTGATGGTTAAGTAGAAAAATGAGGCTCCGCTGGCTCTCCGAGGGCCATTGCCATCGGGCAGACTACTTAGAAAGGGCAATGACTTGGGATTATCTGAATGGTATATATTTTTATATGAATTACTTCCATATCTACCTTTAACTTCTAGACAGTAGAGAATTTCAAATCTAGCAGGCTATCTTAGCTGATTAATCATGGTACATGTACGTTTCTCGAATACTACCTAGTATACTAGCTATATTCCTTTCATCATAGCCTTCATACCTATCTTTACCTATGTAGTACTTTTGGTACTGAAAACGGACTCATTGTTGTGCCTTTCAAGCGAACAGAGTAGCCGTACAGTCGACATCAATACGAGTGCATGGAGCAGAGTGAATAGTAACTAACATAAAGATATTAGAAGGAAATTTCGCAGCAATGAACAGTAGAGAATAGAATAAGAGAAACTCATTATAGGAATTTAAAAGACGGTACATTTCTATATAATTTTTGTCTGACAATATGAATTATTGCAGTCTTGGTCTTACATGATATATCAAAGTTATCATGTTAACCTGCCATCTCCTTGAATTCTTATGTAATCTCCTAATCGAGCCAAGCGCCACTATTTTCTAGAATCTAACCTATTGGGAAAGCGAGAAATTGATAGTATCGAAACCTCAACTCATCAAATCCTCCATTCCATCAACTTCACCTATACATATTCACGAAATTACCAACCTCCAGCGTCAAAAGATAGATCTCATATCTGTCGCACAACAATTAATTTTGATCTGCCAATATTCGCACATCGATATCGACGAGATATTCTGTACTTTTACCATCATATAACAAGTATCGGCAATACTTGGTCAAATCTGTTCCGAGGGAATTGAATCGCGTCATTACCAACCGCTTCTTGCGCGTATTGGCCATCTGCCATTAACCCTCTTAATGCATGCAGTCGCATATTGATCTTTTACAAAGAGATGGTGGTTGGCAGAAGGAAGGAGAGGTAGATTAATACAGTCACACGATGTCTCGCGCATCTGGGGCGAGTTTCGCACAATTCTTTCCATCGGCTCCTCGAGCTGCGAAAGACAAAGCAAAGGAGAGGGAAAAGTCAAAGGCACAGCAGGCAGATTCGCCTACCACCCTTTCTGTCACCGATACCCAAATTAATGCGAAAGCTTTAACTGACAATGCTTCTATTACACGTCTTTCAGAAGATATATCAATTCCAATTGCGGATCCTCCTACCCTGACGACAGAAGATAACGAATCTGTACAAGGCGATATTTTGAATGGTGTAGGCTCAGCAAGCTCACATTCGAGTTCTGGATCATCCCTTTTCAGTGTCAGCCATCAGCTTTCCAACAGCATGCAAGCATCTGCTGCTTCTCGAAATATCAACGATCTAACACCATTGACAAATGCCGACTCATCACCTAATGGTGTTGCAAGTCCGGGTAATGCCAAGGCTGATATGCCTGTCACCGCTACATCTCGCGCCGCTCTTGATAATACAAAATCTCGGCATGTCGTTGCCATACCCAATTCTGCCCCGGCAGAGCATACTCCCATCGAGCCACGAGTCCTCGCTCGAGACCCAGCACGAGGTGTAAAGGGGAAAAAATGCACCTATGATCCTTTCCACGATCCTCATATCCATTCGACGAAAGAAAAACATAATCGCCGCCCACATTATAAGGAGTTTGGTTTGGTACGTATACAATCTGCTGCGGGGGGTGTCATCTTTTGCGTGTGAGAACGTCTGGCTAATAGCTTTTCAGAAAGATGACGCCCCCCCAGCGGATCCGCGGTTAGCGAAAGGAAGCAGATTGTCATACATCAATACCGATTACCATAATGCATTATCGCGACTCAACCATTCGCCGTTTATGCTACCAAAGTACAAATACAACCCGAAAACTCATTATGGACCTGGCCCACCAACGGAAATTGTTGTCACTGGATATGATCCTTTAATAAATTTTATGAAGGTCACCAATGTTTTTACTCATTATGGACAAATCGCGGAGAGCAGTAATAAACTACATCCAGAGACAGGAAGTTGTTTGGGCTTTGGCACATTTCGATATCGAGATACTAAAAGGAAGGATGGCACAATTTTAACAGCGGCAGAGGCTGCCAAGAAAGCCGTCATGAGAGGTAGCAGTGTGGTAGGGCTGGGACCGAGGATCAAGGTCCAATTCGATCCGCAGGGAAAGCGCAGTACTCGCATGCTTGAGAATGCTTTGGAAAAGTCGAAACCCGAACCTTTACCTCTACCGCCCAAGGAGCCACCACCTCCCGCTAAACCTGAAGTTGTCAAATCATCTGGACCCCCGCCAAGTGCCCCCAAAGGACCTGCCGCCCTTTCTGGTAGGCCACAATTTAGACCAGCCAGCATAGTACAAGCTGCGATTCCTACGAAACCGCGTCAGCAGACATTGATCGAGGATGAACCGATTGCGCAACAACTTGAGGATGAGCCCTATATTTTTATTTCGAAAGATTATGTTCCTGTTATTCCAGCGACAATTCTCCATCTGAAAAAGCGGCTTAAGAACCATTTCCTGGAGGATGTGAGAGTTGATAGAACAGGTTATTATGTGGTCTTCGCGCTTAGTGATGAGGGAAGATTTGAGGCAGACAGGTGTTACAATTCTTGTAATGGCACTGCGCTGTTCTCCTATGAGATGATTATGAAGCTTTACTTATGGGGCACTGGAGGTCGACGACATGAACATCGCGATCGCGCATCCGAAAGAGGCCATCACCGTCGAACTCGCAGTCCTGACCCGCGCTTGACTGAGCAGAAAAGGAGGAAGGAGATCGAGGAGATTAGGAAGGAAGAAGAGGCTGATCTTGAGGACGAGAAGCGAGAACGGGCCAAAAACTTCGATCCTGCCCGTGAAGCTATTGAAGTCATTAAACGAGAGTTAATGACACATCTGATGGACAAGGTGAAGGAACGGATAGCAAATCCTTGCCTCCGAAATTTCATGGATCCATCGAATCATGTAGCAAAACGACGCAAGTTAAATATACATGACCCTAATGCCAAGACGTCCTTCATCGACGATGAGGAAGACCAGGATAATAGCAACGCTATTGCTACGCCTAACTCACGAATCGAGGACCGCAATTCCCTAGCAGCAGGGAAGGTTAATGTTACTGCTCTGCCTAGGATCCGTAAAAGAGCCAAGGCGGAAAAGAATCGCAATGTTGGATTTACCGATCCCTTCGCCAGGCCCACCCGGAAAGCTTACGTTCGGCCCATGCATTTCCTCATCGGAAGGGAGGACGAAGATTCTGATGATGACAATGAAGCTCGTTCCAGGACAAGAGGCACTGAAGAGGTTGAGTCACGCCCGAGAAGCCGTGTGGGTACTGACGATGAAGCCTCTGATGATGACACGGATTCCATGAGCCGAAATGTAAAGGAGAGGTCCCAGTCGTTGGACACTCGAGATGGGGAGTCTGCAAGTGAAGTCAGTTTCTCTGAACCTGCCATATCAACAAAGAAAAGAAAATTGGATCTGCATATGGAAGCTGCGAAAAAGCGACAGAAGAAAACCGACGAGGAACTCTTTGGTGTGCCCGTGGCAAAGATTGAGCCCCTCTCAGAAACTCCCACCGAGGCAGGTATTTCTGAGCTTGATGGGTTCCAGAAGACAGAATCCGAGACAGAAGCTGCTTTGGCTGCTGTGGCGGCTAGAAAGAAGGCTGCCAAATCGGCAAAGAGGAAGAAGTCCAAGAAGCAGATTTTCGAGGAAAGGGAGGCCCTTAAAAGACAGCAACTGGGTACTACTGAAGATGAGATTGTTCCGGAAGAAGCCGATGAGGAGTCTGAATTTGAGGAGAACATTGTCGATACAGCACCTGTGGTAACATCTGTTAAATGGGGTATCTCTAGCGATGCACCCTATCCCACCGTCGATGATGACTTTGATAATATCCTCGATATTGACGGGCTGCAAAATATCCTCAAGGATGACGAAGACGCTGGACCTGCACTCAAAATCTTCAAGACGGACTTCAAACTTAGCGATCCTGCTACCTGGGCATGGAGACAAGGGCAAATCAAGTCACTCAATCGTAATGGATATAAAGGTATCGTTAAGGATGAGACGACAATACCTGGCTACTATGTGGAGACTTCGACTGGCTGTGCTCGTACTGAAGGCACGAAGAAGATTCTGAATTCCGAAAAGTCTCTTTATCTACCTCATCGTATCAAGGTTCAAAGGGCACGCGAAGAACGTGAAGCACAAGCTAAACGAGCCGGTAAAGATGTTGTCGCAGAAGCAGCAGAGGCAGCTAAGATTGCAGCAGAAAAGTTACTTGCCCGTACATCTGGTCGTGCTACCCGTGTCAATAATCGTCGTTACGTTGCCGACCTTAATGATCAGAAGAAGACTCTTGGTGGTGATACTGATGTCTTGCGTTTCAATCAACTTAAGAAACGTAAGAAGCCTGTCAAGTTCGCTCGTTCTGCTATTCACAATTGGGGTCTTTACGCCATGGAGAATATAGCGATGAATGATATGATCATTGAGTATGTCGGTGAGAAGGTTCGACAACAAGTTGCAGATCTTCGAGAGAACAGATATCTCAAGAGTGGTATTGGAAGTAGTTATTTGTTCAGAATCGATGAAAACACAGTCATTGATGCAACAAAGAAAGGTGGTATCGCAAGATTCATCAATCATAGTTGTATGCCCAACTGTACTGCAAAGATCATCACGGTGGAGAAGAGTAAGAGAATTGTCATCTATGCGCTGCGTGATATCGCACAGAGTAAGTCTACATTATGCTCAATTTTCTTGAATGATTATACTAACATCCCGTTCTAGATGAGGAACTCACCTACGATTACAAATTCGAGCGTGAGATTGGTAGTACGGATCGTATTCCATGTCTCTGTGGTACACCGGCGTGTAAAGGATTTCTTAACTAATTCAATTACTTTCTTTTCATTCCTTAACATCATACACTTTTTTCAACATTCGGCATTCTTGAGAGCCGGGGTTTGTGATTATACAATCAATTGGCTCAATTTGATCATTACGGGAGTCATTCATCTGTGCTTTCGGCATACAATCATGGGGATGGGCAAGGCTGGGGGTTATCAAAAAACAACATGTACTCTTTTCAACATATCGAGTCGTCGGGCGTTACTGCTGGTCTGGTTTTCTTTTCTTAACTTTGACACTTTTTGATTTTCAAAGTTTTGTTCGCACGAAGAAAGATAATGAATGGCATTTTCCTCTTCGTTTGTAATTGATGGCGGAAACTTGATACGATATGATAGCAATGGAGGATGAGAAGGCGGGCATACGACGGAAGTCGGAGAAAAGACTTGCGAAACGGAGTGGCGTGACGTGGACAGATGCTAGAAGAGAATTTTGGCATCTCTTGTATTTATTGTAAGATAAGATTTTTTTGCCTCCTTAACTTAGAAGGGGTGAAGGCGCAATGCAAGCATCGGTCATTGAGGGAGGGAGTGAGATTGAGAGAGAATGAGAGGGGATTCATCCCATTTAGGTGGTTACTTGTCAATGAGTCAGCGGGCTGCGAGTGAGCGAGTGAGTGAGCGGGTGAATGGATGGATGGATGAATGGATGAATGAAGTGGATAGGAGGTGTCAAAATAGATAGGAGTTTCATATCGAGAGATATTTTTCGATTGAAATTGAAAATTGAAGATTGAGGTTGAGATTGAGATTGAGAATGAATTTCGAGATTTGAAATTTGAAATTGAGGGTTTGGTTATGATGATTGATATTGTGATTTATTCTCATCTATGTTTATCGCGATATCTTACTCTTGCTAGGAGTTGGAATTGGAATTGGATAACTGGGATGATTAAGAGGTGGGATTCAGATTATCATCTATATGATGGTTGCGTGCGAAGTTGATTCGATATCACGAATGCCGATACCAAAACTGACACCAATAGTAAATATCGATACCCATGCAAATCAAGAAAGTCTCGTTAATTTCTAAGATATCTTCGATACACTCCATGCACGACATTGACCATTTAATCATCAAAACCCTCAGATATCTGTCTAATCAATCTATGCTAGGATATCTGCCAGAACCCTAATTTTTCATTTCCACGTCACTTTCCTCATCCTCTTCACCATCCTCTTCACTTCCAGATTCTTCATCTTCCATATCCTCATCCTCGTCTTCATCTTCATCTCCATCTTCGTCATCTTCTGGGGCTGCTAGGCCGTAGTCGTCTTCGAAGCTTGCGAGGGTGCGGACTTGTGTTTTGAAGTTTAGGGATTGGAAGTTTTTTACTATTGCCTTTTTAGGGGGGATATTTGTTAGTATTTTTGTGTGTATGGTTTGAGAGTTGGTTGAAGGGAGAGAAACAAGTGAGTCAAATGGAGAGGTCGGAGTAAGCAACAAAACAAAAAAAAACATACCTCTTCCATAATCGGTGCACAAGTAACCATAACATTACTCATTCCCGGCTCAAAAGTCTTCAACAAAACTTCCTTCATAACTTCTCTAATCTCCTCTCTTCCCACATCCCTTACCTTCCTCAACAATTCTTCATTGTGGTTCTCAGGTAATCCCTTCATAACTCCTTTGACGAATTTATCCTGTCCAGCTTGATCCATCGTGATTTGTGTATTGACAACTTCAACCACTATATCACTAATAGCCGCTTCTAATGCTGAATCTTCCATTTTCTTCTCTCCTGAAATGTATTTTTCGAGGATTTTCTTACCGGCAGCGAAAGCGCGGAAAGCATCTGGAGAACGATAGACACTAAATTGGACAAACCCGGTATCAAGATCATTATGGAATGAAGATCCATATCCCAAACCTGTTCCACGAATAGCTGTCCACAAGGGACCTTCGACAGCACGTAGGAAAGATAGAGCGACGCGGAGTGCAGGGAGTTGGGGATCAGTGTAGGAACTTGGACCACGGGAATTTGTTAATAGGAAGGAGGAATCACTTGTAGGCATTGGGATGATGATAGCTCCTGCTTGGCCAAGGTTTTGCCCATCTTGAGAAAGAAGTGTGTATTGTTTGCGAATAGGAAGGAGATCTGTTTCTGGGGTAGGCTTATCGAGGGAAGAGATGAGTGGATTCCAAGCTTGTACTGGGGCTGGGAGTCTATTGATATCTGCAACGACGAGGGCTCGAATGTTGTTGAATTTGAAGATGGATTTGCGAAGAGATTCGAGCCAGCCGACAACAGTCTCTGGTTCTTTTTTGAGAAGCTTCTTGAGACGCTTCATGTAGACTGACTTGACAAGAGTAGTCCTTGCTTTCATGCTCGATTCGTTGGACATGTGAAGCATACCATCAGCGGTGTAAAGCATACCATTACCATCGCGCTTGTTGTCGGGAATGTCGGCGAGGATCTTAGTAACTGCAGTACTGAGACGTGTAGCATCAAAAATACTGTCGAACATCATGGTGCGAATCCATTCAATGGCTGTTTCATACTTCTCTCGCTCAACTCGAAATTGAATCATAAGACCTTCTGCGTCACCAAGGCTAGAACCACCTCTCATTTCGTATCTGATAGTGTCATGTTCTAGTTCTGTAACGACTTGCTCGAATTCTACTCTCTTTCCGTCACGAAGAATAGGTGTATCGAAGAAATTGTCCATGAATAAACTGAGCAGTGGTCTATGCTCCAGAGGGATCTCTGAAGTGCCAAAATGCATCGACAAGTGAACGAAATTCGTTGGAACATGCTCAAATTGTAAAAACAATGGAGATTCAGATGCTTGCGAATCAATGACCTTTTGAATTTCATTGGTAGGTGCGCCCAATTTCTTGGCCAAACCAGATCTAGCGGTGGTTGATCTGTGAAAGTGGATCGAGTCGGTTCTAGGAACGGAGAACTTCTGTAGAAGTGAAGCAGGTATTTCGGCATCATTCTTAGCAATTGCTGCCTTGAGCTTTTCAGCCAATTTCTTAAGCCCTTCTGGCCCTAACTTTTCCTTTCGCTCTACAACTCTAGCCTCTTCTTCTCTCTTTATCCTCTTTGACATCTCTTTTGAAGGAGTTCCGAGTAAAGAAACGTGGGGTGCATCGACGATCCATTTCTTCAGAAAATCTTTCCATTGTTGCTCACTCCATTTATCAAGTGTGTCGAATTCTGCATGTGATTTCAAATCCTTCAAAGTAGAACCATCTCTGTTACCAAAAAGGAAGTCATTGATGATGGCTTCAGCATAAAAACGCTGAGAGCTTTCGGCTTCGAAGTTGCATTGTCTGCGTTCTCTTTCGAGGCAGTTTTTCATGTATGCCATATCTAGGGGTTTCTCTGAAGCTTCCCTAAGAAGTTCAAACAGACGCTTCTCTACGAATGCAAGCTTTTCGGTTTCTACTCCAGTTGGTTGGAACCAAATCACTGAATTTGGTCTCGCATCCCACCAATATGAAATTGAACTTGCAAGCTCTTCTTTCTCAACCATGATGTTTTCAAGGATTGAAACAGAAGATCCAGCGAGATATGCAAGGAGAACATTAAGAGCACCTGTTTCGACAGCATCTTTACAATCAGGCCCAAACATACCAACCCAGATTTCTCCCATTGACTCATCTTCCTCTGGAAAGTATACAGTCTCTATAATGGTTTTGGTGAGCGGTGGTGGTTGAGCAGAATCCACCCAGGGCCTGAACACATTAGAATACTATTTGTTGATAGTTAAAACTGGACAAACTTACCTCTTGAATGGAGCTGTCGGAGATGGAATATCATCCAAGATACCCTCCTCAAAAGTGTCTAATATTTCAAGCAATTCCTTCTGATCGACTTCACCAATCAAAACGAGGCAAAGGTTTTTAGGTTGATACATCTCCTTATGGAATGCACGAATTCTCTCTGGGGTCAAGATACGCAAATTTTCCATCAAACCACCGGTCTCGTAACGAAATCCAATATTTTCTGGATAGAGAAGTTGCCTAGCACGGAGGTCCATGATATCAGAACCCGTGTTTTGAATTCCTTGCATTTCTGAATACACCACACCTGCATCGTTACCTTCGCCATCAACATGATGAACTTCGGTGTAACAGCCTTCTTCGGTAAGTGTTGGTAAGATCAAATGCTCAAGATAAACAGGAAGAATTTGAGAAAACCCTTCCCACCCTGCTGTCTCTAATGTATAGGCAGTGTGATCCGTAGCAGTCCATGCGTTAGTGTTAGAGTAAGCTCTAGTGGCAAGTTTATCGAGTAAGCCTTTATACTGGTAGCTTTTTGATCCCATAAAGCAAAGATGCTCCAAGGTATGTGGTGATCCAGAATCATCGAAAATCTCCGTAGCCAATGCAAAATATCCATTAACTTGAGGTCCCTTCTGATCAACCACAACAACATTCATGCCAGTACGTTCCGAGACATATTGGGTAATGTTGGTAGGGGCGTAATCAGTCTTGAAATTTTGCACCGTACGAAAATAAGTTTTCTTCGTTTGACTTGGCATCTTAATGAAGGAGTTGGGTTTCCAAAAATTAAGCAGCTCTTTGCTAGAAGAGTACCTGGAATATTGTTAGATTGGGGTTGATCAAACGAATTTCAATTTCATGAAAGTCATGTGTCAATGTTAAAGAAAAGCGTGATATCTATTGAGACAGAAACGAATAGAAAACTACAACTTTTCGGCTTGGAGTATTTTAATGATTGTAGAATCGAGCGATAGTCCGCATCACACAAATGACACAGTCTTTGGAAACTACTAGAGTTTCAAAGCCGGACTGCAGTGGATGAGAGGATGTATAGAATCAATTGGAATGGCGCAGTAAAGCATACCAGGACGAATCCACCGCTTGGTAAAGCACAACAGCAAGTAAAGGAATAATAACAATTGCCGTATACCAAAGTTGGCGGGGAACATTGTACCCCGCCATGAGAATGATTGAGACAAAAAACAACAACAAAGATACTATTCTAAAGAGGACAAAGATCTCTTGGAGGAAGATTTAGAGAATAGGGAGAACAATGTGATTAGAGGAAGAAACCTGCTAGTCTTGGCAAGTATTGTCGTACCTTTGTTGGGTATTTTGGAATCCAAGCCTGGTCCAACGGGAAAACTGGCGAATTGAGGTCGCCAGGGAAGATGAGAAGTAGCCTCCAACTAGATAGAGAGGCAAATAATGAATGTATAGCCTCGTATTTAGATATGTCGTTGAAACTTATGAATTCTTCGCAAAATAGAGAAAGACCAAGAAATTGGTGAGAAGAGTAGGTAGATGAATAGGATGAATGATGAACAATATAAATAAAATATAAAGTCAATAGTCTTGCGGCGAAAGAATGAATAGACGCCCTAGATAAATATCATTGGGTGATAACCCACATTTACCATATAAGCTTAACCGCGCGCTTGATAGCATCATTCTTAGTCATCAGATGATTATGCCATAGCTTCTGGTTCCACCTTGTCATCATCTCATTGAACAAGTTCTAAGAAAAATCGTAGTGATGTTCAGATAATTGCTAGGTAGGTACCTACATGAGTTTCACATCCCCAACTTTTGGTCGTCTTCGAAAATTTGTTTGGATATAACGGCTCAGTGCTGGTTGGAGCATCCTACTGTTCAAACTACCAGCAATTGAAATTCGATCTCTAAAGACTTTGACAACATGGCCTCGACAATAGCAGTTGATCAACTTAGCAAAACTCTCATTGGTTTTGCATCAAGTGGAGAGTTTCCTGATGAGGATGTCTCTGCATCTGCGGTTGGGAATGAAGCTCTTCCAGTAGCTATAGAAGCTTTGGGTGAGGCTAAATTATCTCTCGAAGTGTGTCTCCAAAAGTCCCCAGCTTTGTTAATCACTACCTACCCACTATTTGGTTTACTAATTGTGCCTCGTACAGACTGAAGTTCGTCAAATTAGTAGAGATTCCGCTGCCGATATCGATAAATGGATACAACATGCCCAAGCCCTCCAGGACGATATCGACAAATCAAGAAAATTGGCGAATGAAGTCGTTCAACAAGCAGAAGCGGATGAATTTCGAGTTACCGATGTACACAATCACGAAAATCATGTTGAACTTTTGGTAAAGGAGATTGAGTTTAATGCACACTTACTGGAATGTGCACAATCTATAAAGCGCGCGAATGATTCCCTGGACAAAGCTGTGGAACAGGCGGACAAACAAGAAATACATGAAGCTTTAAAGTCACTCGATGTAGCGGGTCATCAAATTGCGGAGCTTCCAGCGGAAACTACTGTAAGAGCGGTCCGGCTCTTGGATACACGATATTATGAGTTGAAAGAATCTTTGAATGATCAGCTTAGTGAGATTCGGAAAGCATTAATATATATCCAACCCAAAGAAGCTTCTATCACGATCCACAAGAAATTTGATGGTATTTCAACAACTTTGGATGATGTTGCAATTGGATTAGAGAGATTTCAAGAGCTTGACAAGTTTGGCAAAGATCTATGGGAGCAATTATCTGAAACAATTATACGACCCCGAACTGGCCTGGAATCATCACCTTCTGTTTTCCAAATATGTATTGAGAATAACACTTTGCGTGTTACCGAAGATCATTCAGATACTAGCATAAAATCTTTGTTCAAAGATCTCTTAGACATCATTCGCTTTTTGGACGAGAACCTGCCCAAGACAATGGTCGAGGCCTTATCTAAGGTTATGATGCCTGATCTAACTGAAATAATAATCGGAACATGGCTAGAGTCATCTATACCAACATCCCTAGACGATATGGTCGATTACCAAAAGGCTTTAGGTCGTACAAATACATTTGCCGATACTTTGGGAGAATTAGGATGGCCAGGAGCGGAAAGATTCGATGAATGGGTTTCCAGTGCCGCTAGAATTTGGTTGACTAAGAAGCGAGAAACATCACTGGATCGAGTTCGTAATGCTTTAGCCCTTGGTATGTTCACCTCACCTCTTCATCTCCCCATATAGATCCAGCATTAATTCTTTACGTATTGATACTAATGACTCCCAATGCTAGGCGTTGGCCAACCTCTTGAAGCTAAACGAGTGGAAATGCGTATGGTGACCCGAGATGACGGTATGCATGTCACTTCAAATGGTGAGACTGTAAAGGATGATTGGGGTTGGGGTGAAGAGGACGAAGAGGAAGAAACTCAACCTATTCAAAGAAGTCGAGCTTCTTTTGACGAGGAACGAAGGGCAAGCTCACTGTCCATTGCTCCTGATCCAAATATTCTTCAAGTAGATGAAGAAGATGCATGGGGTTGGGGTGATGATAATGAAGTTGCTGTCGAAACCCCTACCGATGAACTCCCCGACACACGCAGGGCCCTAAGGACTCATCATAGTCCCACCAGTCCTACCCACTTAAATGATCCAGCAGAGAGGCGAAACGTCACACTCTCAGAAAAGTATTGGACATCTTCTATTCCTTTGACGATATTCAACAACGTTGTTAGTATTTATGAAGATGGCGCCAGATTGATGCAGCCAGAGTACGTACATGTCAACTTTACTTCAAGTCAAATTTCGGTAAATCACTCACTAAAATTGTACAGAAATGAGTCTTCCCCCGTATCACCTGCTGCTGGTGGCTTGTCCAAGATTCCTACCTTGATTTTAGCAATGTATCGTGCGGTATCTCCATGTTACTATGTCGATGATCCAAAAGGCAATATGTAAGTCTTGAGTCTGGCATTGCACTCTCCATATTACATTTTCACTGATATTATCTAGGTTTGCTTACAACGATGCTACATGGTTGGTTGATAAATTGAAAAGCTTCTCGAGAGAATGGCATCTACGAAAAGACATACCCCCCCGAGCTTTGAATCTTGTCAATATTGATTCGGAGATTGGACCTCTTGAAAGTTTTGGAAAGAGAGCTTATAAAAACGAGATGGATACACAAAGGACAATCTTGCACGATTTACTTGGTGGTATGTATGCATAGATATTGTCTTGTGCAGTTATTAACACTATTTAGGTTCTCAAAATTTCGTATATAATGACAGTGAGAACGCAATCCGTGCTGTTATCAGTCATATCAATCAACAATCTGCCTCTTGGAAAGAAATACTTCCTTCATCAACTTGGACATCGGCCGTTGGTACATTAGTCAACACGGTAGCTACTAAAATTATCAACGATATTTTCGAACTCACAGATCTGGGAGTGGATGACGCTGAAAGAATAGCAGCGTTGATCCAACAAGTCGAGGCTCTAGAGTCCTTATTCAAAGAAAATGAGATTGGAACTTATGCAGGAAATTGGCTCAAGATGCAATTCCTGAGTGAAGTTTTACAGAGTAATTTGAAGGATATTAGGTACCTTTGGTTTGAAAGTCATCTTAGTTTGTACTTTTCGAAAGATGAGGTGCGAGATTTGATTGAATTGAGCTTTGAGGATAATCCGAATTCGAGATCGTTGATTAAGGATATTAAGGAGAAGCCGTTACCGGATGTTAGTCGTGTGTGAGGAATAGGGACTGAAGTGGAGGTCTATGCAAAGTGGATCGGGAGGACGGCGAGGACCTAAGAAAGCTTGTACATATCCTCGACCCTACGTTTTAAGCTGAATGCTCAAGCAGCTTTATAATTAGCTAGATCAAAATATACGTCGCTATTCCTATCGTCCTAAACTTTGTAGATCGAGTAATAATACATGAACGGAATTTGGATGAACCATTGTTACCTCTGTTTCTTTCAGATCAATCTAAGCATACCATTAATTTCCTGTCCTGAATGAAGGTCTCTGATTTTGAGTGTTCGGAGGATGAGATGTCTGTTTTTTTTCCCTTTCCGTGGCTCTCGTGACTTATGACTATATGAGTTTTGGGTTTTATTGATGGTGGTGGGTGTATGTGCGTTGAAATTTGACTAGGAGATATCTTCCCACGTCTTTTGGTTATCGAATGCCGGCTCACTAGTTCTCCATGTAAGAGGATGAATGACTGGATGAGATGTATGATGAGTAAAATCGGTATCACAGCCCGTTATATCTAGTCAACGGTCTCAGCCTCTTTATGCAGAAGGTGTAGAAGAGTTGAGGCGCGATGCGATGTGATGTGATGTGATGGATGTGATATGATTCACGTGCCTATGCGAAAGATTAATGAATCAGAAATATTGGATGCGGGATTTTGTGTGCGATATCTACGGTTCTGAGCGAAGCAATTTGATATTTACGAATAGTGGGATGGATTATCCCTCGGTTTTCCTATTAGGATTGCTTATGTGTAAAGTTTATTTGATGTGGTGATAATTATCGTAAATCGAACCCTTCTCGTAAGCACCAACAACAACTCCAGGGTAACAAGATACCAAAACGACAAATCCCCAATAAATAAATAAACAAATAGATAAATACCGTCGCATCCCGTTTCTCACTCCTCCTTTCCTCACTCTCGCTCTCGTTCTCGTTCTCATTCTCGTTCTCGCTCGCTCACCCAGACCACTTCGCAGCTCGCATAAGTTGGCATATCTCGCATACTCGACTCGCACTCGCAGTTTTCCATCGAACCCCTGAATCACAAACCACGTGCACAAGTCTAGCGTCAATCTTCGTATTCTTTGTATTTTCATTCGTTCATTCGTAAAGAAATATGGAGATATTTGTGGAATTCTGCAAAGCAGGCGTATTCGATACGTCGTATTTGGACGTAAAGCCTATTTGACGGATTGGAGGTATGTTTTGGGATTAGCGTGCTGGGGGTTAGGGCTGAGCTGAAGTTGAAGCTGCTTGTTTGTCGGTGGGATTGATGAATGGTTTTGGAGGGTTGTTGGATCCTGCGTTACGCTGTGCTGCGCTGTGCTGTGCTGCGCGGTTTGGGGTTAAGGGGAAGGAGAGGTGGTGAAATTAATTGAGGCTTGGCTTCGAGGTGTTTCTGATGTACCGGTAGATATTTATGGGTGAGTGGGTGGGTAAGGGTCTGAGTTTGATATTGCTAGATGGCAGGGAATGTAACGTCTATGGGAATTTTATTTTATAGAAATATCTTGAGGTTTGTCTTTTTCTTTTTGTTTTTTCGTTGCAGAGATTGGATTTCACTATTTATTTCACTATTTATTTATTTATTTAACTATTTATTCATATATTTATTTATCTGTTTATCTATTCATTTATTTATTCATTTGTTTGTTTCTTCATTCATTCTTTTTGGGGCATTCCCCAGACTTTACTTGGAAGATTGGAATCTCATATTCTTATATACACATGTATTTGAATCCATTCCTTCTCAAGCCCATCAATCACCTAGATATTCTATCGAAGATGGACGACTCTTCGCTCAGAGATCTACAGGGTGTTGGTCTTGAACAACAGAGCGAAGTCACCTCATCTATACCTCTCAATCTCGCCTTCACTAGTTTTTTGATCGAAAATTTATTTGCCTGGTTTTGGATGATTGGGATTCAATATTTCCTTTTTAAAGTATTATATCAACATCAACCCCAAAATCGACCTCGACATCGAAGTGAAAAATCCCTCCGACCTTCACGCTTCTCACATTGCGAAACTTCCACGTCAGATCTCCAAGCACCTTCACCCAGCGAGTCATACCTCCTCATCACCTTCTTCTGGCTCCTCCATGCTCTCCTCCATACCCTCCTAATATATCTCCTAAATACTTTGGTGTCTCTCCTCTCTACCCCCGAAACCACAAGCACTTATCTCGAATGGCGTTCTACAATCTACAATCTTCACTACTGGGTCTTTAGCACCGGCGACGAATCTCCCATTTACGGATTTACAAAACTTCTCGTGCTGGAAGTTCTCTTTTCATGGTTTCTCTCGCAAGTATCTCACTGGGTGATGGATACGATAATTCCTTTCTTGGGAGAGGTGCGCGGGCAACGTGATTTCCGAGGAAAATTAAGAAGCGCGGGAAGAAGAACGAGGGAAATTTATAATTTCATACTTCATGTAGATTGGAGCCATGATTTCGAGTTATCCCACTCACAATCGTCGAATGCTCATGTGTTAAATGGTGGTGGTGATGCATCGACATACCACGATGAAAACCCCAATCGGCAAAAAGAACAAATCATCGAGCTTTCTCGACAGCGAAGCGAAAGTTTGAGTTCGGACAAAGGGACCCAGGAGCGGAAGTTGGATTGGAAATTGATTATTGATGCGTCGGCACTCAATGAGATGAAGGAGATGTTGGGGCCACCGGGAGGCTTTGGGGAGTTGGGATTTAGTGTTGCGAAGGATAGGGTGTGTTTGGGGGCGGTGAGTAGTGGGTCGAGTTTTATGGTTACGTTTGGGTTGGAGGGGAGTGAGGGTGAGAGTGGTGCTGGAAGTGGGGATAGGGGGAGTGAAGGAAAGAAAGGAGAGAAGAGAGAGAGGAGGAGGGGAACGGAAATTAGGAGGAATACCTAGTGTAGGGATGTGAAATCTGAAAGTCGAATCAAGAAAATTAATTTAAAAGTTTGATATAGTTATTAAACATTATTGCTTTGTTTCCTTAGTATATAGAGAATGATATGAGATACCCAGCCAATGGCTACAATGTCCTTTCCCTCATGATTCCCCATGAGACAACCACTTCAGAATTATATACCTAAATCATCTCCTTGGTTCTTTCAAATCCCTCCCAGCACACACCGCTCTCTTTCATCCGTCAAGAAGCTCGTCAAATTCGTCTGGACCTCCCTCTCTTCTTCTTGGTTCCTATACGATAGCCCCTTTACAAATTCTACGAGATTATCAGATCAAATAGCAAATGGCAAGTGTCAAGTCACTCTCTTTATAGTAGCTGAAAGACATCATCCCCTACCATCAAGAATATGAACTCGTCTCTAGCACTTGAACTCAATGTCAGGAAGAAAACAATTGCTACGATAGAATTCAATTCCTTATTCTGTCCTATCATGTCGCATTCCAATGATTCCATCTCTATTGACTTTAAGATGGGATATGAATCCCCCGTTATCCCCCAGTCCCACTCTTCCTTTTCTTTCCCTTTAGAACTTTGCCTGAGCTAATTATATCAAATTGCATTTCCCTCCACTGCACGCACAAGTCAAGTCAACTCAAATTGTCATATCTCATTCTCGATAATCAAATCTTGGCAATGAAATGGTTTGTGAATACCTACCCGCACCCACTCCTCATATTTCGGAAGTCCAACCTATATGATTCGGGACAATGATCGAATTATCGCATTGCGCCTTGCGCTTTCTGCATAGCTAAGAATCCTACTTCATTGCTTCTTCGTCAAATGATGTTAAGTTTTTCTCTCGTTTTCTTTGGTGCTGTAGCCTAGTGATGCCCCTCTTTCAAGATATATTCTTGATTCTCTCCAGACTTGTAGCTATTGTTCCTTGAAACAGATAAAGATGCCCTCAAGACTACATACAGCTACGTCTATTCACTATCATGAATAAATTTGGAACAATGGATTATACACCCGACCTTTGTTCAGTGGTTACTAGACCTAGTCGATATGGAAGCTCAGTAGACATGAGTACGCAAACAATCTACTGTATTCATTGCGATACCGAGTATAAACTCTCTTCAGTATGTTTTCCAGTGTGTTTGATTTGGCATGGTATGGATATACATACCTGCTCTCAAACGGCCTTCGGAGTATCATCCTACAAAAAAAGAACCCGCTCGTTTGTCTTTCTTGCTCGATTTCCAAAGCAATTGATAGACCTTGTTTGAAAAGAAACTTATCAGAACCACGCATCGTTCATCTACGACTTCGAATACTTCAACTACCAAGTGGGAAAACAAGTTTTGGATACGAATCACCTAATACTATTCACATGGCATATGTATGTCGCGAAGCATATATGGTGGTAAAAGAAGAGTACAAGCAAGTCCTCAATCGGGGCATTGGATCTATTGTTCAGACATGTTTTACTTCGATATCGATACGCTTTATCTCGATGGTGGACCTATTACAAGATATTTACAAGTAAAGATGAATTGTGTGAGCTGGTCTTCCGATTTCCAAAAAGCTAAACATCTTGCTGTTTTCAGTTATCCAGAAGAAACATGTGGATACCCTCATCATATCAGGAACTTTCCGATACGTGAGTTCGCGTTTGGTGATTGGTTGTATTTTAGGTTACATCGTGGTAGTATTACCAATGTTATCTTTGTCAATAGACGCCATCCCTTGCCATCTATGATGATCTCACACTTATCGATTTACAAAATACAGCCTCATCATTGGTTATATATGGGAGTCCATACGAAACTATGGCCGAAAAAGCACTTCAACGAAAGCAAAAATCTTTCCGCATTCGATATTGTTCCCATAATACCAAGCTAGGACCAAGCTTAGCTAACATTCAAATTTTGGATACTGCAAGACTACAAGAAGCTGCTGCAATCGGTGGTGTGGCTCTTTTTGAGATGCCCATTTTTGAATACAAACCCATGGGTTTTGCATGACGACGAAGGCGACGGAGGAGAAGTTGAATGAACCGCAGCACAATATCAAGTCGATAAAAGTGAATATGAAAGAAAGAGGAGAGAGAGGGGGAAGATGCTTAATGGGAGTCTTCTGCCATCTAGACTTTTGAAGATTGGAAAATGAGTGGCTTGAAAAAATGATGAATTTGCAACGAGGCTCGTCCTTTGTAGAATCCGCTGAGCCAGTCAGTAGGCTGCGCACAAATTATCTGTACCCGTGGATTATCTGTCGAGACTTTAAAATTATCTACTCCATACGAATAATCCGCAGATTATCTACAAATAATCCACCTACCCACGAATAAATGGATTATCCACAAATATATAGATTATCTACAAATAATTTACGGATTATCTATAATTAATTCGTAAATATATAGATTTTTTTAAAAAAACAAAGAATCTTTGCTTTTTTTGTTTAAAATATAAAGCTATTCCCAAATTATTTTCCAGCCCAAAAGTAATCCAAGCTTAAATTTATATTAATTTTTATATTAATTATAAAATTATATTAATATTATAAAAGATTATGAATAGTTATATAATATATAAGTAGATAAATATTTACAAGTAATTTGTATTTACTTTATAAATTACTTATTTAAATTCTGAATTATCTATTTCATAAATAAATTATCCATGAATTATTTGTTGAGGTTATTATCTGCCCTGCGGGTACCCGTTGCGCAGCCTATTGGTCAGCCATCTTGTTCAATTCTAAAGTTGGTTTTTGTTGTCATGGTTGGAATTGAGATCTAGAACGTCTGATTGTGTGATTCTCAGGGAAGAGGTATCGAGCAACAGTTTTCCTTCTCTTGTTTTCTCTTAATAATTCTTATGTTCATCTGAGTTGGGAATAGCTTCACTCACTTTTTCCATCGACTGTTCAGAAATCTCTCGATGGCTTGATAACAATATCAATACGATACACAATTACCTTAGTGCTATCCATACTGGGCCCTCATTCCCACCTTCGTGAGTGGTTTACAGTAGATAAAAGTGTATCTTCACCGATGATAATGCCTTGAACCTGTCAGCGTAAGTTTTGTTTAGTGAAACGAAATTACTTAGATTTATTCTCTTCGGTATTAACAATCATGAAAGCTCTCGAAATCCAGACATTTAAGCAACGAAAGAACCAAGGGACCCAGGAAAAGATGAACTAAACAGTGATTCACAGTTAAGCATAATCTTGGCAGGCACGATGATTTCTTGGAGAAACAAGTAGGTGGTGATTTACCGGTACTGGTCTGCCGAAGATCAAGATCTGTCGAGGGAGAAGAGGGGCAGGCGGTGCTTAAGCGAAAATGGGAAAATTGGGTGGAATGGTTGGATTAATTTATTTGGGTTTGCGTCGGAGGGTTGAGGTATGAGGTATGTCATGCGGAAGCTTAAGAAATGGGCAGCGAATGAATTTGATAATTAAGTAATTAGAGAATTATATGGGGTTTGTTAGTTGTGGATTTGTAATGTGGTGTTTGTAGTTGATCAATATTTGGAGGGAGTTGAGGAATGTTCGCAATTCCGACAGGCTTTTTTGGTGTTGGGGAGGTGTGATGACAGGTTATTCTTTTCTATGTTTGTGACGAATAATATCTTTGCATTTGGAATGCCCAAGTTCGATATCATAATTTCCACCTGAAGTACAGGTTCACTGAAATTTACAGTATTTAATGCGGAGTTCACAATACACCAGGTTCTCCAAGGACGCAATTGCATTGCTCTAATAATGAGGTTAGTCGGTGCTTTGGACGAACCGCCGATTCAGGACAGGTGTAACCCTGTATACCAACGATTTTGAGTTTTAACCACAAACATGTATCTAAGATAGTACAAATTGGATACTCTTAAGCATAATTTCCTAGAATTTTATTCTCTTTTAAGTTAAAAGAATTAAGGTTAAAAGTTCAAAGGAGAAGTCCACTGTGACGCCAAGCGAATTTATGGATGGTCAAATTTTGATACGAGCCTCATTCATTTCACGTGTTTCTATATCTCATCTGAAATGATTTATCGCATATCGTATTCGGAAAAGGCCAAGAGATTTATATGCAACGTTGGACGGGTTTAGTCAAGATGCGATTGCCAAAATTGAAGAGTACTTTACATTGTCATTGTGAATGTCACAGTATGTGGAGAATCAGAGATGGGAAGTTATTCAGAGAAATGTCTTGGGATGGAAAAAGCCCGGCATAGGTAAACACCGAAATTGAGGCTCTTGGGAAAAAGAATCATGGCAATGCAAGAATACCTTGCTGGGGATTATCTGGGTGGATATACTTCTGGTGCTGATTGAATGCATCGAGTGATGATAGCAAGATAGCAAGATAGTACATAAGTATCGATGATGTCTTCTCTTTTAATCCATTATCGGCATCAGCATCAGCATCAGCATCAACAGCATCAGCTTCCACATTCATTCAATCATTCATTCATTCATTCCAATTCACCACAATCGTCAAGGTCATCATCTATTCCATTCATTCAAAATGCTTTTCTCCAACGCAAAGCTCTTTTCTATCCTCGCTGCCGTTGCAGTAGTCAAGGGTGCTCCCGTCGAGGAGAACACCATTCAAGCTCGCGCGGTCGTTTCTCACGATTCAATCAACCCATGGCCAGAAAACGTTCCTGGTAACGCCTTGGGTAACACTTTGAAGAAATTCGAGCCATTCCTCCACATTGCTCATGGTTGTCAACCATACAGTGCAGTTGATGGATACGGTAACACCAGGTACGAAACTCCTTTTCTCTCCCTTCTAATATCACTTTACTAACGCATCCTACAGTGGTGGACTCCAAGACTCAGGTAGCCCTTCAGGCGGTTGCCGTGATCAGAGCAAGGGCCAAACCTATGTCCGAGGTGGCTGGTCTGGAGGTCGCTATGGTATCATGTACGCCTGGTGTAAGTATCTTCATCATCCCCATGCATCTCACACAATCTAACCCTCCCCAGACTTCCCTAAAGATCAGCCCATCCCCGGAAACGTCGTTGGAGGCCATCGTCACGACTGGGAGCACGTTGTCGTCTGGGTTAACAACCCTTCCGTCGCCAACCCTGTCTTAATCGGCGCCGGTGCATCCGGTCACGGAAAGATGAAGAAAACCACAAACCCCCAACGCCAGGGCGATAGAGTCAAGGTGGAATACTTCACCACTTTCCCTACCAACCACGAGTTGCAGTTCACCGATACTTTGGGCAGAGATTTACCAATGATGTGGTATGACTTCTTGCCAGCTGCTAGCAAGACTGCTTTACAGAACACCGATTTTGGAAAGGCTGTCTGTCCATTGAATGATGCAAACTTCGCCAACAATCTCGTTAAGGCTGCTATCTAAATTTCCCTAGATATTCTGGAAAGATTTTTAAAGAATCTGGAAGTTTCAACTCAGAGATTCTTAGTTGCATTATTCGAGGACTTTTCTTTTTCTGATTTTCTCAATGGTTTGAAGTGGGTGTACGAGTAATGAATGGGAAGGCTTTGGGGGAAAAGATCATATATTTGGAGTTGGGTTTATGTTCTCTATTGTATTTCTTTATTGAGTTCTAAAAAGAAGCTGTAATGAAATTAATGTACCTCTAAACTACTGTTTTCAAATTCTTGATCCTGAAAGTTGAAACTGGATTATTATGTGGGCGGGAGCTTTAGCACCACAAGGGGTCTAATACTCTAGATCAACTACTGTTTAGGGCTGAGATTGACTGTAAACTTGATTATAAAAGCCAACAGCTTGTAAGAATATCTGTCAATTCGAAATTCTGTTTCAATCAGTCAATCCAAGGCGTTAGAGAGCATGAGATCAGGGGATACACGTGACCTAATTCTCTCCTGTTCAAACCAGATGGCATGGTTCTGGCATTCATCTTCTCCTACAGGAAACTAGAAGGTTTTACCTATTTTCCCTCTTCAAAATTGCCTTTCTAGTAGTTTGTTGCGACCACCAGCGGGTGCACAGACTCACGGGACACTCAAAAAGAAAGCACAATTTCACACCAAAAAGAGCGATTTTAAAAGTTTAATCAAAATTTGAATTATTATTGAATTCTTTCGAAATTGAACTTCATAGTTCTCAAACATAATGATTTTTTTCAATAAAAAAATCGAATAAAAGAAATAAAAATTAAAGTCTAAATAATTAATTATATAATTTCCAATTAAAATATTTAATAGGAAATCGTATTATTTGTTTTTTGAGCTTGAATCTGATTTCTTTAAAATGAAATTTAAATGTATTATTTTTTAATATTCGAAAAATACAACTTATCAATTTAATTGATATCAAATTGTATATTTTAATTTTAATTGAAGTTTGAAGTTGATAAATTTGAGTGTGAAATTGTGCTTTCCTGTCACGTTGTCCCATGAGTCTGTGCACCCACTGGTGGACGTGTGAGTAGACATGCACGTGATTCTGTGGCGCTAGCGCGTATTGCGTGCATCTAAACCTCGTTTTTCTCAACCCCCAAAAAGTATTAACAATGCAAACAAATACCATGTTTCGATCATATCATCTGATAACAACATACGTACTATTCCTCATGAGTTTAAGATACGTTGATTCACATCGCTGTCTAATCAAGTTGATTGATTGGCAAGTCAGCCATGAAACAATCAACTCAAGATCTCGAGCCCAGGATTAAACTATGACTTGCTTCTAAGATATGCTTAGTTGGCAAAACACCTTTATCGGAGAGATGATCAAGATCAGTAGATGCTTGCTTATCCTCAATTCAGTCATATCATGCAGATTATGAGGGTTACATGCATTATGTGTACGTTCTTGATCTAAGGCGCCACCATACATAGGCGCCACCAAACATTCGCAGAGCGTTTGTCTTTCCATTTGAAGGTTATTGTTATACACAGTGGGGAATTTATATGGCGATCCGCGAGTCTTTCTTCCTTCAAAATTGTTGTTGGTTTCTTGTAACTGTAAAGTCGGGCTGTAGCGCAGTCGTAGAGCCCAGGCTATATTTCTTTGGAATCCAACAACAGTACTTCACCAAAGGTAAAATCACACAAACTAGTATCAAATCTCACATTCATTCCCTTCGCCTATTTCCAACATGCCCAAAAATTCGAAGCCTCCCAACCTAGTTTGCCTAAGCAACGTAGCTTAAGGTCGAATGTCAGTACCCATGCTGTATATTGCATGCATTGCGATACTGAATACGAGGTCTTTGTTCCAAAATGTCCAAATTGCTCACTTCCTCAATTTGATGGTTCTATCCATCGTCGAAGAGTTGCGAATTACTATGGAGACAATTTCAATGACGGGACCACGTTCACTTGTTTCATGAAACTGCCGCTCTAGATTAGGGTCATGGTGTGGGAGGCATCGCTCCCTGGCTCACGGGCTGTACTTCTTTCACCCGACCTGGATTTTTGGACTGAAAGATTCAAGGTGTTGGGTTACACATGAAACTATACACGTCCCAGACTATATTTTTGAATCATCGAGTCCCGTTACAGCTTTGTATGTCTGCCGTGAGTCATTCAATGTCGTGTCTACAAGATATGTCCGAACTTTTGCGTCGCCAGGGACACCCTTCAAAACTTGGTTCAACCTCGACGTCGACACCTTGTACGTTAGTCACCACGAAGCTTGTCATCATGTGATACCTGGGGTCGAGAACTTGAAACGCTTAGCTGTATTTGCCGAACCTCTTCCGGTAACTGCCCTTGATAGAAAGTACAACAAGGAAGAGTGGTGGGATCATGAAATTCTTAGCGTCCTTGAAGCGTTTTTTGATAATTATCTACTCGTCGCAGGAAGTCTTGAGAACTTACACTCGTCACTCGCCGATACCCATCTAATACGCATCCCTATACACCTGATAAATATGACGATCTCTCATTCATTGACCTTCAAGATATCGACGCTTCTCTAAGTTGCTATAACAGCCCGTACGAACCAAAGCTTGAGGAGTCTTTTCCATCCACACAACAAGAATATGCTGCGCAGCTTCCAAGTCTAGCATCGATCAAATCTGATGTTTTAGATGAATACCGTAGTGTGACATATGGAGCACGAGTGCTGCCCATCGAATAAACTATCGTCAATTGCGAGTGGGAAGAGAGCGAGGGTGGTGGGAGTATGAATTTATTTGGGACTTTAGTCTCTTCAGTGAAGATTCTGTGTGTTTTATCATCTTGAGAAACATCTTGATGTTTGCCTTTTGCAAGAGTACTATTTGGTTTTATTTGGGGTTTTTCTTTTCTTTTGCAGGAGATATTGAATACAACCTCGAAAAAGAACGTTTTTCTGAGGGGGGTGAGCTGCACATTGCTACAGAACGGGAAGATCGTCTTCATACTACGATCAATGTTCAACGATTCTTCTTTTACAGACACTCAAATTGGCAACACTGTACACTAAGTATTTTCATTTTTGCTGTTTCCTTTGCAAATTATCATTTTCCATAATCTCTCACCCTGACTTTTTTGCGGAGTTCGTTCTCAGCTAGCCAGGCACTAAGCATCGAAGTGACAATTCTAGCCTACGATAGATTACAGTAGATCAAGGATTGTGAGGGAAAAAATCGCGCACTGTTTCTTCGAACGTTACAAATTTGAAATCATCACTTGCAAATTCATTATCATCAACATCAAACCAACATCTAAAAATTCTTCACAATCCTCCTCCACAACGGTACCTTTTTACCCACCTCACTCCCCTCTCCATCCTCTAAACTTGCAAACCCTCCCGCCTCCGTAGGATCCAAATCATCCCTCCTCCCCTCATCCAAATCAATCTCTCTCAAATCCCAAATTTTAGTCCTAAACCAGATCTTATACCCCACCCAAATCAACGGAAAAAGTGCCAACAAAATATACGCATCGACAAAATCCCCCGCACTAAATGGACTCAAAGTTGTCCATCCTTGTACCAATGCCAAAAAGACATTTGCCGCCAATCCAAAGTACGCATTATACGGATATGCGAACGAAACAAACGGTAAATCTGAAATTCTCCTTCCTTGTGCTTTCCACGCCGCACGAAAACGGATATGTATAAAGGAGATGGAGCCCCAAACGAGAAACGTCGAGACACCGGAAAGATTAACGATATAATTATAAGCGGCCCCGGCACCAGATGAAACATTCATCATACTCAACGCACCAAAAAGATTCGTAAAAATAATCGCATAGATCGGAACTCCTCTTTGATCCGTGAATCTCAAGAATCTCGGCGCGTGTCCTTCCTGTGCTAGGAACAAAATGGTTCGAGAACCAATATATATAGAACTATTCACCGCGCTCAAGCACGTCGCGAGAATAAACGCATTGATGAGATGAACACCTCCTTCCCACCCAGCATTTTGTATCGCGACGGTCATGGGACTTCTGAGCGCTTTGGATCCAGCACTTGCTAGACCCTCTGCATTCCACGGACAGGTCATTCCGAAAAACAGCGCAGAACCCATATAGATGAAAATAATGCGCCAAAACACTTGTCGAATCGCAAGAGGAACAGCATGTTTCGGATTTCGTGTCTCCGCCGCCGCAACAGCAATGGATTCACAGCCCGCGTAAAAAGTTGAACAAAACACAAATACTTTCGCGACTCCTCGAAATCCATCCGCAAACGCCCCAGGATCATGCCAATACCGGAACCCTAACGTATGGTCCTGACCTTTCAATCCCCCCGCCGCATAAATAATTGAGAAAATAAAAAAAGCCACCAAACCCCCCAATTTCAGCAACGCGAGCCAAAATTCTGCTTCCCCGAATGCAGCTACACCTAATAATTGGAACGCCAGAAACGCAAACCAGAAAATGAGGAAATAGCCCCAGAGAGGAATCGCATCGCTCCAGAAAATGAAAATGGAAGAGAGCGTGTTGTATTCATTTGCGAGGACAGCAGCCCAGATGATGAAGTAGTTCCAGCCGACTGCGACGCTGAAAGCGGGGTCGAAAAATCGTGAGGTGAGGGATATGAAGGAACCGGATGAGGGGTATAGTGTGGTGAGTTCGCCGAGGGATTGCATGATGGAAAAGGCGATGAGACCGATGATTCCGAAGCCGATGAGGAGGGAGGCTGGACCGCCCGATGCGAGGGCCCCGCCTGCGCCGACAAGGAGTCCGGGTCCGATGATTCCTGGGGGTGTTAGATTGGTGAAGTAAAAGGTGGGGGGTTGTAGATACCTGCTAGTGCCATCATACTTAAATGACGAGTTTGGAGACCTCGAGAAAGCCCGCTGTTGGGGTCAATGGGTAGGGTATCAGTTACTACATCGTCAGATGTATTCTGAATACCATCCTTTCTATCTGGAAGTGACATTTTTGATTTTCTCTCACAGATGGGTATTCTATTCTACAAACAATACTCTAACAAGATATATTTGGGGGCGAAAAGACAACCCAGTAATATAAATTGATGAGAATATACAGAATGAACATCAACTCGATTTCAGCAGCCTTTGGGATGTGATATATATCATATAAATACCTATGGTCACTCCACGGGATATCAGTGGACGACTTTTACCATAATTGGATAAAAAAATGATGCCATAGTCGGCCAATCTTTACAATCGCTTGAAGTGAAAATTATGGGACTAATGACTAAAATTGGAAAGGATCTTTTTTATTTGACTTATTTAACATTCTAAAAACAATAAAGAATCATAACATGGCCGTGATAGCGTTTGAAAAGGTGTATAAAAAATTGGACATGAGGATTACTATGCACTATGTATAAATTTCTTCTAATGTACCAGTAGAAAAATTTGTAAAAGCCTAGGCGTAATTGCATACATCAAACAAGCAAATTGTCTCACGTAACATCAGGTCATCTTTCCAAAATTCCAAAAATTGTTGTGCAAATCAAAAATCGTATAGCAAGTATAAATCCACTTGGTTATTATAAAAGGGTATATAAACTAATTTTCGGGTCTTGTAACACCTCTTCCCCTATTCACTTGAACCATTTTATCTTCACCAGCACTAACAATTCCAACATCCTTATCCCAGTTAACATCGAAAACCTTAACTCCCTCACCACCAACGGTCTTGGTCGTCTTATCTTTCCGACTTTCTCTTTCAATGATATAAACGGCCTCTCCAACAACACCAAGTCCTTCATCTTTCGTTCCTTGTCTTGTACTTCTAAGATCCCATACCCTACAAGTTCCATCATGACCTGCTGATACTAATCCATAGTTGCTATCAGGATCCGCAAATATTGATGAAACAAAGTTGGTATGTCCACGAAGTGTCATGGCTTGTGTTGTAGCAGCTGAAGCTCTAGGATCAATGAGAGCAATATGACGTGCTGTAGTACCTGCTGCTATTATTTGATGACCAATTCCTGGTAGAGCGCTTAATGAGAGTATAGGATTCAATAAAGTTCTGGTATCTACAATACTAGAAGTGGTAATATCAAGTGTTTTGATGGTATGATCTTGAGAAGCTGAATATGCAACAGTAGGATCCTGAGGGTTGAAAATAACAGCTGTTGCAGGTCCATTATGACAATCCATGAGAGATAGAGGACCGCGTTGAGGGGTGGATGTGGAGGTTGTGATTTTGCGTCGCTTAGAAGATGGTCCAGAAATAAGACTGGTATTGACTTCAGGTGCTGAAGATTTATGTGAAGTCCAGAAACCAATTTGTCCATCTGCTGAAGCAGATAAAATGCGATTTGATGGTCCATGAACTGCGATTGAATCAATACTACCGGTATGACCATATAATTCCATAGTTGGCTTCAATTGCGCTGAGAAATGATCCTCCGATTCAGAATAATTCCATATCCTTATTGTGCGATCCAAACCTGCCGATGCAACTTGTCTGGCTGAGAGCCATTTCGCAGCCTTTACTCCAAAAGTATGTCCACCAACACTGGCAGGTGCGGATGTTGCAATGGCTTGACCTGACTTGTTCCAAACTCTGAGAAGTCCATCGTAAGAACCTGACAATATGCGCTCCTGTCCTTCAACAATTGAATTTTTACCCCAAGTTCCTACAGCAGAACTACCAGATAAAACATCAACACTGCTAACCCAATCATCATGCTCGAAACTTGCTTCATAAAGAGGAGGAATCAAACTTCGAACATATTGTAAGTTTAATGTGGTTTCGGAGGATAATCCATTCGCAGTAAGATATTCATCGAGGGTCGTTCGCAAGAATGTTCCGTTAATGAGGAAATCGAATGGTATCGGCGAAGAGGTATCGAGCATCGCCTCGGAATTAAGAATCTGTGAAAGTCCATATCTTCGTACATCTATTTTATGGTTAGTTTTGAAAAAGACTTCAAGAAGACCGGAGGGAGACTCGGATTAAAACTTACTGGTAGGAACGAGTAATTGCTGTTTTCCTTCAGGTAGTTCAATATCTGGAGATGTGGTGCTGAAATGCACTTGAACCTGTCCTTGCGCCATGTTTGCCGACTGGAAAGTGTGAAAAGTTGTAGATATGGAAAGAATTGATAATTTCTTTGCAGGAAGTTTCTTGCACATGAAGCATTTCGAGATGGATTTTTTTTCCGGCCGTGCATTCGTACCATCAATGCAGTTTGGTGGTCCACGCGTGTTCGAGGCGTCGCAGGTATTTTAACAATTTGAAATCACGAAATGTAGACTGGGTACACTTTTTCGATCGAGCATCGTTTGTGTATGCATTGACTTGATACAAGTTCCATGAGTCTGTCATGCAGGATGGTATAAGGTCTTCAAGAAGGTCAACTCATCATTGTTCATATCAATATCGATAATGGCTATCAGTCAGATATATATCACCTCTTCCGAGGTGGCAAGGGCACAGCAATGATAAGACCTTTTGAGTTCACATACGTTGACACCAGAGCATGAGATTACTGGAGATTTTTGGAAACAATGGAGAGGAAATCCTCGAGTCACATTATCCACACCATATTCAATAGCTCATGCAAGTGCACTCCAACCCCGGGATTTCAAACTTGTCGATCAGTATTGTCAATGATCTGGGTCTGAATACCCTCATGTCACAATCTTGAGCTTTCTCAGTTGCCTGCCATATAATCAAAATGGAGTTGTATGAACTTGTAGCTCAACTGGTGTTTCCCAGCAAGATTTTGGCTAGTTGTGTTGCAGAGAAATCACACGTTCACAAAGGCTACAAATCAGGTCTATATCCCTTTTTACAACATGATATCCACTCAAAAGGTTGATAAACCACCGTTGTACGATGCAGGCAGGTTTACAGAGGTATTCGAGCTTCGAGAATCTTACTTCCCAGAAAACTTCGTTATATTCCCATCCGCTTTCATATACAACAGTATCAGCCACGTGTGCATCATTTTGACTTTTCTGTAACAACCTTAATTCAGTTTTACATCGGTTAAAATTCAAGAAGTGTCTCACGTCGTGGTGCTGAAGGCGAAATGATGCTGGATTCATCATAAGCTTCATGGCGCGCAGGACAGAACAAACTCCTTCTTTTCCTCAAGTTATAGGGCTGATAGGACTGTCATCTTAGTACTTACATGCGTGGTATAATATGCCTGTATGATCGCCTCAGAACAACGATTCAGAAAGACAGAACCTTGGCTTCCCGACCGGTCAAAATTGCTGCCATAAATTACCACGTGATACAGCCACAAACACTGACGCATTACCATTTTCATCCGGGGAACAAATAGACGGCTATTACGACCCGCAATCGAATTGGCTGTTTCTGTCCTGAACTACGTGCATACACTGGTTGACTTGGCCTAGTCCAGCGTTTCTCACAAAATCAAAGGTAAGACTGGAAATTGATGGCTAGGTCAATTGTAACGAGTCAAGCCAATCTTAAAACAAGATGGTTCCTCAAGTCTCCGAGGAGACCCTGTCTGGTGAATGATTCAATCGTTCATAATTTCAAAGATGCTCAATCATTCAGAAGCTTGTAGCACCCAATATCATCACTCTTATCTTTTAAGCGAATGTTAAATGCCTCAATTGTTTCTAGAATCTTAATAGCCCATTCATTCCATCTCTATTGTAAAACGACTCAATAAATTTGCAAAGAAATCATTATATAGCATTCCTGTATTGTTGCCTTCTCCATTGAGCTTCCACATCATCTAATCTTCTGAATATCTCACCCCTTCGATCCATTGATCTTCTACCTCCAGAAAAACTAATGACCGATTCTTTTCTCCTCATTGATCCACTACTAGAATCATCTCTATACCAAGACTTTCCATTATTAAGAGCTTGGACTTCTTCTTCTCTTTCATGGGCGTTTTGTGCAACATCAAGTTCAGGATTCTGTGTTGGATCATTTTCTGGATCTCCATCCTGTCCAGGATTTGCCATTTCGTACTCCATCAGCTTGATCAATCTGAAGAAAAGTACTGCCAACCCCGCCCCTAGAAGTGGTCCAACCCAGTAGATCCAATGTTCTCTTGGAAAATTCCAGACAATGGCTGATGGGCCAAAACTACGAGCTGGATTCAAAGATGCTCCAGTAAATGGAACAGCCACCATGTGAGCAACAAAAAGGGCAAGCCCGATTCCGATAGGAGCAACAAATGTAGCTTTATGTTTCTCAACAGCTAACATTATGATTGTGAAAATCAAAGCTGCTGTAGTAATGGCTTCGATGACGAATCCTTGAGCCATAGAAGTACCACTTCCAAGTGTAGTGGCAACTTCGAGTTGCTTTGGAAATATTTCTTGCACGAGAATAGCAGCTAAACACGAAGCACCGAGTTGTGTAATGACGAGAAGGACAGCACGAATTGGTGATACTGCTTTAAGTATGGCAAGTGCCAAAGTTACCTATCATTGTTAGCTTGAAAATTACTCAATTATTATATTGCACTTACGGCTGGATTGAATAACCCTCCACTAATACGAAAGAATATCCACGCAGTAACCATGAGACTAGCTCCGAAGGTTGCGGATATATAAAATAAGACTTCAAGATCTGCTGGTTCACGTCCTTGAAGTTTTGCTACTTCAATACCCGCGTAGCCAAAAAAAAGAAAAAGTGTCGTTCCGATTAATTCTCCAATAACAGCCACAATATCTATTACAATTAGTGAGAAGTCCCAAGTATAATTGTGCAATCACTCACGATTCTTCCAATCACTATTCATCCATTTCATCCATTTCGTTGCCGGCCTTCTTTTTTTGTATCTTTGGATTCTATCCTGTGTCTGCAAATTCTGCATCCATGGTCGACTTCTACTAGCTCTCTTTTTATGTGCCATGTTGTCTCCATTGGTTAAACTGATAAATCCATCCTCACTCGTTCTGTACGGATGTAATTCAGGATAAATTTCGTCGACGATTGGATAATGTCTTGGAATATCGTGTGATTTCTTAGGAAATTCAAAATCTTGCATCGGGATTGGCGCAGGAGTGTTTCGTTGTACCACTCTTCTTGGTGGTGGAAAACTACGATATCGACTGTCATCTAGACGGATTTGAATTTCTTCATCTTGAGCCGGCGGAGGGCTTGCTCGTAACGGTTGGGGATGATCGCTCATTATTGGGCTTCTCATATTCATTATGTTTATATCGGTATATTATATGTTCTATATGTCAGGAGAACAACTTTTAAATGGGAGATCAGAAGACGTTATATGACTTCCGGACATTGATGTAGTTTCCGAATTTGAAACTTGTCTCCGTTCTCTTTCTGCGGCATAAGCATTGTCCACTCCATCTTCAAAGCTTGAAAGTTTCTTTTTCCCTATCGGAATCTTCATACTTGGCATATATCTCGGCTTTTCAAAGTCCAGGTTTCATCAATAGAAGATATTCCTCTATGTTGAGTGAGGAAACTTCATGCAGAAGTCATGCCCATAAGGTACTTCCTTTAAGAAGTATTAACTCAAAACGTAAATGACGATGATATCTGGAGATATGGAAAGGCTTTTGCGGGGTTGAGGGATATTCGGCAACGATAGGTGTTTGAGAGAGACGCTAAGCGGGACGAGAGAATCTGATACAAGAATGACGAGATTTCGCACAGACATCCGGAGCAAAATCTCAATTGTATTTATCAACAGTGGGAATCTTAATTGCGGTCTCAATGGGGTGCTATTGTGTGGGCAATGCCTTCTACATGTAAGCTTCTCGTCGTACTAAGAAGTGAATTTCATATAAGTTATCATGGACATCTTTCAGGAGGGACAAAAGTCCACATGTGCCTTCAAACGTGAAACAATTAGCTAAGCTTTCCGAATTTACATATGCTTATTTTACGAGCCGCTGCCGCTAATGCACAAGCAATGATTTCTTGTGAATGGACGTCATTGTCTGTGCGGGATTTGGGAGATCGACTGCTTTGAAACATGATTTTACTGTTTCGAGGAGACGATTGGTGGTTTAAATTGCTGACGTTGTGTTATTTTAGATCAACGATTCATAGTATCTCGGCACATGGAGAATTTTCTAATAATAGTCACTGTCTACCGGCAACGGGTGCGTTTTACGAAAAGAAATGGAAGAATAGACTAGTAGTCTTAAGTCTAGATTTTTACCTAGATGATCCAACTGTTTGGGCAAGGTGTGTGAGTCCCGGTCATATATTGTGATGGTAAATCATTTACAAGAAAACAGTCAATAACATTTCCAGTTCAACAAATTATTACTTCTAAATCATGTAACTTCCATCGCTCTCATGTACCAATTCCCCGGAAATCCCTTCTTACCCATCCCACCCATCACCACAGTGACCTCTTCCAAAGTTCTTCATACTAACAACTCCTTCTCCTCCTCACATCCTCCACAACAACCATCTCCCTATTATCCCTTCCCTTCTCTTCCCTCCCTCAAATCCCTCTAAATCCAAACCGGAAACAACAAAACTCTCGCACAACTACTGGGCACATCATACGGATTCGGCGCATCAAAATACTTAATCATCTGAAAAAGTTGCGGCGCATTGAATCCATGAAACCACTCGCAAACTACCCATCCATCCGCCTCCTCTTCATCAACCTGAAAGCCCGCACTCCCTTCATTGACAAACTTTCCACTTCCATATCCTGAGGTGATCGTCACCGGTTCCCAACGCGCATAATTGGTATCGGAGGGAAATGCATTCATGCTAAATGGATAGGGAGAAACGTCGAATTGGAGCTGGGAGGAATTGAAATACATGCGCGACCCGGTGTTATTGGAGGAGTCGACGAAAACGGGGTCGGCCATGCCGGCGCCGGTGTGCCAGGCTTCTACTTTTGGGGGGGTTAGTTGGGTGTAAAAGATGAGGGAAAGAGTAAAAGGGGTAGTTAGGAATTTTAATGAAGAGAAAAAGAAATGAATAGAAAATTACTTACAAACCCATCCATTATGCGTATAATCACCATCGGTAACCGTCATATGGAGGTAAAACTCCCGAGTATTGTTCAAAGTACCTGGAACCCAGGAATCCTGTCTGGACTCAATCGTTGGAGCTGCGGAGACGAAAGCAAGGATACTTGATGCCGCTAAGGCGAGATTGCGTATGGAAACCATGATGTTTGTTTGTTTGTTTGTTTGTTTTCTTTGAGGTTGTGTTATCTAGGAATTCACTGTGTGTATGCGAAATTGAATCTAAACTGATAAGAATGAGGATGAAGATGAAGATGGAGATAAAAACTTCCTCCCACACCATCCATCAGACTTTATATACCAAATCCTCACTCCATATGTCCCGCCACTATTCCAGACAATTTTCGCCTCTACTCCATGTACTCCCTCCCTACCTCCCAACGTCACAATACTCCATTCGTGTACTTCGTGTATGTATGTGACCGTCACCATTACGAGCTACTATTTTCATCTTCTCCCCGGAACTCGCGACGAGCTATCGATCATGTATCCATGACTTTCGTATCCCACAACCACCATTCCGAATCGACCGAGAATGCAGAAAAGCCTAACTTATTTTAACCTTACTGTTTAAGCTTATGTATCTACCTAGGTAGGTATACAACCCTTACACGAAAATCGCTAGAATGCACCGCTTTTGACCCCGCATCGTACAGTACAGTATAGAACCGGGGTAGTGTAGTGGCACATCGTATCGTATTGTACAAATAGAAACCAAACGACCTGGAAACACGAAAATTATCTAGATTTGTGCTACGATTTCGCATTGTGAAGATTACTAATTCTCCGTGTGGGATATCCTGGTTTATTGAATATCTCTTTGTTTAGTTAACTTATTTGTTTATTTATTTATTTAACGTGGTTCATTAGCATGTGAATCATATCAGTACATAGGCCACTTCGAAAATATACTAAAATCAAGATTTTCTTGATATTTATATTTCAATAATTAATTCTCATTTTTAAAAGAAAAATTTGTGAAAAATCATAATAAAAATGAAATATTTGTAACATTTAGATTTTTTTTTAAATAATTCATTTTAGCTTGAGATTGTTATACTTTATATTACACAACCCCTTTTTCTTTAATAACTTTAAGAGTAATTGGAATTTCCAAAAAAAAAAGAATTACATTTTTAAGATAATTAAAAAGTTAGATCTTATATTTAAGGTTTTTGAAAAATTCTATTGGCTGATAAAGAAAGTATACGATTATATATAAACGAATTTGATGTACAAAATGAAGTGGCCCATATGGTGATATAACCCACACATGCTGATGAACCACATTACCGTTAGTTATTCATCATTTCAATAATTAGTAATGATTAGCTATCAACAATATGAGGTTCTTGAGTGACAAACGGGACGGGATCTCCGCCTCGTATCGGATTACGTGAGGGGGATCTGCAGGTGTGCAGATATGCAGATATGCATAAGGTATGTAAGCTTCGTGTTTGAATACCTAGGAACATCAGATGACCGAGATGGCGATGACGATGAAGAAAAATTGTATTTGTACATTCTGTGGCGATATTTTTCGGTTGGTTTTGTTGATGGGTTTGGTTCGGTGGGTGGGCTTTGGGAGGGAATGTGTGATGGGCGATAGGCAATGGGAGATGGGCACGATGTGTGTTGTGTTGTGTTGTGTTGTACGAGGTGAGATCGTACAATGAGGTTAATGGTTTGGGATTGCGATGTATATTTTTGATGAGCTGTGGCGACTTGTACTGCAGTAGTGGAGGGAAGAGAAGTTTGATGCTTACAAAATGAACGATATGAGTATTTATGTAGATGTTGCCTTTCAAAAGTATCCTAGGTATTTGAAGTCAAATCCAAACTCAAAATCATCTTTCCAGGGACCCGTCTCCAGTTAAAAGACCATGTAGTACCACGCATAGCATTCGCCGCGAACACAAACATGGTAGCTACAGATTCTTCAATACACATCTTCGTTCCCTTCCCTCCACCTATCCTTTCCGATCACCAGATCTCCTCGAAGTTATTTCCAACCGAATATCACAACTTCGTCTGCAAACCAAATTCTCCCTCAACTAACTCTATTATCTTCCTCGCCGCATCTCTGCGACCTCCATACTTTCCACTAACCAGCTCTCCCATTTGCTTTGCTTTTTGCTTAATAGAATCATCCTCCGTAACTTTAATCAACGCCTTTCCCAATTCCTTCCCCTCAACACCCGGTGCACAATCTCTACTTCCCCAAACACCAATACCGAAAAACTCCACCTTCTCCATATAATTATATGTATCGAACCAACACGGCAATACCAATTGTGGAGTCCAGGTCTCAACACTCTCGTAATACGAATTCGCGCCTCCGTGATGAACAGATGCGATGATGTGACCTGAGCGAAGAATAGATATTGGTTCGGCTTTGAGCCATGGAACAAGCTTTACTTGCGAGGCAATAGGTGCGAGAATTTCGGTAATGGCGGGATCGGGTCCTGGGGATGTGGGCTTGAGTTTCCAGAGGACTTGGATGCAGGGGTTCTTGGAGAGGAGGATGCGAATTCCGGTGGCGATATTGCGGTTGAATTCTTTGCTTCCGTATACATGTGATCCGAGATTGATAAGGATGGTAGGTTTTTTCTCTAGCCATTTTAAGAGTTCTGGGTCGGTTTGAGAGAGTGGGTAGGAGGGTATGGTGAGGGGTCCACAGGTCGTTACATTTTCTGGGATGTATGGGAGTTTGAGATCAAATTCTCGTCCTGTAGGAAGCAAGTAATGGACATCTTTGGAGTATGGAACAAATAATGGGTATTGGCCTGGAATATTAGCCTTTTTGCGTCCAGCTTCGATAGCTTTGATGTTTGGAGACGTGACGATAATGATAATGAGGCGAATCATTAGGATAATGTTCATAGGAATAAGATACCATGGAAGTGGAAAGTTATAGCCAGAACAATCACTAATCAAACTAATTAGATGGTAGATTTCGAAGGAAGGAAGATGAACTTACGCAGCTATACCCCATAGTGCAAATCCATTCGGTTGAGCTTGAGCTAAAGTATCTTTAAAACTATTCGGCGTAATACTCATAGTTTTCTTTCCCAAAATAGCACAAGCATCAAAACCCTGTGCGCAAAGTTTTTCCACTACAATTCCATCCGGATTAACCTTCTCAACAATCTCAACGCAAGAATGAACTCCCTTGACATACTCATCAGGAGTATAAGAAGACAAAACACTCGGAATCTTCGCATAGATTCTCCACGCCTCTCGAAATCCAACCCCATGACGCATGGCTTCCTGATCCGGCGCAACTAATGCGAGTTTCTCAACCATTCCCGGGCTATCTATCGGATGGAAAAGTGCTTTGATACTACCAGGTGGGATTGGTCCATACTCGCCAGCATTCAGTTCATCGACGCGGGTTCGGATGGGGGAACGAAAATTTCCATAATCGATGATATCAGAGACTTCTTTCGCAATAGCAGGGGCCTCAAAGGAGGCGATGTGAACTTCTACGTTGTTGAGGATAAGTTCATAGGCAGTTGCGAATACCACGTTACTTTGGCCATACTCGCTATTTGTCAGGAAAAGTATTTTCCGAGGGGGTTTTGAGGTTACCATGTTTGAGATTTGGTAGTAGGAGGTAGTTATTTTAGGTTGTAGAGGATAGTTGTTTCCAGAAGCTGTTCGGGAGCTGATCGAAAGCCTTCAAGACTGTATGTCCTCGAGCTAGTCAAAATTGCCAATTTGAAGTCATTTGCCTGAAAGTGGGGGTTGTTTATCCCGCTGTATTGCACGTATGACGAAACCAATGAACGATGTAGTCGGGTCTCTTTTCTCGCTTCCGCTAGATGACTGACCCTCGGTAAATCTCAATTCACTTGCAATTGATGATAGTACAGCGATGTAATCTAGATGGAGGTTGATGTGCTATTTCGATTGTGGATTAGTAAATCGTTTGGTAATTTCTTGGCCTACTAAAAGGCGTTCGATCAATATCTGCACAGACATGAATTAGCGTTGAGAGTGTGACTTTATCCACAGTGCGGTGCATATCCCCTGTCATCCCAAGCGAATGCGCAAAGTATCTACTACAAACACTCCGCATTTCTTCTAACCTCTGCCCTCTCAACTCCAGAATGAATTTTATCGACTGAGAGCATGGAATAGCTAGGTACCTAGGCACATTTTTCAGCCATCAAAGTTGTAGTATGACAGTCGAAATTGGCGAGAGTAATTTGATCACATTATATTGGCGGTGCTAAATCTGCTTACTGTGTTTACCATTTTTACCTTGGAATTAGATAGTACCCTTCAACGGGGACATTCAGTATGATTTCCAATGTGGAATTTCCCAATGATATTTGTGATCAATGTACTTTTTCCAAAAGAATTAGATTGATTGCTTAGCTTATGAGAAACATCTCAAGCCTATGGTGGTTGCTAAGACTAGGGTTCTCTTCGAAATAATCGTCTTGTGTTGAACGAGGTTTATGATAGTAGATTAAGTTGTCTCCTGATCGTGGCTCTAGATTCAGAGTTCTCGGAGAATAATTTCATGACGTTGGCGTCACTATAAAGCGGTCCAATGATATCACACTAGTGATGATATAATTGAGTCAGCGCCTGAATCCAGACCTTTCTTAGCGGGCTTCCTCTTGTAATAGAAGATGAAGATATTCTTTTGGCAACTTCCAACCAGATTGCACTAAAATGATAGCATGGGAAATCTTTACAATACTACCTGCCCGCCACTTGGAGCATACGGAGGGTACGTCAAGCCACGCACATTGTATGAACATAGTAAATAACTTCAATTCAATGGCTACTATAGTATAGCCCTAAGCGAATATGAAAGAGACGAACTCTTTCTAGTAGACCTTATATAAGGACTGCCATTCCCTGTAGATAGCTAGCTCTTTAGGCAGAATATAATATTGCCTTTAGGACCTACCATCGTAGGTGTTACGTCAGCCGTATCTTTCTCAAACCAACACACATAAAGGTGGAGAAACGTTCAATTGAACTTCAGACTGAATCTAGAACGCAGTACTACCACGGATGTGTCCCATTTCCCGCAGACGTCGGTAAGGATAAGGAGACCCTTTCAATGTCCAGTTAGGAACGCATGAAGGTACTTCAAATTCTCTCTCCTTATCCCCTGACAATCAATGTAGTTCTCTTTATATGACACAATCTTGGAGGGTCTTCTAGCTGACTTGATATCGCTTCATTCTTCATCCATCGCAACGAATACACGGTATGGCTCCGATCCCTGGAAGAGGTAAATTCTGATGCTGCTTTTCTTTCGGTAGCCTGGAAGAGGTGTCCCAGCTATATCACTCGCACTGCACCCATGGGTCCGCTGAAAAGAGCAACTCTTGAAAACCCTAGACTCTGGTGGACCAAGGTCTCTCCAATGGTTCCAAGAAGAATCTCTTCGCCTTTTAATAACGCTCTTTCGTAAAAGCAGTGATGTCATTAAATCACAAAGCTGACATATCTTTTGCCGTTGGCATTGCCCCTACAAGGCCCGTTCTCCGTTTGTAGCCACATGCCCTCAGAAGCAGTATCGATGCTTCAGTAGATTCTCCAAGATGCATAATTGTGCTTCGAGCCATCGGATACACCTTTATATTTAATGAAGATCGGCAGTGCTATCAGCAGAAGGTGATGAACGAGGAGCCGCATCGAATCATGTTACGCCAATGGCTTGTATTGATCTCTGCTGTCCATCATAGAGAAACACTTTGTAATGAAGAAAACGATGTGATGAGTAGAAGCGAGGTTCCATTGGAAAGTGGATATATATGAATGAGCATGTCGCTTGTCGCACCAGGGTAATTTATCCGGTCAGCACTATCAAAGTACATAACCAACCACAGTCCGAAGAAATAGTCATCAGTCATCCTTGTGTTGATAATGTCTTGATGGTGACAATGGAATCCTATGGTGTGCTTCATATCATGGTATTGGTTGTGTATACTAAGTGAGATGTAGCAGTCACTATAGTTACATGCAATACGAATTGTCCGCGGGTATGCAATCACGTGCATACTCACTCCTGTCACAATACTTCCCTTTTGGAAGGTACGATTTCCTGAAAGTGCAAAAAGTATTATCCGTCAATAAACACAACCTAAGGTTGTGAAATAACCGTCAGATCATATCACATAATTAGATCATGTTAGTCCACTACTATCTCCTCTTTCAACTGGTATATTAGAGATGATAATGTATATTTCTAGTTTTAAATATCGGTAATTTACTCTCATAACCTAAATTTAAAAGATAATCTACTCTTCCGCGGCTTAAATTCTATGGTAGAATCTTCCCTAAATTGATACATTCTAGCCAATTTAGATTAGATTTTATGATGGGAGGGAGGCTAGATTCTATGGTTACTAGGCGATTAATTTGAGGAGTATGCGAGTAGAATGACTTCGATTTTTAGGGTATGAGAGTGATTTGCCGTATTCTCATAATTATTAGGGGTTGATTCTATCAGGTAAAATAATATCATATAACTAATCATGATATGGCCCTCAAGTCGAGTTTACAGTCCCATAACATACACAGCTTAATTCATCATCACGCATACAGGACATCACTCACAATCACAAGCACAATCACAATCACAGTCACAACAGTTCATTCATTCATCAAAAGCTTCTTATTACTCATGGTATGGTATGGTATGGTATGGTATAGTATGCAATGTTCTTCAAGATCTTCACCGCACTGACTTGCTAACGAAACCTTGCTATCTAACGCACTTTGACTAACATGCTATCTACTAATCTTGCTTTTTACTGAATCTTTCGATCTACTGAACTTGCTATATACCAATCTCTTCTGTGTCATGGAATTTCCCTTGCCTACTTGAACCTCCCCATCAATTTCTCCGAGATGAATAATCTCCGCGTGGATATTTGCGGCGTTCATTTCCCGCATCACCATCTCTTGATCTCTTGCTTCCAGCTCTTGAGCTTGAGCTTCCTCCCATTCCACCTCCTGCGCTTTCCATTTCTCTAATATACCCACGTAGCTCTTGCTGAAGATCAAGTGCATGAAGACGACTTTGACGATCTTTCTCACGTGGACAACTTTCAAAGCCAGCGGCTGGATTGACATATGCTGAAGATTCGACGGTGGTAAGACCTGGCGGATTTTGGGTGGTTCTTGCGGAGGACGAGGATTTATGGGTTCGTCCTGGTGCGAGGTTTTGATTGTTTGCCGGTGTTTGGTTTGTCGGAGCAATTGCTCTGTTATGCATATTGCAATTATTTTGGATTGTCTTTGGTGTGAGCCGAACATTTGATGTGATGTTTGAATTGGGAGAGTTTTGTGTTGTCGGAGCAACTGCTGCGCCATGCAAATTGCTAATTGGTGCGGGGCGAGCAGTTGGTGCGATGTTTAAATTGCGATTTTGTTGTGATATCGAAGCAACTGCTCCGCTATGCAGATTGCTATTTCCCTTAGATGTCTTTGATGCAGGTCGAGCAATTGCTTCGATATGCACATTGCTATTATCTTGTTTTTTTTTCTTGTATTATCGAAGCATTTGCTTCGACATGCAAATTGCTCTCTCCACGGACTGGACGTGCAATCACATCGCCATGCACATTGCCAACCTCCTCGCTCCCTCGCTCAATTTCCATTTCCCCATCTGCTTCTCCCCCTAACAAAGCACAACACTTTAGTATACATCGCAAATATAGCAATTCAAAGGAGATGAAAGGACTTACACATGTGTTTGCACATGTGATCTGGCAGCTCGACTGTCATCTTAATCTCCATGGCTGTTTTGCCTGTACGTTGGTATTCTTGTTTCAATATTGCAAAGCATTCGTTCCAAATGTCGAAGATTGGGTCGAGGATTTTCCCCCGATATAGTTGCGAGTTTCCTGCAAGTCGAATGATATTGTATAACTTGCTATTGAGATAACTCGAGTTTTTATTGAAGTAGAAAGGATGAATTGAATTGAATTGAATTGAATTGAATTGAATTGAATTGTAGATGGTGGATTATTGATGATGGACGAGAGGTTACAAGTTAGCAATCTGGAGAATGGAATCGAATACTTATTCAAATCCCCAAGTGTGCGTTCGAAATTTCAATGTTAGTCTTCCCGCTCGAGAAAGTGAACTGAGGTGAGGTGAAGTGAAGTGAAGCAAGTTAAGAGTGAAGTAAGTGAAGTTAGGGGTAAGAAACTCATTAGCCGAAGAATTCGAGATTTGAAAAACTCTCATCACAATCAAAGTCACACAAATTCAATCAAACAATACAAGACACACATATATATTCATAAACGCATTCTTTCCTGTTTATCTCGCCAAAACGTTTCGATAAAATAAACAACCTCTTAAGGGAAGGGTATCAAAAGACCATCCCGCTTCGCTTTATCGGCAAAGAATAAGCCAGTCGCAAATGTCGTACCGTATTATCGTACATGATTTTCTTTCATTTGAAGTTCATGCTTGTGTTCATCCATCCATCCTTTCTTCCTTCCCTCCAGCCCTTGCTCATACCCTCCAAAGTCTCCATTCTAATCATCCATAGGTTTATCCTCGAGACTAACCCCAACCTTTTGTTCTGCGGCAGGTTCTGGCACTTCGCCGATACTTCCTACACTATCTCTATTACCTGCTGCTACCATATCGAAATTCTTGCTCATTCTTGCAACATTTCCATAAGGTTTTCTTCCTACGCTGTTTCTCGAAACTTGACCACTTCGTCCTAAGCTGTTTCTCTTTTCCACGTTTGGAAGACTAGACACATTTGAAAGACTAGTCCTCTTTTCTACAGTAGGTTCCTCCATTCCGTCTCCAGAACCAGGCATATATGTAGCACTTGTAACGCTGGGGTTGCTAGCTTCTGTTCCATTGGCCAATGGTGACAAAGGAGAAGGTTTTGGTTCAACAACTGGACTAGCTTCGGCTGACGATGGAACTTCGAGACTTTGTCTCACGCTTCCTCGGGAGTTTCTGGTTGAATCAGTCGTAGCTGTGGGTGATGTTTGTACCGGGAATCGAGTCTCAGCTGCGGGTGGTCCTGAACTTCTATCTCTACGGTGGCCACGTGGACTTGGTGCAGGACTGGTGGCGCGACTTCTTGCTCCACCAGCTGCAATGATTGCCTTTTGTCTAGCTTCCATGTTGGCTCGTCTGTTGCTTTCATCAGTGCTAATAGCTCTAGGTCTTCTGGTATCAATGTTTGACGCAGAATTGAGTGATGAAGCTCGCTTAAGTTCAGAAAATATGGCGTCTTTATGAGCAAAGAGATCGCGAATTAGACGGTAAGAATACTTTTCTTCCATGGTCATTGAGGTTTCAGTCTTTGGTCGAAGGATGCATGGAGCAAGGATGGTTGCGAGTTCGGAAATATAAGCCTCATCAGCGGAAGTAAGTTCAATTAATCTAGTGAAATGGGTCATGAGGGCATCCAAGGTAGCAATGTTGGCCAATCTAAGTTGACTGAGGGTATTTTGTAGAACTGAGATTCGAGCTGAGTCGGTAGATTCGGATGCTGGCGTTGAATAGATCGTTTTCATAATTTCATAAACATGAGATGACACTAAAGAATCTATAGCCAGGTGTTAGTTGAGACATTTCGAGAAATGATCAGCAGGGCTAAGCTTACCTGGTAATTCCAGTAAATACAGTTTAAGAACGCTTGCAATAATAGGAATTTCATATGGCTCCAAAGTTTCAATAGGAAATGGTTTGCCAGTATTGAGCACATCTCGTACTCGATGAGTTTGATGAAGGGGAACATCAACCAACCAGACACTTCTCCTAGCTGGATCGCCTTCAAGATCGGGATATCTGTTGTCAAGGAAGGTGAGAATAGTGGTAATGATGACTGGTACTCTCTTTCTGTCCCCACGAGCCCGAGCTTCGAGATCAACACCGAACGTTTGTTCATCCGCAGAGTTGTAATAATTCTCGTAAACGATAACCTTTGGCGCAAAGCCACCAGTGCGGTAGTTTTCGAGAAGATATCGCAAATCTCCAAGAGGTTGTACGGTTTCTTGGTAAAGCATCATCTTATCAACTGTTGATTGCAGACTAGGAATGACATTGCTGATCGTTCCGGAAAAGTCGAGAATAATAGTCTTGATAGCCTTGAGTCTGTCAAGCTCACAACGTTCCAAATATCTTAAATGTTCAAAGATAGCCTCCTCCAATTGACATCGCAAATGATCCAATTTTTTAACACCTTGCTTGTACCTCTCATCTGCTTCTGCGGCTTCCCTACGAAGACGATCGCCTGGTGTTTCGTTTGGATGTTGATTGTTCAAAGGATTCCAGCCCGCTAGATAATCAGAGACCGATCCAACGACAGGAGAATCTACAAAATCGGAATTAGATGCAATAGAGAAAGTGCGGCCTACTTGAGGCTTCTTTTCAGGGATTCCTGTCAATTGGAAACCCTTTGGTCGCCATTGGTAGAACATCTTGGAACTATTTGCGAAAACATTTCCGACATTTCCGATCAATCGTAGAAAGCCGTGCGATACCAAATCCTGTCCAATACGTTCAGCGTGACTGATACTTGTTGCTCCCATGAACTTCTGAAAGTATTCCACTATATCTGCACCACATGTTGTATTTTGATATGTGCCCAAGATTGGAACTTTTGTGTCGACCAATTTGATTGTTTGTAAGAGGTGTGTCAAAATCTTCTTCACTTGTTCCAAACTGTAAATTTCATCACCGATCTCCAAAGATTGGTCATCCTCTTCTTCGTCCTTATCGCCAACCTTAATCTCTGGGATCTTGGCCTTCGGACTGGTTTCTGGATCCTGGAAAGCAAGTTTATTTTCCTCTTCAATGTCTTCCACCAACCGACACTTATTGAAGTAGTGACTACGCAACTTCTTGACCAGCTCTGCTTGTTTGTCGTGAAGTTTTATCCGGGCTTGGAGGTCATCCTGTGAATTTTGTACTCGATTTTCGTGCGCATCACACCAGCGCGAAAAAGGGGCGACGACTAGATCTCGAATACTTTGTGCGATTTTGCGGTGATTTTTTGCAGCTTCTTCCATTTCTGTCCGTACTCCATCGTATGCCTAGATTGCGTCAGCCAACCACCCCTTGGAAAAGACGAAGAAGAACTCCTGAATTTCAATACCTTTCTAACACTTGCTCCATCATCTCTACCGAAACCGCCTGTTATTTTGTCCGTTGCTGCTCCAATGTCTCCTAATTTCATTCCATAGACATCTTCGGCTTCCGCACGCATTCGCGCAATGGTAAGAACCTGTTGGTTTTCGGCGACACCTTGTTGCAGTTTGCCGAATAGAACACCAAGACCTATTTTGATGTAGTTGAGTTAGTACACGAATGCAGGAACGGATTGATACATTCTGCAGAAAGAAGAAGCCCCTTACCTCCAGCATAATCTCCCGACCAGAAAGAATCCGCAAAATTGGGCGCCATTATTATGTACTCTTATCGTTGATTCGTGACTTCAATAATAGGGATTAATGTATTCGTTGATCCTCGAAAGGTTTAAAACGTTAGACAGGCAAAACAAAGAAGAGAAAATCCTTATTGTAGAAAGCAATAGGGATTGTTGAACGAATGACAGACAGATTTGCTGGAGAACTGGAGAGGGTTATGATGGACGAAGTCGAAAAAGCTGGGCAGGGAAATCGAAGGAAGGATTGCGGATTTTTAGTTGTGCAAGGGCCCTTTGCAACGAGGTTGACCGTTGATCTCGTTTACCCGGGGGTTTCAGAATGTTGAGACGGATGAAGCTATCACCAAAGTCGTTGGATATGATTCAGCTGGAGAGTTTATTGAATGAAATGAGTATTGTATGACTATGAGAAGTCGATAGACAAAGACATAGATAGAAGATAGGAGTTTGGTACAGAGGGGTGAATCATCAGAGGAAATGATATTGAATTGTGTAGAAATGACAATTTACTCTATTACTCCTTTTTCATAGGTTCCATGCTATATATCTATATATCTATCTATCTATATAACTCTACCTAGTTATACAATTTTAATATACGAGTAAATATTAAAAGCACTTAAACTTTTCCAGTCTTCACTTCCATTTCTTGGATTTCCGTTCCTACTTTAACTGACGTGCAGGGTCTTACATGAACAACTCCCAGTGGCAAACCTTAAATCTCAGGTGTCAATCATTCCCAAAAATAGCTAAATCAGGGAATTTCCGGTAATCCATTAAAGGGGCTTAGCGCATGCATGCCAACCTGGTAACTAATGTACTGACTGGAGTCACTGGAACTGATGAGTACGGAGAGTTAGCTCGAGAATACGTAGATACGAGCGAGGATAGAATAGGCATTGATTGATCGGATCATGTGATCTTCTCTCCCATTCTATTCCTTATCTAAAGACCCTGACTTGAGACGGTTGGTACTTGGGTACATGGAATCTCATTCATTTGTCACCAACATCAACTATTTCGCTTTGACTCTTGCTGTCGTGTCATCATGCCTCACACAGAACAAGATCCTCTATTACCAAGAGAGAGATCATCATCAGAAAACAAAGATGCAAGAGAAAGTCGAAATGCCTGCTTTGAACCAACATATGGCCGGGGGAAGAGACAATTCAGTGATCTAATGGCAGTGGTTCTAGGACTATGCTCTTTGCTTATACTTACGATGCTGATCATACCTGATGGTTTGGTTGATGATATACTGAATCACCATTGGTCTTTTGGAGGTCAAGAACCAAAGACAGTTGGAGAGAGAGTGGATAGAATCTTGACTGAAACACCACTTATAGGTATGGTCATCGCGGTATCTCGGATAACATATAATTTATACCTCTTCATCACTTTGACTAACACAATATAGATGGGCACAATGATCTTGCAATCTTCATAAGATCTGCTTATAAAAATCGCATCTATGATGACAAGTTCACCAACAAGTTTGAGAATGGCGGGATGGCTTATCACGTGGATCTTCCTCGATTGAAAGCGGGAAAGAATGGAGGTGCTTTTTGGAGTGCATTTGCTCCATGTCCCTCCAATTGGAGTGATTTTTCTACCCCAAATTATGACTCTTGTTAGTGATATCTCGCTGGTGTTTTGTTCCCATTTCTACACTTCTCATACCTCTCTCATTTCGTCTCGCTCTGTCTGTACAATACTGTTCCACTGTCCTGAATGCCGTCTTCCGCGACTTCTTCCGCGCATTGATTTCCGTTCAGAATGTATTTCAGCTTCCTACTAACTTCACAATATAGCCGTTGACTTCACTCTGACGCAGCTTGACCTCCTCGCTCGTCTTCAAGCCGCCTACCCATCTCATTTTGCACTTCCAGGAGACAGTAGCACTGCCTTGACTGCTTTTCAAAACGGTCAACTCATATCACCATATATCATTGAAGGTCTGCACCAAATTGGAAACTCCCTATCGAATCTTCGCGAATACTACACCCTCGGAGTTCGCTATGCAACCTTGACACACAACTGTCACAATCGCTATGCGGATGCAGCACTGGTTGAGCTTCCGGAGGGTGGTATTGAAAAGTCCAAACCTCAGTGGGGAGGTGTCTCCCCCGCTGGTCGTCAGCTTATCCATGAGATGAATAGATTAGGGATGATTGTTGATCTATCACATACTAGTCAAGACACGATGCGTGCTGTGCTTGGTTGGGAAGCCGACTGGTCGGGTAGTCTTGCCCCAGTAATCTTCAGTCATTCATCCGCCTACGCAGTATGTCCTCATCCACGAAATGTACCTGACGACGTCCTCCAACTCGTCAAGAAAACGAATTCCCTCGTTATGGTCAATTTCTCGCCTGATTTCGTGTCATGCGTTGCGAACTCATCCAATACAAACGGGCTTCCGGATTTCTATCCCAACAACTCAACCTTAGAACATGTAGCCAGACATGTCATGCATATCGGTGATCTCATCGGCTATGACCACGTAGGCTTCGGTAGTGATTTCGACGGTATCCCCGATACACCAAAGGGACTAGACGACGTAAGCAAGTTTCCCGACTTGGTAGCCGAGCTACTCAAACAAGGAGTGAGCGACGAAGATGCTACAAAGGTTGTAGGCGGTAATATTTTAAGAGTTTGGAAAGATGTCGATGAAGTTTCTGCACAGTTGAAGGCGAAGGGGGAGAAGCCTTTGGAAGATGATCTTCCTTGATTTATGGTTCAGGTATATCGACGTATGTATATGGATGTTCGATTTCTGTTTATTAATTTAGATGTTTTGTATATATGTGTGCGTTTCTTTCTTAGACGCTTAATGTAGAATGTCACTCCAGAGGTGTTGCATTGTTTAAAATCATAACTTCGATATCCAGATTTTTGACAGGTGATTCAATAAGCGAGTGTTGTTACAGACATGATAAACCTTGGATTGAGCAGAGCATGAGTATCAATCAGTGTGCACAGAAAAAAAGTGAAGACATACTTGGGGAATATGGGGGTTTACACTGAGTGGATGCATCATCACTTGTACGGAAACATCACAAGACTTCATTTTCAACGATGTAATAGGTATGTAAGTATAAGTGTCTTATTTCAAGCTTATCATCTACTTGAAAACTTTTGCTATCTTATCTTGCTTTTGATGAACCTGTCTATATAGTTTCCTTGCACTTCTCTCTCTCCCATGGTATCTTCTTGTGTTCTCTTTGCTATGTAAAATTGTTCTATTATTTATTTCCTTGCTGTATTAAAAATCTCACTCTATCCAATCCAACTCCCGTGCATCCTTGCATCACCCCTTCAATAACTCCGCTTCTTCCTATCTAGATAGAACCCCTCATTGCGATCATCCCACGAACGCTTCTCGTTAGTCATTGCTCTGGATGGGCCCGCAGACGCATTTTGTCTTGCGCTCATCATTGCTCCATTGCTTGCTATGTTGGCACTATCAAGATGTGCACGATCCCTTGCGAATTTGAGGTATTCATCGTGGATGTTGAGGTGTGCGGGAAGGTATTGATCTTGCAGCCAGTCCAAAAATTGCTCAACATGCACGAATTCCATACGTGCATCGACGTTGCTCGTGTCAACTCCATCATATGGCTGAGGCCATAGGATGCATGCCTTTGGGTAGTCGACACGCTTGAGTTGCAAAAAACAGTAGTGAAGTTGCATGTCAGGGTGCATGTCAACGATGTAATTGACACTTTTTTGCTCCCCGATGGGCTTGGTGATGCCACTACCCCCGCAATGAGGGAATGCATTGTGTTGCTTCAAGATTCGACCATACGCTGGAACATTGCGTGTGTCGATTTGCCTGGAGTGGGTGGCAAGGTGGGAAATTGCAAAGACCGGCTGTGAAGGTTGCTGGGTTGACTTTGCTGGTAGATGTAGCCCGGGGGTTGGGCGGCGATCGATTGCTGGGATTGCTGAACTTGCTGAAGGGGAGGGAATGAGTGGTGTTGGGGCAATGGCATCTGCATCTTCGACTTTGATGGTGTCATCTGCGGTGTGCAGGACCGCCTGCAGAGTAACATGCTCATTTGCGGGGGCTGGTGAAGCAACTGCTTCATCATTCGCCTTTCCCTTGCCCTTCTCTTGCGAAACATTGCTTGGAGCTTTGCCAAAGCTGAATTTGACAAATTGCTGTAAGAATTCATCTGAATTCTCAGCAGGCCCTGCAGAAGATTGTTAATTGCCATGAACAATTTCTTTAAAGTGATGGAAAGTTGATGAAAGATGATGAAAGAAAAATGAATACTTACAACGTGCATTAAATAATTTGCTAAATTCCTCTGATTGTGCATTAATATCACCATTTGCACTCGCCATAGCCTTTGCAATTTCATCACGCAAATCGGTGATGACTTTTGCTTCAAGTGCTGCTGAGGCAGCGGCCACATCTAATGTGATCATGTTGAATGTTGCAAATTAGTGCTTTCGATGATTGAATTGATTGATAATGAGAGTGTTTGATGTGAAAGTGTTTTTGAATGATGCTTTGTGAGTGGTAGTGGTGGTGGTAGTGGTTGATTGTTGAGGGTTTGAAATTGAGAATGTTCAAAAGTGCGAGCTTTAAAAAGTGCGAGATTTAAAAAGGAAAAGAGACTTTCAACTGAAAGGCGGTGCGGCTACCGGACTTCTTAGCTTCTTTTGGATTGAAGTGTAATGTAATTGGGAAGTGAGTTGTGAGTGAATTTGTTGAAGCGAAGTCATGAGTAATTGCCGAAGATATTCTGCGCCTCCGTCAACGATTATAAATTACAGGTTGGCATTTGCAGTCTCTACGAAAATTTTCCTCCCAAATTCACTTGAAGTGATGAAAACCCCTCATCTAGAATTGTTATCTGTGTAGAGTTTGAAAGTGCTCCTAAAAGATTCACTTGAACTATTAAATTGCAAGGAGACCTTGGGAAACACCTCAAGCTGAATTTGATCTCTTGCAGAACAACAACAATACTAGGTGATACAGCACATTGTTAGACTTCACACTGGCGTCTTAAAACTGACCGCCACCCAGTAACAACTTGTTCTCCTACCTCCTCCTACTAAGCTCAATACTAACATCGTAAGTGTCAATCTCCCTATTTCGCCCTCCGCCTATATTCAGATAAATACACCACACTCTTCACCCAATCCTACAAGCAATCACTCAATCACATTACTCGACTAATACATTTCCTAGGAGGCTTCAGAAGGCGAAACAAGATTCGACGCCGAGCACCAGGAATACAGAGAAGTGTCTCTTAAGACAAAGGGTGATCTGGCTTATGCCATATATCTACGCAGTCGATTCTGCGAAGAAGAGTATACGATATTTTGTGCTGAGTATCGCGAGGGTGATGTTCCGAAATAGATATGATAGTGGAGTAGCATGTACGCTTGGAATTAGAGTTTGCGAAGGGAGTGTAGTCAGGGTTTGAACTCCAGGGCATGGGACTGTGTGGTTGAGATTCGAGATTTTATATCAGACGTGGTTAGATCGGACTGTTCCATAATCTGGACTGCAGTTCAATCATGAAAGACTATTAAATCCCCAAACCACTTATTAGAACATTTAAATCATTTGAGACATTGAGATTGATTAGAATGTTGAACATTTTTCAAATTCCTAATCACCTCTAAATATTCAAAGTCTTAAGACAATTCAAGCCATCAAATACTCTGAAATATTAAATTTGGTTAGAATATCAAACTATTCTCAAAATTCTAATTACTTTTAGACATTTAAGCCATTATATTGTTGAACTCTGATTTAAACTATTAAATCATTTGAGATGATGAATTTGATTAGAACATTAAATTCTTTTCGAATTTCTAGTTGCTTTTAGATATTCAGATCTTTATATTGTTGAACTCTAATCCGGATTATTAGATATTGTGAAATATCAAAGTTGATTAAAACATTGAACTATCTTCAAATTTTTTAATTGCTTTTAGACCTTCAAATCTTCATATTGTTGGACTGTAGTTCGGACTGTTAGACACCTTGAGATATTGAATTTAACTAGAACATCAAAATATTTTCAATTCTGGAGTTTGAGATGAAGCTATAACTTTATCGAATGAAGTTCGATGCAGTGTCTAATCGACAATGAACAGATTCTGATAATCGAATCTATTCAGACGCCTAAATTTATAGAGTACTAGATTCATTCGAGATTGGAAACTCTCCAACAAACTCACAAGTCTTCGACTTTCCCTACATTTCAGATACCAAAAGCTGTTCAAACTTTGAAGTATACAGATTGAATATTGAAACCACTCAGATTTTATTCTACCAATTTTGACTATTAGACATCTCGTTACAAACCAAATTACACCATAATTGTATCCCCAGCACCATCCATTGCCCCATTCTCAATGAATCCAAGACCATCCATTTCCCGCAGCGTGTATTCTAAAAGATAACTCTCGTCAAGCAATTCTTCCATTCTCTTATAATGTCTATCGGTATAAACTTTCAAAGCATCAATGACTTCCTTCAAACTCTTTTGTCCTTGTGCCCCCTTGATCTTAAGATTCGATAAGCGAGAAGCGGGATAACTTTTGACGAGAACATGTAAGATTCTTTGTGCGACAGATGCTGTTCTAGCGTTGGTGTTCCAGTCACGGACTCTGAGAAGGAGGTTGAAGATTTGAGCATCTGTTAAGGAGGCTAAGACGGTATCAACAGCTTTGAGACCTGAGATACTTCCTTCTTCGTGAGAACCGGTAACGACGGTTGTGAATATCGAAAGTAATCGTGCTGGATGGTTGAGTGTAAGTGCAAGAATGATGGCTTCTCTGTAGCTACCAGCATGTATGAAGTTTTGTAACTCCTGCTCTTGCTCCACGAATTGAGTATTGGCCGCTTCTCTAGCAGCTATTGTTGCTGAGGTTGTATCCTTCCAGAATGTGACAGTAGAATCCCCACTTCCTGATACTATCATGTTTGTTTTAGGGTGGACTGTGAGGGCCCAAACTCTATCTTCGTGATTGTCTAATGTGCATTCTGACTCTCCATTTGTTGCACTCCACACCTTGACAAGGCCATCTCCACCAGCTGTGGCTATTTGAACATGTTTCCGATTTCTGTCTTCTGGTGCTGGTAATTTCAACCATGCCACTTTGAGAACAGAGTTAGTGTGCCCTTCGAATGTTCGTAAACAACTGTAGTCGGAAAGGTTCCATATCTTGACAGTTTTGTCTCCACTTCCAGTAAGGATTAAACCTTTTCCAGAAGCTGGACCAGACTCTCCTTGAAGAGTTGGGGTATCTTTTGGCGCGAACTTTACAGACCAAACACCACGACGATGACCACGTAATACACCTTGTACTTCTAATTCATTGGTTGACCAGATTTTGACAGTTTTGTCTTGAGATGCCGATGCAAATAATTCAGAGTTGTGGTTAATGTCTAATGCGTTGATGTCTTTGTCGTGGGCTTTCTTGGTCAATGAAGCTCTTGGTGCTTTGCCAGTCGCTGTCTGGGCTTGAATATCCCATCGCTTAATAGTCTGGTCTTGAGAACCGGTCAACAAAAAGCTGGGTGGATGGTCCAAAGGTGACTTATAGGCCGGTGAAGATTCTGGTGGCGGAGTATGAGGAAGTGCAATAGCACCAAGAGATTCGGCATGTCCAGTAAAAGTTGTATGACAAGTATATGAACCGTTTTCGGCATCGATACGCCAAAGTCTAGCAGTATTATCTTTAGCACCAGTGGCAATCCAGTGGCCTGACCAGTCAATATCTAAACAGATGATGATATCTTCATGTCCCTTGAGTTGAGCGACGTCAGCACCAAAGTATGCGGCTGATTCTGTAGAGTCGTTTTCTGAACCTTGATTCAAGGAGACGATACGAATTTCCTCCGAATTGGTAGCTAAAGCAAGGAGGGATTTATCAGGCAAAAGGAATCCTAGATCGATGATCTCGTCATGGGTTCCAGAAATTCGCTGAATTTGGGGCAGAGCCGAAATGGTGATAGTGGAATCCGCGTTTTCCATGGGAGCTTTTGAGTGAAGGATTAAGGTATGATCTGCTTGAATTGACAGAATGAAAGGAAGATCATGGTACGAGAGCGCATCTACAATAGCATCTGCCTCTGCGCCACTTTTTTGTGGTTTTGTGACTTCCCTACCATTTTCCGTTTGCCAAATTCTAATGGTTCCATTTGATCCTCCAGTATACGTGAACTTTCCGGCTTCAATGAATCCGGCTGTTTCCACCTCCTCAAGCACGGGTATAACTTTTCTAATCTTCCACGTTTTCGCATCCCACCACATTATTGTCTTATCTCGACTTCCGGTAAGAAGCGCATTTTCTTCTGGTGAATAATCTAAAGCTCGAACATCCGATACGTGTGAATCTAAAATCGAGGCACAATTCCTCTTGTAAAGGTCCCAAATACGAACTTTACCATCTTGACTACCAGATGCAAGGCGGAACCCTCTCGCTGCTTCATTCTCAGTGTTGTCATCATCTGCTTGACTCTTTCGGCTCCCGTTCTTTCGATTTCTTGCTGAAATACCCAATTCCTCATCCCTACCGCTCGCAACCAATTCGAAGAAGTGCAAAGCGGATATAAGCACATTGGGGCCTCGAAATGTATGTGTGACGTAACCTCCCACGATATCCCAAACTTTCACTACTCCATCTGCAGCTCCGGTTGCTAGCAGAGTACTCGTCTGGTCTACAGCTAAGACTACTACTGGCGTAGAATGCGGTTTAAGCGTTCGCAGAAGTTCGTAGTTGAGAGAAACATCAGAGGCAGGTGAAGGTCGTAGGGAGTAGATTCGCATAGACAATGATCTCGAACATATGATGAGATGGGAAGCAGACGGCGTGAGACTTAATGTAGAAATGACCTCTCCATCTCCTTCTATCCTGGCCAATTCCCTCCCTGTATTCAAATCTGTCAATAGTGCATCCTCTCCGAGTGTTGTAGCAAGTATGCGACCCGTTTGGTCAAGTGCAACACTTCCTCCTGTGTAAATTGGCTGTATAGTATGCTCAGGTTCGAATGTCGTTTGGTAAGGAGCCTTGGTTGCCATGATGCGCCGCAAGCTTGGTATCTCAATGTATGGCTTTATTATAATATTTGGCTTTCTTACAGAGTGCGATTCTGTTATATTTCCTGACTTTATTATAATGCCTGGCGCTCCTAGAATCAATTTGGAGGTGAAAATGTTGCAAACCAAAATATTTTTATTTTCACTTGAATCAAAAATATTTTGATGTTGACAGGGGTTGACGATAAGCTCAATCTTAGCGTTCGATATCACGTGTAGACGTGTATTCCTTCCTTTTTGCGATCATAAACCCTTCTTTGAAGAGAAGAGTAAAAGACTTGAATAATTTCATCAAACTCATCAGACTATGGCTGTATGATACAGAAATAACTACTTGTAGCCATCACATAGGGTATATCATGC